CTGACAATAAAGACAGCTCACAGAATGGTACAGGACTCCTCCCATATACTGTGTCCTGGGTTTAAGCTTCCCTTAAAGTGCAGACTGTGTTGCCCAGACTGCAGGACGGAGAGAAGGAAGTCATCCGTTGTCCCCAAGGCTGTTCAACTTCTTAATTCAGCCACTTAATCTTTTTATCGATCCATGCACTTTAATACATGCACTTTTAATGTTAAATGCTCAAACTTCAGCAATAAATGAGCTTCAGTCCTGGGGGATGTTTAATACAATACAAAACTTTTAATGCCATGTTGTTTGTACTGATACTGACAGCTCTCCTCCAATCACCTGTGATAATGGTGCTGCCTGGACCTGAGTACACTTTGCCTCCCTAGAAACTCACCTGCTGTCTGTCCCAGATGACAGTGGGGGTATGAGTAGGTGACTGAGGAAACTGTCTGGGCTCTATTTTAGTGTCCGCCGGTAAGGCGGCAGAGGGTGGCAGACCCCGCGCAGTGGTATTTTTGTCTGGCAGAGCCCGGCGTACAGCCAGTTTGATGTTTTCATGGACCGAGGCGCGTGGTGGCGAGGCAGGGGGAGGTGTCGACAGAATCAGCTGGCGCAGTGACATTTTCGTGCTCGTCATCGATTCAAACCTGGTCAGCTTTCAGCACAGGCGGAGCACAGCTGGTCTAGTGGTATTTTGGTAGACCGGCGGCGTATCGGCATACGTCACCAATGCCTCACCAGCAGGTTTCCACAGTGTCAGGCACATTTCAGTGCAATAAATAATCAACAACAACTAATAATCTGAGTCAGCACATACATTTAGATCTATATAGATATATTCTGATCTATATCTGATCTGATGAGCACGTTTGGCATGAGTTTGGACACACAACCTGACCAAATCAACTCAGCTGAAACTGCATTAAATGAAATTAAATATCTAGTGAATAGACACACATGATGAAGTTGACAAGATATGTAATTCGTCTCCCTACTTTTCTTTCTTCCTCTTCCTCTTATTTCTCGCGCAGCTCGAGCTGGACATGTCTCCGTGTCCTCTGTCTGTCCTGCTGCAGCTGCAGCAGCTGAACAGATGATTTGTTTCAGTGCGCAGATGAGTTATCTACTTTAAGCCGACATACAAATATTATAATATTCAGTTTTGTGAGTCAAATTTACTTTATATGCCAACATCTATGAAAGAAAGAGCCAGGCCATGGAGCGCAATGCGTCATTACGCACAGATGGTTCTGATTTTAATGCCATTTTTGGAGTTAATGTTGTGATCTGTGCGCACAACCCACCTTTGTCAGACAGTGTGAAGGAGGCACTCTGCAGCGCTTACAGCGACACTTGTTGAGGGGCTGCCTTCTGTCACCATCTTGTGGCATTACTGTCTTAAGACATCTCTTGATCTCTTTGACTACTTCACGAAAATAGTAATACGCCTCGCCGGTGGCGGAGGAGAGGAGCTGATGTTATTGGTCAATACAGGTCTCGGCTGTGTTAATCCCACTCCACGCCCTCTCTCCTCCCTTCCTACGACTTACACCGCTGGGAGGAGCTGAGTTAGGGAGGGGTGATAATTAGGCCGGGTTGCGCCGCTCACCAAAATACCAAATTGTGCTTGGGAGTGCCTTGTCGGCTTGGCGGACCTGACTTACGCTGCGCCTGTGGCACATCTCCAACGAGGCACAAAAAAATAGGGCCCTCTGTCTTCAGCCTCAGTCTAACTTTCAGGGCTCTATTTTCGTGCTTCTCCGGAGACATGGAGCAGGCACGACATAAGTCAGGTCCGCCAAGCTGACAAGGCATTCCCAAGCACAATTTGGTATTTTGGTGACCACTGGCGAGGCGTATTACAATTTCCGTGAAGTAGTCAAAGAGATCAAGAGATGTCTGAAGACAGCAATGGACCCACTGGTAAGACAAACACCCTTTTCCACAAATAAAGACACTCACATAAAGTTGCATATATTTAAATCTCAAGTGACAAAGATGGGTTGTGTGCACAGACCACAACATAAACTCCAAAAATGGCATTAAAATTGGAACCATCTGTGCTTATGACGCATTGCACTCCATGGCCTAGCTCTTCCTTTCATAGATGTTGGTATATAAAATAAATTTGACTCATAAAAATGAATATTAAAATATTTGTATGTAGGCTTAAAGTAAATAACTCATTTGATCACTGAAAAAAATCACCTGTTCAGCCGCCTCAGCAGGAGCTGTGCGAGAAATAGGAGAAAAGGAAGTAAGAAAAGTAGGGAGACAATTTAAATATCTTGTTAACTTTATCATGTGTGTCTATTTACTAGGTATTTAATTTAATGCAGTTTCAGCTGAGTTGATTCGGTCAGGTTGTGTGTCCAAACACGTGCCAAACGTGCTCATCAGATCAGATCAGATATAGATCAGAATATATCCATAGATCTAAATGTATGTGCTGACTCAGATTATTAGTTGTTGTTGATTATTTATTGCAATGAAATGTGCCTGATACTGTGGAAACCTGCCAGTGAGGCATCAGTGACATATGCAGATACGCCGCCGGTCTACCAAAATACCTCTAGACCAGCTGCGATCCGCCTGCGCTGAAAGCTGACCAGGTTTGAATTGGCGAGCTTTCAGCGCACTTTACACGCTGGCACGGTGAGCACGAAAATGTCACTGCGCCAGCTGATTCTGTCGACAGAGGGTCTCCCCCTGCCTCCCCACCACGCCCAGCTTGGCGGACCTCAGTGCACCTCAGTCAATGAAAATACCAAACTGGCTGTACGCCGGGCTCTGCCAGACGAAAATACCACTGTGGGAGATTCGCCACCCTCCGCCACCTCACCGGCGGACACGAAAATAGAGCCCTCAGAGTGTAATTGATGTTGGTGCTATTGGCAGTTACAGTGTCGCACACTGTGCAGGTATCACCATTGTTTCCATAATTCACTCCATGCAGCACATACCCTCTGCCCAGGTTTGATGAGTTCTCAAGAGAAAGTGTTGAGTGGGTGCACATCTATGCAATGGGTATTTGTTTCTAACATCTAATAGGTCTCCACCATAGACTGTATAAAGAATGGACAGAGTCTGCCTCCTCTCTGGGTGAAGCCACTCCGAGAACAGCACCCTCTGTTGATGGGCTGTAGTATAGGACATAAATACCGCCTCCGCCAGCAAAGCTTATGGGGCTGTGGACCAACTTTAGAAATTTATTACACAGAACATAAATTTTTATCCCCCCTGCTTGTGATGTTGACATGTAGTTATTGTAAGACTGGTTTGTGCTCAAGTCCTTTTTTTTCTGTGAAGCTTCGTTTTTAAAAGTTTTTAGGGGGTTCATGTTTGCTATGATTGACACCTGATACAGCCTATGGGCGTTTAGGGATTGCGTAGCTCTCCCGGGGGATACGCTGTTTGAGCCGAGTGTCATCATAGCGACTCTCTGCAACTGAGGGGCCGAATGCGCGCATTGCTACTGCGCAGCGCTGGTTTCAGGAAATGAAGAAAAATCCCAGAAATACCAAGAACGAATTGGCTTCAAATCCGTATACAGGCGGTAGGCGGAACCAAGTTGTCCATAGTTTATACAGTCTATGGTCTCCACAGTCATGTGATACAGGTAAGTAAGTAAACAGAGCTGGCTCAGCAAAGCCACAGTAGGAAATGACTGAAAACAGCTGTAGGAGATGCAGTCACAGACATTTGGTGGAAGTACTTATTTACTATCAATATTCTTCTTCAGCACTCCATACCAAGTGAGAACTGTAAGCACTGAAGTACTGATACACCCATCCCTGACACAGAGCTCTGTAGCTTAGTGCAGTTTGCTCTTGTGTGTGTCAGACTGTAGAGATGAGCTGTCAGCATCTCTTCTCTCTGCTGCTCAAAGTCGTGCTATGTGCTGTTGAGCTCCACACAGACAGATCATACCTGCTGTGATTACACACCTGCTCCCTGCAACACAGGGATTATAATAACTGTTGACCTTAAACCTCTGGAGTTTACTCTGCTGGTTTGTTCATTACTGTAGTTTATATTTTCATCATCCTCAACCCTATTATTATTAAGCGCTAAACTGATGAACATGTGTTGTTCTGTGGAATAACACTACACACACACACACACACACACACACACACACACACACACACACACACACACACACACACACACACACACACACACAATGTGTCGTTGCAAGGCGGGCTTTAGGACCCTGCTCTCTCACACTGGCTGGTCCACTACCCGCTGTTGCTCTGTCCCGCAGAGGGCTGCTGTTTACCACAGAGAGTCAGACCGAATTCGAGTCCACTTAAACCCACACGCTCACACACACTCACTCACACACACACAAACTCTGAGGACCGCAGGGCTGTGTGGAGAGGCGCGTGCTGACACTTCAGTCCGGTATAATCCGCTCGAGGCGTCCGCTGCTGTCTGCCTGCACGAACAGAGCCGAACAGAGCCGAGCCGAGCCGCGCCAGATGGGGTGAGGGGAAAGAGTTTTAAGAAGGACTCCGAGCTGCTCCTGTCTGAGGAAGACTCAACACCGAGGATTCAATTTGAGCGGAGTTTAACCCGGTTCACCCGCATCCGGATGAGAGCCGGACAGAGATTTGGAGTGTAAGCGCTGTTTTGGACCTGCTTGGGGCCAAGTCTGAAGGACTATGGATCATCTTTTTCGGCTGTGACAGACCTGGTCCCGGGCTCAGGGGTCAGTTGGTTCCTCCTGGTCCTCCTCATACTGTCTGATGTCCTCTCTGCTGCGCTTTTACGCGCCGGCAGTGAGCTGCTCTTTGGATTATACCCCGGGTCCGAGTGACACCCTGACTTAGATGTGTTTCTGGACTCGTTTCTCTGGATCTGGTGGATCAGGAATGGATTAAAGGGGGCTGTAAATGGTCCCCGCTCAGACTTGTGATCTGTGCGCGCACAGGCCTCTACAGCCGGTATCTGGCTCACCCAGGTGAACCAGGTGTTTTCTAAGACTTTTGCCGCCCAAGGAGCGAAAGATGAGCCCATACTTGCTCTCTTTGCTTCTCGCGCTGCACCTGGCCGCGGTGGCGCTCTGTCTTTCCACGTGCAGCACGCTGGACATGGAGCAGTTCAAGAAGAAGCGCATCGAGGCGATCCGGGGTCAGATCCTGAGCAAGCTGAAGCTCAGCAGCCCCCCGCAGGACTACCCGGAGCCCGAGGACGTGTCTCGGGACGTGGTGGCCATCTACAACAGCACACGTGATCTCCTGCAGGAGAAGGCGAATGAACGCGCAGCCACCTGCGAGAGGCAGCGCAGCGAGGAGGAGTACTACGCCAAAGAGGTGCATAAGGTGGACATGCAGCCCCCCTACCCCTCTGAAAGTAAGTCCAAGAGTGAGAGAGAGTAAATGTGTAAGTGTTTGTGTGAGTGTGAGAGATGCAGAGAGGACAAGGTGGACTCGCAGCTCCTCTACCCCTCTAAGTTAGAGAGAAAGAAAGAATGGCTAAGAGTGGCAAAGATAGACGGAGTGCACAGCGTGGGCATGTTTGTGTATGCATGTGAGCGTTTGTGTGTAAAATAAATCAAAATCCTTGCATTATTGTGTATTTTTTACATTAGCTGCACAATGTTACCTCAATATGTTATATTAATAATAATTTAAAAAATAATAATAATTCTTATTTTTATCATTCTTATTATAACGTACTACTTATTTATTACTATTTTTATTGTATTACTTTGAACAATTAATTCTTACTTCAGTTTGATGAGAGAGTCCTTGTCGCAGTTACAGCCCTGTGGCCTGAGGTTAGTTCCTATCAAAGGGTTTAATTTGCAACACATACAAACATTTCACATTCAGATTTGCCTCTGGGATGTCAGTGCTTGCAGACAGTGTTTCCTGTCTATAGGCTCTGAATGTGCTGGAGCAGTATAAGTGATGGACAAATAGATCAAAGAATACTGAATTTGTTAAAACAACTGAAGACATATGATCGTATGACAATGGCAGTTTTCACCAAAAACAGAAGCCGTTCACACATGCTTTAGGGTTAAAGCTGGGGTAGGCAGGATCTCTGAAGTGCCAGTTTAAGGAGAAATTTTAAATGTAAACACTACCCTTCTCCGACAGTTTTCCCCTCAGCTCCTCTTCTCCCCTCCCTCTCTCGCTGCTCCAGCAGGCCCCGCCCACAAACAGATGCTCGCGCTCACACCAACTCCTGGCAATTTACTACCAGACTAGTCAATTATCATTATCAATCACATCAGCAAAGACTTGGAACAACTTTTGTCACAACAGAGTCAGCAGTAGTAATGGTGCATACAAGATAACACACAAAATAAAATATAACAAATTTATTGAAAAAATTATGTTCAAACAATAAGTCCTCTTGGTCAGATGTACATCTTGTGGGACCTTTATGGTGTTCAAACTTAATGCTCTGGAGTTTTTGTTATACAGCTTGCAGTACCTGAAATGAAGAGAAGGAGGGTGTGGTATGAAGATATTACTCTGTCTAAAATATCGATTGTACTTATTTATTTATCTGTAAACTTTCCTAGCTGCTTCATCACTCAACAACACCACCATGCAAGCTTTTTGAAAACAACAATGGTGCTTCCAATTAAATTCAGCTATAATAAAGATAATTATTTTAGATAATTACGAATGAAGCCCAGTCAACATTAAAGTAAATAGCATTGGTGCTACTGTAGATGCCAAAAGACTACCATGCAGACACTGGCGACTTACAAGCACCACAGCACATTTAGATATTTACAGGAAAATGAAGTTAGAAGCTTACCAGTCCAGGAGATGAATGGCGAGCTTGGAATCCAGCTTGAAGCCTATACTATCAGTTGTCTCCATCTCTGAAACGCTGCTCTGATATTTACCCATGTTTTGTTGCATTTATTGTCAGATTCTCTTTTAGACTCATTTTTTTTTTTTTAAAGAAAAGTCCGTTTTCTGTCTTTTGGCCTGCTTTTTAGTGTAGGCAGTTGTTGCCAACACAGAAATAGTTTTTTTTTCTCTCTGATTATCCGCCATGGCGACCGAGGTTGTGTCGCGAATGCGCATTGGTGTTTACTTTCCTAGACTTTCTTTACTGGCCTATGATTGGCTGACACCACCGTCATGGTACAGATCTTCTCATGCCTGTTTACAGAGCTAGGAGGAGAGGCAGAAGTGTGATCTTCTCTCAGATCATTTCAAATGCAATACGCTGAATGGTTATTATGAATTTTTTTCAAAATGATAAAAAAAATTATTCTGCCTACTGTACCTTTAAGTATCTGTGGTTAGGAATCCAGCAGGACTGTGGTATCTCCTATCATGGACAGATAGAGGAATAACAAAGAGATACCCACATCTGTATGTACCCTCAATACATTGGTCCTAAGTACCAACTGGTGTCACCACTGTTTAGTTTAGCTGGTACAAGCCTCTAATTACATTTGTGCTTAAACGTTGCAAAAGAAAATTCATATAAAAAACAATGAAAAAATTAATGAGAACAGTAAAACAATAGTGAAACATTTAAAGAAGTACAAATGTTGTGTTTGAATGAGTGATTCTTTGTGAGCCTGATTGCCTGTGCTGTGCTGCGTATGACACGTCGTGGTTAAGAAAGTCTACAGTGTCCCTTTTTTCATGAGATAAAGGTGATGGTAATCTTGTTGTTGTAGTCAAACAGTGGTAGTTTTTTAACAGTTACATTCACTGGAGAAGCTTACAGGTGTACTGAGCAGTCAAATTCTTACCTACAGATATTGATGGGCAGTGTAAAGGGGTTGCAATTTTTTTAAACATTTATTTGAATGGACAGCTGATAGTATTATAAATTATATAGCCTCATGGTCCAGAGATCTAAATGTAAAATAAATTGTGAAAATGTAAAAACCAAAGAGAAGTATTAAACCAGACATGGGCAAACTACGGCCCCCGGGCCACATACGGCCCGTTAGGCTTTTTAATCCAGCCCGCCGAACTTGTCCAAATTACAGTAAAAACCTCCTTCATTTTCCCCTTTCGCTGCAATGCCTACGTTTCCCCAATAGATGGCGCACTCAAAACACATTGACCGTTGTTGGAGTGGCGCGTATTTCTCTTTATTTCACTTTAATTTTCACTTCGTTTCAAGTTGCCATTTGAGCCCTATTGTGAAAATGAGCGGACCAAAGAGAAGGAAAGTGGACAGCGAATGCCGAGTGTTTAATAAGGAGTGGACAACAAAATACTTTTTCACTGAAGTCCGATCAACGGCTGTATGTCTGATATGCCAAGAAGCTGTTGCGGTTTTCAAAGAGTACAATATCAGCCGTCACTTTACCACGAAGCATGCAAACTATGCTAGCAAGCAGTCAACACAAGAACGGGTGGCTACTGCTCAGAGGTTGGCAGCTAATTTACAGAGTCAACAGAACTTTTTTCACTGACAAACTGCAATTCAAGAGTCAAGTACCAAGGCAAGTTATTTGCTGGCATTCAAATTAGCAAAGGCTAGAAAGCCTTTCTCCGAAGGCGAGTTTTTGAAAGAGTGCATGGTAGAGACAGCAGGTCTCTTGTGTCCGGAGAGCAAAGCCAAGTTTGAAAAAATCAGTTTAGCACGCAGGACAGTGACTCGCTGCGTGGAATTGATTGACGAAGACTTAGTCAGCGAGTTAAACAAAAAGGCGGAGTCCTTTAAGTTATATTCACTAGCACTGGATGAAAGTAACGACATAAAAGACAGTGCTCAGCTCCTAATTTTTATCCGAGGGATTAACGACAGTTTTGAGATAACGGAGGAGCTTTTGAGCATGGAATCACTGAAAGGGAAAACGCGAGGAGAGGACAGGTGTCTGCTGTCATCGAGAGAATGAAGCTACCTTGGAGTAAACTTGCCAATGTCACCACGGATGGATCGCCAAATTTAACTGGAAAAAACGTCGGGCTGCTGAAAAGAATCCAGGATAAAGTGAAAGAAGAAAACCCAGACCAGGATGTTATTTTTCTTCACTGCATCATTCATCAGGAGTCTTTGTGTAAGTCTGTATTGCAGCTTAATCACGTCGTGGATCCAGTTGTAAAACTTGTTAACTTCATACGAGCAAGGGGACTTAATCATCGTCAGTTCATTACGTTCCTGGAAGAAACTGATGCGGATCACCAGGACCTACTTTACCACTCTCGCGTCCGCTGGTTAAGTCTTGGGAAAGTGTTTCAACGAGTCTGGGAGCTCAAAGAGGAGATTCGCTCATTTTTGGAGTTAATGGGGAAATCCGACGAATTCCCCGAGCTGAGCGACACAAACTGGCTTTGTGACTTTGCGTTTGCTGTGGACATATTTTCACACATGAATGAGCTGAACGTGAAGCTACAGGGGAAAGATCAGTTTGTGCACGACATGTACACAAATGTGAAAGCCTTCAAATCCAAGCTGGTTTTATTCTCCAGGCAAATGTCAAACAAATCTTTCGCACATTTTCCCACACTAGCCGTGCAGAAAGAGGCCGCCCGATGTGCGAAGAAATACTGCAAATCACTGGACGACCTGCACAGAGAATTTTGCCGTCGGTTCTGTGATTTTGAAAAAATTGAGAAGTCACTTCAACTGGTGTCCTGGCCCCTGTCACAAGACCCCGTATCAGCACCGCAGGAGCTGCAATTGGAACTGATCGATCTTCAGTCTGACTCCGTCTCAAAGCAGAAGTTCAAGTCTCTTAAACTGAATGACTTTTACGCTTCACTTAACGAGACCACGTTCCCAAACCTCCGGAGGACGGCACAGAAGATGCTGGTGTTGTTTGGCTCGACCTACGTGTGTGAGCAGACGTTTAGCGTCATGAAAATCAACAAAGCCCATCACAGATCCAAGTTTACTGACCAACACCTCAGATCTGTCCTGAGAATTGCCACAACAAAACTAACTCCAGACTTTGATGCACTGGCAAAAAAGGGAGACCAACAACACTGTTCCCACTGAAATTGGTGAGTTTTTCTGCTGTGTTATGAAAAAATGCATATGGAAAGTTTGGAAGTGCGTCTTTTAATTAAGAGCAATGCGCATTTACGCACAGCAGCGGTACAGTAGCTTAATTAACACGCCGCACATCGCTCTTAATTTCAATTTCAATTTTCAGCTGCAGGTAGGATATTTAATACAGCCTATGTCTGTGTGCTTGGCAACGATACACGTGTACTGTAAGGTGAGGGCGTCCGTGGCGAGTTTGTAGAGCGCGCGGTCAGGACAATCCATCCATGATTTTGCGGGGTTTAACACAAGTATATATTATTGAGCTTGAGTATTTCGTTGTGTAATAATATGTTTTGAATGTTGAAAGTGATTCCATTTTTCAATAAATGTTGATTTCTTTAACTTTGCACCTTCGATTAAAACTTATTAAAAACAGACGCAATCTTGATAAATCACAGTGCGTATGCTATTTTAATCTATTTACATTTCCTCCTCCCAGTATCGTACAAAATAGTATGTAAACGCCATATCTTGCATATTCCTTGAGACAAACTTATTAACTGATAAGGGCTATTTTTCACATTTGAAAGACAGTTAATAAATTGGGTTGTAGTGTTCTTACTGTGCTATGAGGTTTGCACACACTACATGTAATGCTTTAGTATGTCCGGCCCAAACACTCCATCCAAATGCTCCTGGCCCGGCCCCTCTGTCAAATTTTAGAACCCATTGTGGCCCGTGAGTCAAAAAGGTTGGCCACCCCTGTGTTAAACAGTAAATACAGGTGTAACATGAAACAGCTGTGTTACATTTTACGACATACACATTTCATCCATCTGTAATATTTCACCACAGCATCTCCATGACCCCATATGATTACTTTTTTGTTTTCTTCATAGAGTTGCTAAAGCTGTGTTTCTTCTGTCACACACTTTCCTGTCTCTTGCACCTGTTAGAGCATTCTGATCATGTTTTCTTCTCTCAGTTGGTTCCAAATTTGTGCCCACCAGCATGCAGTGTTACATGCGTGCAACGCAGCCAATTGCATGAGCCTAGTTCCTTTCACATGCAAGCATTAAGGGAAGCAAAAGCCAGGCCATGGAGTGTAATGTGTCCTTTACACACAGGTGGTTTCAGTTTTAATCCTGTTATGCATGGCATTTGTTTATGTTGGGATCTGTGCACACAACGGATCTTTGTCACATGGGGTTCAAATATACGCAACTTGATGTGAGTGTCTTTATCTGTTCACATCAGTCTCCTCCTGGGAGAAGTTTGGCGTTGCTGTCCTCAGTCATCTTTTCAACCACTTTATAAACTTGCAAAACACCCCGTTGGTGGTGCATTTAAAGGTGAGGAGATTTGTGATCGGTGAAAATAGGACTCAGATGTGTTAAATCCACTTCAAGCCTTCTCCCCTCCTTCTCTCCAACTTGCGTGACTAGCAGGGGCTGAGATGGGAAGGAGGTGTACTTGCGCAGGACTGCACCACTCACCAATTTTTTAAAGTGTGCTTGGGCAGGCCCCATCGGTGGACCTGATTTGTGCCGTGCCTTCCTCAGTATCCCAGATGTATGTAGGAAGCAAGACTATGCAAGTCTGTCTTGAGCCAGCCTTAGTTAATGAGGCTGCAGTGCCTTGGTGGAACAGCTTAAGGCTTAATTGGAAGATGGCGTAAGTGTAAGCCCAGACTTTTAACATAAGCACAGCATTGTTAAGCTCCCTTGATGTAATATCCCTCAGCTGTAGTCTGATGTTATCGTTGTTGTAGATGAGCTGTAATCTGATAATATCATTGTTTTTGGAGATCAATTGTTATTGTTGTGGATCAGCTGTGACTAATGTTATTATCGTTGTTGATCAGCTGTAGTCTGATGTTTTTGTTGTTGCTGTTTTGGATCAGCTGAAGACTAGTGATGGCGTCTGATAAGGTGTGAGGCTCAACATGCAGACATTCAGATGACAAAAGAGGGAACTCTCAACACACATAAACACCTGCTCAGGTTTAGATTTAATAACTTAATATGTCCCCAGGGGTTAATTAAAAATGCAGTGATTAAAAAAAAAGGTCAGAAGTAGCATAAAGAAAGAGTATAAAAAAAAACATCTGTATGAAAATACCACAGTCAGTGCAATAACTGCATAGCTGATACAGACATAAAATTATACTATAATATACTAGCACCAAGTTCGGGAAACAAGTTTGGAAATATATGGAGAGCATTAAAAATGAGGGAAGATGATGTTTAATTAACAAGGGCGAACAGTGTGTCAAAGAGCTGTAATGGAGGAAGTAAAGAGAGTGAAGAACACAAGAACAGGTTCTGTTCAGGACCAGAAAATTTAAAAAACAGTGGGTGTTAACCAAACAAACGCAGGCCACTTTAAGTGCGCCATAAACTCAGGAGGTAGAGTGGTCATCCAATAACTGGAAGGTTGGTGGTTCGATTCCCCCCTATCCCTAGTCTGTCCGTTGTGTCCTTGGGCAAGACACTTGACCCACCTTGCTCCCAGTGTGTGTCCTCCACTGGTGTATGATTGTGAGTGATGTGTAGTGGTGGTTGCAGAGGCCGTAGGCACAAACTGGCAGCCACGTTTCCGTCAGTCTGCCCCAGGGCAGCTGTGACTACTAAGGTAGTTTAGTACCACCAAGGTGTGACTGTGTGAGTGAGTGAATGAATGATGTATCCAATGTAAAGTGCTTTGAGGGTCTCTGATAAAGCACTATATGAAATCTGATGCATTATTAATATTATTACTATAACTAGTGTAGAAAATGACTAAACTGGTGAACAAACTTGACAAAAACTGGTATAAAACTGAACTGTATGTGCTTAAGAAACTGAACTGTAAATGCTTTAGACCCTTGAGTTTTACTGGTGTACAAACTGGAATACAACTGGTGTATAACATGGACTATAACTGGTGAATGAACTGGACTGTAACCTTTTAGAAACCAGTGAGCAATTACTGGTCAATTAACTAGACAACAACTGGTCCATGAACTGGAAGATAACTGGTCAATAATCAAGACTTTATCTGGTCCATTATGTGTGCTAAAACTGCTGTATAAACTCAACCATCACTGGTGGATCAACAGGTCTCTCACTGGTTCATAAACTGGACTGTAACTGCTCCATTAACTGGCCTTTAATGGGCCATAAACTGGACTTTGGCTGGTCTATAAACTTGCTAGGTAACTGGATTTTTACTGGTTTTTAAACTGGTCTATTACTGGCTCTGTTACTGGTCCCAGTCTTATGAAGAGGTGACATTATCCATGTCCCGAGAGCTGCAGATAAACTTGTTAACCCCTGACTGCAGCTCTGTTTATTTTTACACATACACCCATACACACACACACGGATGCACACACACACTCACACACCTTATTTGGTTGGGCGCCAGGAAGTCCAGGGAAGGCGTTGATGTGGACCAGAGAGGCTGGCAGAGAGGCTGGAGTGTGTGTATTTTTTTGTTTTTTCAAAATTTTTTGGGGGGATGGGGGGGTCCCTGGTAGCACAGTGGACTATTTGAGCTAAGTCAGCAGTGTGTGTGTGTGACTGCACTGCCTTCATGGAAAATTCCAGCAGCAGAGTCATTCAGACACTTCAGACAGGAGGAAGCCCCCCCCCCCCCCCAAATCCCCACATTCTCTCACATACACTCTCTCTCAGCCGGGGTGTGCTGGTGAGGAGACAGCGTCTGAAAAGTTCAACATGACAGGTCGGGGAGGAATTCAGGCTATGTGGCACACACACGTTACTGTGATATCTGTTAACAAAGTGGGGACCTGATGATGTCATTGTGATGTCATCATGGCTGTCAGAACAAAAAGAGCGTCTCAGTACTTTACCCTTAGCTTGATGCAGGTCTGAATACCTGCAGAACTACAGCCCAAGGTCCCCACAAAGATGTGAAAACAGGAGGACAATACACACAGCATATAGTTGTCATGTCATAGTCAGGTTCAGTCAATCAATCAGTTAATCAATAAGTAAATCTTAAGTAGTGTAGCATCAATTCACTCCCAAGACGCTTAACAAAGAACCTGGTCTGGACCAGTTCCTGTTTACAAAGACCAAATGTAAAGAGGGGATCAGACTGAGCTCCATCCTGTATGATCAGACCCACTTTCAACCGATCTTCAACAACATGAGTGGAACACTTTACAACATTTACCAAGTTACAGTGGAGAGGAAGACCCTCCTTTAACAGACAGACAGAAACCTCGAGCAGAACCAGACTGATGTTAGACAGTCATCTGCTGAGAAGAAGCTGGGTTTAGAGAGAAAGATGGAGAAAGAGAGAGATGGACAGAGGAGAGACTAATAGAGGGAGATGAAGAAAGAGAGAGATGGACAGAGGAGAGACTGATAGAGGGAGTCAAAGAAAGAAACATTCATTTATCTGTGGTGGCTTGCCACAAATAGTCTAGATTTTATGTTTTGTGCGCTTTTTAGGACTCAGTATGTATATGTACAGTATATGCAGCCCTGCCACTCAACAAATTACACATGGCCTAAAGATGAATATCCCACCCACAGATTTATCAAAGAGGAAAGTTTTAAGTCTACTCTGAAAGTAGAGAGAGTGTCTAAACCCTAGACCTGGTCTGGTAGATGATTCTAGAGGAGAGGGGCCTGACCACTAAAAGCTCTACCACCCAGACCACTTTTAGAGACTTTATTTAGATGAGCAGGCCTGCATGTTGAGACCTCAGTGTTCATCTTACCATCATTTGGCACTAATGTAGCTGGCATGTAGAAGTTTAATTGCCCTTACCTGTGAATAGTTTTGTGTACATTTTGTTTAGAAGGGGTGACTGGATTGTCACTTTGTGATTGGATGGAGCATATGTATATCAGAACCTTTGACTGTAAAAGATTCTTGGTCCACTCTTTTCCCCATTATTTTGTTATTTCTTGAAGCAGTGTTAAATGTCACAGCTTGGGGTACTCAGTGTCTTTGTTCTTATTGAAAAGACCAGCATTAATCCCACTGAAAAAAGGAGGAGGTAATCTGAACCTGACAGTCTGTGAATTCACCTGTACAGAGATAAAACTCAGAGCATCTCCTTCACCCTGCCCACTATGAATGACACTTACACCACACTGACTGTGATCACTAGTTACAGTCAACAGCTTAAAGATGTTCTGATGTTTGTGTTCACACGAGTAGATGATCCTGAAAAATACAGAGTTTATAGGAGATCAGTGTGTGTTTGTGAAAGATGGAGAGAGAGAGAGAAAGAGAGAGAGACCACCTCTGAGTCCTCAGTCCTGCTGGGTTTCTTCTTTCCTCTGTTTGTGTGATGAGATAAAACTCTGTATGTGTGTGTGTGTGTGTGTGTGTGTGTGTGTGTGTGTGTGTGTGTGTGTGTGTGTGTGTGTGTGTGTGTGTGTGGTCAGCAGAGTGAATCTCTGGATAATCTCCTCTGTTCTCTAAATAAACTGAGTCGTGTGTCGGCCTTTGGTTTGTGCAGTGGAGCTTATAAAAACACACAAAGACAGGAGTGTGCACATACACACACATACACACACTCAGATCAGCAGCAGCAGCAGTACAAATTATTCTGGTCCCCTGGCTTTTCTGAGCCCTCTGTGGAGGTAATTGACAGTTTTTCAGGTGACCTTAGGCCTCTTTTTTTTGAGTGATCTGAGCCGACAGTTGTCTTAAAAGTTAATTCATTAACAGGCTTAATGAAGCTGTGAGAAAACTGCCTGTCCCCTGGACTCAGGTGAGTCCTGTTAGCCCTCCAGGTGCTAAGCTAACCTTCTGTAATGTGGGCAGTACTACAGAGTCGCTGTCTCCAGTAGTAAGAGGAAGTCATCGGAGTGTGTCTGTCAGGGGACATGGGTACTTCCACTTCTCTGATTATTAACTGATTGACCTGAGACAGTCTGACCTTTGACCTTCAGACTGAAAGCCCACAGACAGCCAGTCAGTCAACCCCAGGGCCCAACACCCGCTTTTACCTGTTTAAATCCACATGAAGTGTGTGTGCCATTCTCTTGAGTTCTGAAAACTAGCTGGGACACTCTTTTACAGCTTAGTCATAATAACTTTGGTGGTTTCTATTAGAGCCCTGCAGAGTTAGAGTTGACGGTCCTATAGGAGCTGTGCAGTCAGATTGTCTGTGGGTCTGGGTTTAGTTTAGCTGAAGTTTGGGCTGATGGATGCTCTTTCTCACTCTGTTTCTGTGTATTTGCAAACAGTCTTCATGGTAACTGACTGTCACTCTTCATATCTGCTGCCAAAGTTGACTGTAGCCTGATCCACTCTGCATAAATACCACCACAGCACAGCCCTGCTCAGATACTCCTGGAATCTCCTGGATACTCCTGGATTCAGTTACCATAGATTGATTACAAATTAGCACTGAGGAAACACAAAGAAAGTACAGATCAATAACACAAAATCACAAAATAAAAACAGATAGATTACAGTTTAATTAGTTTTATCTCAGACTAATTGCTGAACAATCATGGATACATCACAGATTGATTTCAGATTAATCACTGATTAATTGCTAGGTAATTACAGATAAATCATGCATTGATCAGCTTCTATGAAGCAGCAGCTGCACAAAGCTGTATATTTCCAGATCTGGGGGTATTAGCAGACTGACGGACCTCCTCACAGGATTTCTGTTGCTGCTTTCTGTTCACTTACGCAAGACCTGGACCTTGCTGAATCTGAACCAGTCAGCTGTGGACCAACAGGATTACATAAGAAAGAGAAGGAGGGCTGGAGAATAGCATGTCCTGCTGCAGCTCTGTCTGTCCATCTGTCTGTCTGCCTGTTGTTTATAGCTGCAGTTTGTAAGATGATAGTTTGACGGGACGCAGCAGGAGAAGGAGTGTCTGGGCTGATGTTGGTTAATCTGGGTGATAAATAAACCCTGGATCTGTGGTTTTGTAATAAATAGATCCTCAGTCAGTGGATCAGAAGTGGTTTTAGCTCCTGTTAGTGATTGGCTCTGTGTCCACAGTTGGAGCAAAGATGTTTTTTAGCAGCTTGGACAAGTTGCAAGATCAGAGTGTGGAAAAACAGGCAGGACGTACTGTCTGTCCAGGATCAGAACAGCTTACAGGTGACAGAGACTCAGCCCCTAACCCTCACCTGGAAAACAGAGCCAGTGAACACCTGGTCCATGGGGTTTTAAACACCATCTCTAACTTTCATTGCTGCTTCTGAAGTTACCGTCAATCCGTCAAAAATGAACACCAGATAGAACTCTACAGAGTCCATCACTCACTCTGACGTGAACCTCTAAAACTTTGATCAAAGCAGGTCTAAGGGAGAGAATGAGTTATGGGATGTTTATCTTTGAATTAATATCAGGGATGGGCTAAAATATCCTGTCTTAGTTAAAGGTCTTGTACTGTGATTAAATTTTACATAACAAAAGAGAAATTACTGATCAGTTGATCTACTTAAATAAAAGTAAAAAGCACCCTGTTTAAAACATACTTACCTTAAACCTGGAGGTGTGACATCATGACTCGAGATGATATCTGACTGATGCACTTAGCTGAAGCAGCTGGAAAGCAGGCAGGTTCATGACAGTAAAACATCTGCAACAGTGATCCAGAGGAACCTACAGCGTGATGGAGGTCAGGAACTGCCAGAAAAGACTGTGTTACTGACTCTAATGGGATATGATAGGTTCAGAGATAATGATACAGAAAGAAGTAGGATAGAGAAGGAGGGAAAGGTGTTCAATGTACCAGTGCCCCTGGCAGTCTTGGCCTATAGCAGCATAATTAAGAGCTGGTCCAGACCTGAACCAGCTCTAACTATAAGTTTTATCAAAGTGTAAGTCTACTCATAAAGGTAGAGAGAGTGTTTGCCTCCCACACCTGGACTGGTAGAGGATTCCAGATTAAAAGATCCTGATAACTGAAGGCTCTACTACCCAGACCACTTTTAGAAACTTTAGGTATGATAAGCAGGCCTGCATGTTGAGACCCCAGTGCTCTGGGAGTCTCAACATGCAATTTAATGGGAAGCCAGTGTAGAAAAGCTAATTTAGGGGAGATGTGCTCTCTTCTCTTGACTCTTGTCAGTACTTGGGCTTCAGCAATTTGGACCAGCTGTAACCTCTGTATACACTCCTGTCAAATCAATCTAACTTTCTGTAACTTCCATCTTACCTCTGTGTAATCCTGTTACATCTCTACCTTCCTGTTAAATCACTGTAACGCATGATTATCTGACTGTACATCTATAACTTATGTGTAACTCTCTGTTATTTACCAGTAGCTCTTTTATCTCATAAAACTCTGTTACCCACCTGTATTTCCCTGTGACCTTGCTGTAACCCCTGGTTTCCATCCTTTACTTCTCTGTTAAATCACTGTAACTGATTGTGACCTCTCTGCAACTTCACTGTTACTCTCATTTACTCCTTCTGCAACTCTGGAGAACCTCTGTAACCTCTCAGTTAACTCCCTGTGACTTTTATGTAACTCTTTGTTACACCTCTGTTACTCTCTGTAACCTCTGAATGTTCTTTGTTACCAATTTTTTTACTCTTTTTTACCCCTCTGTAACTCTATATTACCGCTTATATCTTTCTGTTAAATCACTGTCACCCTCTGTATCTCTGTAATCTCTCTGTTTCCTCCCTGGCGATCTCTGTTAACTCTTTTACTCCATGTTACCTTGGTAACATTATCTTGGTAACAATCTGTTACCTCTCCGTAACTCTCTGCTACTTGTTGCTACCATAGACTCTATATAGAATGAACTGCGTCTGCCTCCTTGCTGAGTGAAGCCACCGCAAGAACAGCCACCTCTGGTGAGGGGCTGCAGTATAGGTCATAAATCCCGCCTTTCTCCACCATGGTTGCAATGTTGATATGATAGTTACTGTAAGTTACTTAGTTACTGTAAGACTTGTGATTTGACCCATCCACAATTATCAAAATCTCAAAAATAAACACGTTTCCCCTAAAAAGATGTGCCTGAATGGGCTGATGATCTTTATTAGGCTTTAAAAAAAACTCATTTCGACCCATGTTGTACAACCAACAGCTAACCACAAATTTTTGTTTTGGGGAAAACAGGTTAACTTACTAAGTTTCAATTAAGGTTAAATTACTGCAGCATCCAATCAGTAGTTGATATTTAATATAGAGGCTAGTTTTCCAGTTATGACCTTCATAATTGCTGATATCACTTGTCCTCACATGTTGCTTCTCTGGTCTTCCTCCTCTCCCTTAAATCCTCTTGTATCCAAGCAGTATTAAGGGCTTTGGGCATGGCAGACCTGAAAATAGTTCATGTTCGAGCGTGACTAAATATTTGCTTAAGAGCTCTGAAGTGGAGGAAAAATCACACAGCTTCAGAATAATTTTGATAGCTCATTTTTCTATAAAACACCACAGCAGCAACAAATTTAGTGATTGTTCCATTACCTGACGTTTGCCTAACCTCAACATGTATCACTCCCTGATGTGCAGGAGTGTGAAACGGCCTGCTCAGTGCACTATAATACAATACGATACAATACAATGCAATGCAATACAATACAATTCTGTACAATACAATAAAATACAGTACAATGCAATATAATACAATATAAGAACTTTATTGAACCCCAAAGGGAAATTCGTTTGTCTGGAGTCTCATGCCATCCACTATACAGCAGTCTGATTGCTGATATTAACAATGCATCACATTATAAAGCGCTTTATCAGAGACCCTCAAAGTGCTTTATACTGGATACATCATTCATTCGCTCACACAGTCACACCCTGGTGGTGGTAAACTATCTTAGCAGTCACAGCTGCCCTGGGGCAGACTGACGGAAATGTGGCTGCCAGTTCGCGCCAACTGCCTTTTTGACCACCACCACACAACACTCACATTGATACACCAGTGGAGGACACGCACTGCCTCTGATCAACCTTAAATAAAGTTCAGCTGTTTTAGTAGGCTTTCCTGACATTTTTGTAGCCACATCTTCCAGCATAAGCCATGGTCCACAGAGAGCTTCCAAAGCATCAGAGGTATCTCATTATTCAAAGATAGTGCTGGGCGATATGGAAAAAAATGTATATCACGATATGGATCATTTTATATCACGATAACGATATATATCACGATATAGCTATGGTATGCTTTCAGTTCTATGAAAAATTTAAGTGTATACAGCTGCACTAGTACAGTGCCAGTACAAGACCAGCACTTAAAACTAGAAAAATGAATAAATAAATATGTGGCTGAAGTGCGTTCATGTCTGTGCTCACCCAAAGGGATGCAACACTCACAGAAAACGCTGATAGTGTGAGCCAAAGCACTCCATAAAAATAATAATAATAATAATAATAATAATAATAATAATAATAAATTTAAATTGTAATGCGCTTTACATTTAAAAAAAATCTCAAAGTGCTACAGTACACAGTAAAAAAAGAGCAGCAACAATAAAGAAGCAGTAGAATGACAGTCACAGATTGGCATAAAAAAAGAATTAAAAAAAATAAAAAATATAGAGTTGCAATGTAAGAGGCAAGGTAGTAAAAGCATAAAGCATAGAGGAAAACTAACCAAAGACTTTATTAAAAAGGTAGGTCTTTAGGGCTCTTTTGAAGAGGTTGTTCACACTGCTAGATGTTTCTCCTCCAAAGCTGCTCTCTGCCTCCATCATTGTTTACTTTACTCTTGAGGCACGTAGGAAGACCCGAGCATGAATCCGAGCGCTTTATTCGCCTATCAGGGGCAGACAGGTAAGGTGATTTGATTCGCCACGACTCCAGAAATGATTGAAAAACTACAGAATGTCACAAAATTACGTTTCCTCACTGCTGGCTTGAAGGGTAGAAATGCGCAGCCGCGCTCCCAGCTGACAGGAAGTCAAACCACTGTTGTAGTTCTTTTGTGTTGCTAGCGCGGTCAAGAGTGTTGGCTCTCACTGAGAGATGACTACAAAAATGGACGCACCTGTTCATCTGGTTGTTTAACACGGCTGAAAATGATCATCCTTTAATGTTGTTCCCGCTCCTGCCCACTCCCGTTGCTTTTTTTCCCGTCCCGATCAAGGGATTAATTAAAAAATGACTCCCATCCCGTGGGATTCCCGCGGGAATCACGTGACCCACGGGAATTCCCGAAAACTGTCATCCTCTACAGGGAAGGTCCCGGAGCAGATGAAACAGGTGCCAGAGCGGCTGAAATAGGTCCCGGGTCCGATCAGAAGAGGTCCCGGTGCTTGCTCCGACTTGCTCCGGCACAAATTAAGCACTGCTTACATGATCCCCTCACGTATGTAACCCAGGTAACCCCGCATTGGCGGGAGACGCTGGACACGAAGAGGGCACGTAAAGCGGCGTCATGTCGCAAAATCGAAAGAGAAATGCAAGCCTACATGTCAACGCATCCTTTTCTTTGTAAGAAAATATTGTTTTCGTTCCCGTTTGACACCAAATACACTTACTGAATGTGCAATTATTGTTGTTGTTACTATGAATCATCTGATGGCACAGGCCCTATGGATAAAATACAGCCTATCGCCCGAAACGATAAAAATAAAAATGGCATGATAGACATTTTCTATCGTGCCCACGATATCTATCGTCCTATCGCCCAGCACTATTCAAAGATATCAGTCAGGTGAGGGCTACGAAAGAATTTCCAAGGAATTAAATATACCATGGAACACAGTGAAGCTCATCATCATCAAGTGGAGAAAATATGGCACAACGGTGATATTACCAAGAACAGGACGTCCGTCCAAAATTGATGATAAGACAAGAAGAAAACTGGTCAGGGAGGCTACCAAGAGGCCGACAGCAACACTGAAGGAGCTGCAGGAATTTCTGGCAAGTACTGGCTGTGTAGTACATGTGACAACAATCTGCCGCTGTCTTCATTTGTCTGGGCTATGGGGTAGGGTGGCAAGACAGAAGCCTTATCTTACAAAGAATAACACCAAAGCCCTGCTTAATTTTGCAAAAGACATCTAAAAATAAAGACATCAGGAGGTGTTATCGTGGTTGCCATGCTGGTGTAATGGTGAAGGCAAAGCTGAATGCAAGGAGGTGGCGATATAAACCCTTTCTTCCATCAATCATCATGGGAAACGTCAACTCTCTGCCCAACAAAAGCGATGAGCTGGAGATATTCGTGAAGACTGAGAAAGCATACCGTGAGTGCAGTTTCCTATGTTTTACTGAAACCAGGTTGAATCAAAACAACTTGGACTCCAGTGTGGATCTACCTAGGTTCGCTCTCATAAGGTCAGATAGAGATGCTCAAGCTAGTGGCAAGAAGAAAGGAGGAGGTCTGGCTTTATTTGTCAACCAGAGATGGTGTAACCCTTCACACATAACTGTCAAGGAGAAGTTGTGTTGTCCAGATATTGAACTGTTGGCAGTTGCTCTTCGGCCATATTATGTTCCAAGAGAATTTAGTCATATCGTAACAGTAGTTGTTTACATTCCACCCAAATCAACTGAAGAATGTTGCAATGTTTTGCTAAATAGTGTTGCCAGGCTACAGACTCAACACCCTGAGGCACTAATAATAATATCAGGAGACTTCAACCATGTCACCCTCTCCTCTCACCTGACTGGATTCACGTAGTTTGTGAACTGTCCTACCAGAGAAAACAAGACCCTGGATCTGCTGTATGCCAACGTCAAAGAAGCCTACAGAGCCACTGCCTTACCACCACGGGGCAAGTGAGATCATAACTTGGTCTATCTGCAAATCTGTTACAGACATTGTGTGCTGAGGCAGCCTGTGACCAAAGTCAAAATCAGAAGATGGACACCTCAAGCCAGTGAAGCTCTGAGGGACTGTTTTAAATCAACAGACTGGAATGTGCTGCAGGACACAGATGTGGATAGTATGAACATTGATTAACAGGTCAACTGCTTTACTGAATATGTCAACTCCTGTAGAGACACAGTTATACCCACAAAAACTGTTCGCTGTTTCCCCAACAACAAACCCTGGATCACAAGAGACATAAAAGCAATCCTTAACCAGAAAAAGAAAGCTTTTAAAGATGGTGACAAAGAACGACTCAAACAAGTGCAACAAGAGTTGAAAAGGAGACTGAAGATGGCAAAGCTGGAGTACAAAAAGACGATAGAAAAGGATCTACAACACAGCAACATCTGTGAAGTGTGGAGAGGAATCAGTACCATCTCTGGACACAGCAACAAGAAGAAAAGACAGCCAGTGGTGGATGATGTGGAAAGAGCTGAAGAACTCAACCTGTTCTTCAACAGATTTGACACTGCTGTCACACCCACTTCCACTGCTACTCCACCTTCCTCTCTGCAACAAATCTCCACTACAACTTCTCCCATTCCTCCTCCATCTTCAAGAGTCGGGGTGTCATCCTTGACAGTACTCTTTCCTTCAAATCCCACATCAGCCTTACCACTCGGACTGCCTACTTCCACCTCCGCCACATCAATCGTCTCCGTCCCTCCCTCTCCCCCAACACCACCTCCATCCTCGTCCACAGTCTCGTCACCTCCCGTCTGGACTACTGCAACTCCCTCCTCTTCGGTCTCCCTCACACATCTCTCCATAAACTTCAACTGGTCCACAACTCCGCTACCCGGATCATCACCAAAACCCCTTCATCCCACCACATCACCCCCATCCTGCAGCAGCTCTACTGGCTCCCGATCCCACTTAGAATCCAGTTCAAAATCCTCCTGTATACCTTTAAAGCCATCCACAACCTCGCCCCTCCTACCTGTTTGATCTCCTCCACATCGCCACTCCATCACGCCGCCTCCGATCCTCTTCCTCTCTCCACCTCACTGTGCCCCCTGTTCACCTCAGCACCATGGGGGCCAGAGCTTTTAGTCGCTCTGCCCCCCGACTCTGGAACTCTTTACCATCACACATCCGCAACATAGACTCCCTCCCCCTCTTCTAATCCAAACTCAAGACACACCTGTTTAAACTGGCCTATCCATCCCACCACCCCAACTCACTTTTTTAATTTAATTTTAATTGGTATTATTTATTTCTTTATTTATTCCTTTGCTGTTGAATGTTTTAATGTTGCTTTGTTAATTTTAACTGTTTTGATGATCGATGACTTTAATTGTTAATAGTGTTTTATTATTGTTTCTTATGTTCTGTAAAGTGTCTTTGAGTGACGTGAAAGGCGCTTCGATTAAAATGTATTGTTATTGTTCAAATGTCTCAACCACTTCAACTGCCTCCCTCCTAGAACACCGGTCCTTGTCTGTCACTGAAACAGGGGTGAGGATGGAGCTTGGAAGACTTTGTCCTGGGAAGGCAGCTGGTCCAGATGGTGTGTGTCCAAGGCTGCTTAGAGACTGTGCTGCAGAACTGTGTCAACCTCTCCACAAGATCTTCAACCTGAGTCTACAGCTGGGGTGGGTACCTGCTCTGTGGAAAACATCCTGCCTTGTGCCAGTACCAAAAACAAAATGTCCTGCTGAACTCAATGACTACAGACCAGTGGCCCTCACTTGACACATCATGAAAACCCTGGAGCGGCTGATTCTACACCCTCTGAGGTCTGAGGTCAAAGACAAACTCGACTCCCTGCAGTTTGCATACAAAGAACACATTGGAGTAGATGATGCTGTCCTCTACATGCTTCACTGTGCCCTGTCTCATCTGGAGGAAGCTGGGGTTTATGTGAGGATCATGTTCTTCGACTTTTCAAGTGCATTCAACACCATCCAACCCACCATACTCAAAGACAAGCTCACAGAGATGGGAGCGGATCCTTCCTGTGTTTTCTGGATCAGAGATTACCTGACAGGAAGGCCACAGTTTGTCAGGCTGGGAACTGTGTTTCTGGGACATTAGTGAGCAGTACAGGGGCTCCACAAGGGACAGTGCTGGTGCCATTCCTGTTCACACTGTATACGTCAGACTTCAAATACAGCACTAAGTCCTGCCACATCCAGAAATACTCAGATGACACCGCTATTGTGGCATGTAGAAGCTGAATACAGAGATCTAATAAGAGCCTTCAGTGACTGGAGTCACAAAAACTGCCTCCTCCTCAACACCTCAAAGACAAAGGAGATGGTCATAGACTTCCATAGATCCAAACCCCCTCTTCAGCCAGTGAACACCTGTGGAGTGGACATCGAAGTGGTGACATCATAGAAACACCTAGGTGTACATCTGGATAATAAGTTGGACTGGTCTAAGAATATAGACTTCATCTACAGAAAGGGGCAGAGCCGCCTTTTTTGCCTGAGAAGACTTTGATCAATAGACATCTGTAGTAAAGTGCTGCGGATGTTTTATCAGTCTGTGGTGGCAAGTGTTCTGTTCTACGCTGCAGTCTGCTGGGGAGGAAGCATCAAACATAAAGATGCAAGACGTCTTAACAAACTGGTGAAAAGGCTGGCTCTGTGGTTGGACTCAAGCTGGACTCAGTGGAGGATGTGGTGGAGAGATCTACACTGAGGAAGGTGGAGACTATTCTAAAGAACATGGATTACTCACTTCATAACACCTTGGTGGACTTAAGGGCCAATGGTGGTGGACGGCTCCTCTCTCTTCGCTGCAGGACAGAAAGATTCCGAAGATCTTTTGTACCAACAGCCATCAGGCTTTATAGCTCTTACGTAAATCATAGATAACTTTTATAGACATATTTTGGGAGACAACAGACAATTGAATTTCCCTTCGGGGATCAATAAAGTTCTTCTTATTCTTCTTATTCTTATCTTTCCTCTGTCTCTCCTGCTTCTCCTCTTATAGTTTTTTTTTAACAGTCCTTAAATTTAAATCATGGGTTTTCCTCAAGGTACTCCAACAAAAATAGAAAGTTGGTGATAAGTTGGCTGGCTGGTTCACAGGTTTGTCTGCTTGTTGATATGTTGGGTGATTGGTTATTATTTTTTTGCCTTTGATTCATTGATTGGTGGTTGGTTGGATGGTACGTGGACTGGTTAGTTGGTGGATTAGAAGTTGATTGGTTAGTTAGTTGGTTGGTTAATAAATTAATTAATTATTGGTTGATTAGTCAGGTGGTTAGTTGGTCGGTTAATAATGGTTGATTAGTTGGTTGGTTGGTTGGTTGGTTGGTTAAGTAACAGTTGATTAGTCAGATGATTGGTTGGTTGGTTAATTAATGGTTGATTAGTCAGCTGGTTGGTCGGTTGAATGTTGTTTTGTGGTAGTTGATTGGTTGGTTTGTTGATCGAATAAGTAATGGTTTGTGTAATTGCCTTGCAGGCTGTCAGATTTGGGCTCTTCATAGCTGTTTAGATATTTGTTTTGCGTAGGTCATCTGAGAAATGACCCTGGACTAATTTGGATGGACTGCTTTTACCTAAACAAGGGCATGGCCAATTTTTTAAGTGGGGAGAGATGTTTGACATGTCTCCATACAGACATGGGGCTCTATTTTCGTGCCTCGCCGGAAACGTGCCGCAGGCTGTCTCTGTTCTCCGAATTGATCAAGTCAGGTCCGCTGCGTCGACAAGGCGTTCCCAAGCACATTTTGGTATTTTGGTGAGCGGCGCAGCCCGGCGTACGTATCCCCCCTCCCTAACTCAGCTCCTCCCAGCGGCGTAAGTCATAGAGAGGGAGGAGAGAGGGCGTGGAGTGGGTTTAACACAGCCTAGACCTGTTTTCACCAATCACACCAGCTCCTCTCCTTGCCTTTAAATCCGCCACCGGCGAGGCGTATTACTATTTTCGTGAAGTAGTCAAAGAGATCAAGAGATGTCTGAAGACAGTAATGCCACACGATGGCGACAGAAGGCAGCCCCTCAACAAGTGTCACTGTAAGCACTGCATTTGGCGTCCTCCACACTCTCTCATATAAGCACAGATGGATTTGGTGTGTGTAATGTTGGACCCACTGGTAAGACAAACACCCTTTTCCACAAATAAAGACACTCACATAAAGTTGCATATATTCAAACCTCACTTAAAAAACTCCAAAAATGGCATTAAAATCGGAACCGTCAGTGCGTAAATGACACATCGCGCTCCTTAGCCTGGCAGTTTCTTTCATAGATGTTGGCATATAAAATAAATTTGGCTCACAAAACTGAATATTATAATATCCGTATGTCGGCTTAAAGTAAATAACTCATCTGATCACTGAAACAAATCATCTGTTCAGCCGCTGCAGCAGGACGGAGAGAGGACACGGAGACATGTCCAGGTCGAGCTGCGTGAGAAATAAGAGGAAGAGGAAGAAACAAAAGGAGGGAGACAAATTGAATATCTTGTTAACTTCATCATATGTGTTTATTTACTAGATATTTACTTTAATTTAATGCGGTTTCAGCTGTGTTTATTCGGTCAGGTTGTGTGTCCAAACACGTGCCAAACGGGCTCATCAGATCAGATATAGATCAGAATATATAGCTCTAAATGTATGTGCTGACTCAGATTATTAGTTGTTGATGATTATTTATTGCACTGAAATGTGTCTGACACTGTGGAAACCTGCCGGTGAGGCATCGGTGATGTATGCCGATACGCTGCCGGTCTACCAAAATACTATGTAGCGGTTGAAATGAGCCTCACACGGTCGCACCAAAATATATGTAGCGATTTGAAATGAGCCTCACAAGGCCACACCAAAATAATACTGTAGCGATTGGAATTTATAATAAATGTCTGAAGATGAATAATCTCAAATTATGACATTTATGCACTCGTTGAAAGGGGCACCACCCACCCTTAATGGTGGGAAAATAAAGAAAACAAAAGTTTAATTCAGAAATCAAACATCAAGTCAGTTTTAATTAATCAGTCTCATATCTTAAGTCGAAATTCTAATTTCAGGGACTCCACTTCTGGAAGAACACTAACAGACAGGAACTTAGAAAAATAATTATCTGTTTATTACAGGATAAATGATGGTACAACACACATGCAATAAATGATGATAAGATAATGAGGATAAAATAATAATAGGTGAATAAATAAAGATTCTGAGTCAGGCTAGGAGCACTAAAGTTAATGATAGTGAGTGAATATGCGCTAACATATTAACCTACACTAACTTTGGTGTCGAGATAAACTCGGATGTGGATTTGGAGGAATCTAAGATTACCAGAATAAGAGGATATCTGAGTTGAACGCAGGAGACAGCACCAGCCCTCTTTAGAGCTCTGGAGGTTTGCATACTTAAGTGAGACTGGTCCTTGGAGAAGATGGAGCAGGTTCCGAAGGTCCGGGCTACTGGCGGTTCGAGCGGTTCAGCTCAGAAGACGACTGAAGTCAGCCGAAGGATGAGCCAGGAGTTGCAGCACTCGGGCCCGAAGCAAAGCCAGCGCCTGTGGATCCTGTGGATGCTCGTTTGGGTACTTCTTTGGTCTCACTTAAAAACTCTGGCACAGAGGATGACCTGGGCCTGCTGGGTTGCGTTCAGAGGTGACTTTGAATCACGCAGAAAACTCAGAAAAACGAGACCCGAGCAGAGAAAACTTTCAAAAATGGCTTCGCGAAATTAAAGAAAAATCAATCAAAGGCTTAATCTTGAATTGCTATGTGCACAAAAAGTTGAAGTTTCAAAACTTGAACTAAGACGATGTTAAAGAAAAATCAACGTGAATCAACACGTGGCGTAAAACTTAGAAGACTAAGAAAAAGTTCTAAGAGAAAACAGAGAAACGCACCACAGAAGGGTGTGGGCAGAAGAGAGGGTAAAAGAGTCTAGAGAGAATAAGAGTGAACAAGAGCATAAGAGATAAGACAGTGAGCAACCCCACTCCACTGGTTTTATCTTCTCACACTGGGAGTGTCTGAGGAGAAAGAGGAGGGGGTCATCGGGTCTCTGATTATTTGATCTAACTTATTCTTTTGGCTGGTAAAAGAGTCAGATCTGATACTCACTCACTATGATTAATATCATTGAATGCTTGGTTTCATGATAAATAATTAGATACTAAACACATATGAATGAAGTGTAGGATCACATCAAACATTCTCATTATGTTTTAAGTATCACATTGAACATGCTAAATTACTCTGAAATGAAACAGATAGTAACACATGGAAACTGTGAACAACAAAAGAGTAAACACATGTGAATGAACATCATCATGATTAATAATGGATTCTAAATACTCACATTCAGATTATTCAATGACATTATAACCACCTAATGGTTAAGATACTAAATAAATAACTAAAATATAAACCAAACATTTTTAAACTATTTCTGTGTTCTTAGAGTTAAGTTATGATCCATAGTCAATAAATTTAACTCTTAAAAGTTCATGAAACAGTCTGAAAAGCTGTTGGTCTAAAGAAACTAAAGAATAAAGGATTTATTCTGTCAGTGATAACTCGGCTTCTGTAGCACATAGAAAAACAGGAAACATCTCATTTTAACACAAATTTCATGATTAGACAGATTAGTACATTGCTGAATGCATAAGATGTCAGGATCAGTCATTTGTATTCTTTCACCAAAGGAATGTAGTCTTTATCAGTGTATGGTCGAGCAGGGTTTTATGACCGAGGTCTGGAGGTCAGTGTCCCCCCTTATCCTGGGGTCCGTATGTTCACACACTTTAAGAAGGTAAATCTCAAATGGGAGATCTGGGTTGAGATGTCAATGTTTATTTAGATGGTCAGTGATGGAGTCAGTTTAAAAGGCAATAAAAACTCTGTCTCTGTTCTCCGAATTGACCAATCGTGAAGAGTCAGAAGTTTGGTCAACCTCCGGTTGGGTCACTTAGGCAACCCGAAAGTGCAAACATGTCTGGAAAGATTTATATCCTGTGTCCTGGGACCAGATAAGGGAACTTTCCTGTGAGGAGTGCGTGGGCTTCACATCCAGGGTTGTCTTGATTGCTACAACTACTAGACCAGCTGCGCGCCGCCTGCGCTGAAAGCTGACCAGGTTTGAATCGGCGAGCTTTCAGCGCACTTTACACGCCACTGGCGAGCACGAAAATGCCACTGCGGCAGCTGATTCTCTCGACACTTCCCCCTGCCACGGCACCACGCCCAGCTTGGCGGATCTCGGTTCGCCTCCGTGCGCCTCAGTCCACGAAAATACAACTGCGCGGGGTACGCCGCCTCACCGGCGTACACAAAAATAGAGCCCATGGAGTCAACATAAAGCAGCTGACCAGCTGGTTTCAGCCTTATGTCCATTGATCCCAGTGAAAACAGAAAGTTGATTGTAGTTTATTTTAAGGAAGAAAACTAACAGATAAAAGAAAAAGCAAACTGAAAGATATAAATAGCATGATTATCAGTCAGATATGAAATGAAATCTTTGCATCAGACTGTATAGCATGAGTTGGTATTACTATTTAACATATCAAAAAATACATCTCACAGTAGACCTTCAGAGGAGTAATCCCCATCTCCTCTCCTCTCTCCCCTGTCCTCTCCCCTTTCTTGCTTCTGTCCTCTCTTCTGTCCCCTGTCCTCTTCCTCTCTCTCCCCTTTGTCTTTTCCCCTTGCCCCTTTCTCCCCTGTCCTCTTTCTTTTCTCTCCCCTGTCCTCTCCCCCTTCTCTCCTCTGACCTCTTCCCTCTCTCCCCTGTCCACTCCCCTTGCCCCTCTCTCTCCTATCCTCTCCCCTTGCCACTCTCTCCCTTGTCTCCCCCACAGCCCCCCTCCCCCCACCCTCTCTCCCGTGTGAGGAGCATCTCTCCCAGTCGTGAGCAATCTGAAAGTAGGTCAAATAGTTTCCCTGTAGAGGATCCAGCTCTTCGTCTGACTTTCCATTCCCACATGCTCGGAGTGAATCTTCTGCTCTGGAAGTTTGCATCTGCTCATAAGGCAGGGACTTAAACCTGCTCACAGACTCTCAATATAAAAATATACTAATATAAGTCTGTACTTATCATGCACAGACTGAGTACAAAAAAAATGTCTATATTCATACATTTTCATTTAATCAGAACACTTACAGTATTTATACATTCTGTTAGAAAGACAGAAACACAGCAAAGAAAATGAAAAAAAAAACACTAATATGATCCATGTATACATCTTTATGTAAAGAGAGACTCTGCAGAGAGTAATGCAATAAAAACCAGAAAAATGATTCACGTTTTAGTCAAATGTTGGTGTGAATGAAATGTGATACGAAAAATAATGAAGAGAGTAGTAAAAGTAATAATGATTAAAAGGATGATGATTTGCATGATGGTATTTATGTAAGTCAGCCATCCCCAAATGGCGATGCGCAGGCCGAATCCAGCCTGCAAGAAGCAGTTTTCTGGCCCACAATGACCTGTGTAATGTTTAATAAACTGAAATGTATGAAATAAATGGGATGATACAAAGCGCAAGTTGCAATGTATCTTGACCTCATGGCGCCCCTTACTCTTAAAGTTAACTGGATACCTGCTCTATCATGGTAATTACGCACTCCTTCGATGCTCCAGTTGGCTCAGCAAATACAGTAGGCAAGCTAATGGTGAGCGTCAGGTAATCTGGAACGGCTCTTAAAAAAGGGCCAAAATAACAACATGGCCAGCTCAAAGAAGCACAAAGTCAACCAGCAAAACGGACAGGTTAAATCTGAGTGGACTCAGCAGTTCTGTTTTATTTGGCAAGAGCCAATGTCAGACTAGCATGCTTGACATGCACCCAGACCATGGACCAAAACTGAGAACCTGAAGGGACACTTTAACACTCTGCATGCAATGCCCTGTATCCTGCAAAATTCCATAACCACAAACAAAAGGTTGCACATATGATAACAACATACAAGCAGTCTGCCCTGACTATGTGCAAATTGACATTGGCACAAGAGAGCACAACAGCTGTATCACTGCTTCTCCCATGGAATGTAGCCAAGGCTAAAATGCCCTTTGTTAATGCTGAGCTAATTTAAAACTGTGCAACTGATATGGTCTCAGAAGTTTTCAGCCACGATGAGAAAAACAAGAAGACGGCTGTGAAGCTATTGAAGCTGATTCCCCTGCCGGACAACACAGCAACAAGAAGAGTGGAGGTTTTAGCTGAGGAGTTTTTTCCCAATCTGCTCACTGATTTGAAGGAAACAGAAGCTTTTTCACCAGCCATAGACTCCTCTTGTAACAATACAGCCATCTGTGTTTACAAGGTTTTTTTGATGGACAGGTGTTTCAGGAAGAGCTGCTTTGTTTGCTTCCTCTGCCAGGGTTCACAACAGGGGGAATTGTCTTTAATGAACTGACACAGTTCTTTGAGAAAACGGCACATATATGAGCAAAATTGTATCCATTGTCACAGATCGGTCTCCATTAATGGCGGGACAACACAGGGGCTTGGTGAGCAGGCTTGTCACCGTTAAACCAGGACTCACGGCATTCCATTGCTTTTTTCACCAATCAGCACTTAGTGGAGAAATGAAGAAGACAATGGATACTGTGATGACACTGATCAACTTTGTTCCAGCCCACAACATTGTCTTTTCAGAGCTTTGCCGGAGGAAATGTCAGCGGAACGCACAGATCTTTTTGCTCCATAATGTTGTTTGCTGGCTGAGCAACGGGCCGTGCGCTGGAGCAGGTTTGTGACCTACGCAGTGAACAAATTTGTTTTTGATCCAACCTGCAGAGCCCCTGAGCAGTGGAATTTCTGCATTATCTAAGCAACAACAAAAGTATTGTGTATGTTTTTTTTGTTTTTTTTTTCTGTATGACATTATATCTCATCCTAATCTACTCAACCTTCAACAACAGGGGAGAACCACATGGTTCCAGACTTGTATGAGGTGATTGGTGCTTCAGATTGAAACATGGCATTTTGGAGAAAGACATTCAGGGAAGTAAGTTAGATTTCCCACATCTAGAGAGGCACTGTGAGGAGCACAACCTGTGGGAGAACCCAGCAGTGAAGGATTTTCTGACCAGCCTGGCAGAGAACTTCAGGGAATATTTTGGAAACCCCTCTAAACTCCCTGCTGATCCTCTGCTCTGTCTGAGACATCCATTCACTGTCTCTGTGGACAGCCAGCGGACTGCAGAGGCCAAGAGACTGATGCCTACTACCTACGAGGCAGCTTTCCAGATGTAGATCAAGGAGATGAAAGCAAAAACACAAGGACAGCAGGGTAGGACTTTTGGACCAAAGTGGTCCCCCAAAATTTGTTTAAAAACACAAGAGCTGTCGCATTGATCCTGCTCACAATGTGAAATAGATTGACCAACGCACATCTGGAGCAGTGTCTCAGGATTGCAACAGTGTTAGGGTTAAAGCAGTTTTGTTTAATCTTCTGTGTGTATTTGTATTTTGGTGGATTTGATGGTTCTTTTTTTTGCTCTCCCGGTTGTGTTTTGTGCTTATGTATGGTACACTTTCAGTTAACATGATTCTATAAAGCCTAGTTTTTATTTCAGTGAACCATGATATTTTTGACATTTTAGAATAACTGTGGTGTGAATTGTCACAGTATGATTATTGTTGAGAGCTCCATAAATACAGGCTGTTAAATATAAAGTCATGCAGTAAAATGAGTTTATGATGCTGATACCTGCTTGGCGTCATTCACAGCGACATGAGCAGTAAATGAGCCGGAATATTACATAACGCTGATCACCAGACTACCTTTGGTTTATGACAACCCTGTCTTTGATTTTCAAGAGGTCTGTTCAAGACCAAATTCATCCATCACTCATTGAGCTCTCTCTCTCTCTCTCTCTCTCTCTCTCTGTCTCTGTCTCTCTCTGTCTCTCTCTCTCTCCCTCTCTCCTTCTGCAGATGTCATCTCTCCAACTCATTTAAACCCGTATTTTCGGCGTTTGACATTCGACGTGTCCTCGTTGGAGAAGAATGCCTCTAACCTGGTGAAAGCAGAGCTTAGGATCTTCAGACTGCAGAACCCTGGAGCTCGGGTGTCAGAGCAGCGGATCGAGCTGTACCAGGTATGCACCTCACCTGAGGACACACACCAGCTCTGAGCAAACACCATGAACCCATTAACACAGTGAGAGGCACAAAGAAGCAGAGGAGAAAAAAGAGGGAGACATGATGGGCTCCAGTTTCTTGCCCGCCAGTGGCACAGCACAGGATGGCACACCCTGCGCAGTAGTATTTTAGTGCAGCACAGGCTAGGGCACAGCTAGTTTGGTATTTTTGTTGACCAAGGCGCACCAGGAGTGCCAAGCTGGGCGTGGCGGTGCAGAAGGGGGAGGTATCAAAAGAAAGGTAACTTTGTCACATGGATTTTAATACAAAACCCAATTCCACTGAAGTTGGGATATTGTGATAAAGTAAATAAAAAGCAGAATACAAAGATTTGCAAATCCGTGTCAACCTATATTCAATTAAATACACTACAAAGACACAATATTTAATGTTCAAACTCATAAACTTTTTTTTTTTTGCAAATAATAATTAACTCACAATTTCATGGCAGCAATACGTGACAAAGAAGTTGGGAAAGGTGGCAAAAAATGCTGAGAAATCTGAGGAACGACATCAAACACCTATTTGGAACATCCCAAAGGTGAGCAGGCTAATTGGGAACTATGAAATCAGCTTCCCCAAAAACAACGTTTCTCAAAGTACAATTGCAAGGAATTTAGAGATTTCAACATCTACGGTCCATAATATCATCAAAAGGTTCAGAGAATCTGGAGAAACATAATCTGCACAAAAGCGGCACAGCCAGAAACCAACATTGAATGCCCGTGACCTTCGATCCCTCAGGCGGCACTGTATCAAAAATCTACGTCAATGTGTAAAGGATATCTCCACATGGGCTCAGGAACACTTCAGAAAACCACTGTCAATAAATGCAGTTCGTCGCTACATCTGTAAGTGCAAGTTAAAACTCTACTATGCAAAGCAAAAGCCATTTATCAAGAACATCCAGAAACGCCGCCGGCTTCTCTGGGCCCAAGCTCATCTAAGATGGACTGATTCAAGTGGAAAAGTGTTCTGTGGTCTGACCAGTCCACATTTCAAATTGTTTTTGGAAATAGTGGACGTCGTGTCCTCCGGGCCAAAGAGGAAAAGAACCATCCTGACTGTTATCGACGCAAAGTTCAAAAGCCAGCATCTGTGATGGTATGGGGGTGCATTAGTGCCCAAGGCATGGGTAACTTACACATCTGGGAAGGCAACATGAATGCTGAAAGGTACATACAGGTTTTGGAGCACATATGCTGCTATCCAAGCAACGTCTTTTTCATGGACGCCCCTGCTTATTTCAGCAAGACAATGCCAAGCCACATTCTGCACGTGTTACAACAGCGTGGCTTCATAGTAAAAGAGTGTGGGTACTCGACTGGCCTGCCTGCAGTCCAGACCTGTCTCCCATAAGAAATGTGGCACATTATGAAGCGTAAAATATGACAACGGAGACCCTGAACTTTTGAACAACTGAAGCTGTACATCAAGCAAGAATGGGAAAGAATTCCACCTTCAAAGCTTCAACAATTAGTCTCCTCAGTTCCCAAACGTTTATTGAGTGTTGTTAAAAGGAAAGGTGATGTAACACAGTGCTAATGCCCCTCTCCCAACTACTTTGGCACGTGTTGCAGCCATGAAATTCTGAGTAAATGATTATTTGCAAAAAAAAAGGTTTATGAGTTTGAACATTAAATATCTTGTCTTTGTAGTGTATTCAAATAAATAAAGGTTGAAAAGGATTTGCAAATCATTTAAATCCGTTTTTATTTACATTTATCACAATTTCCCAACTTCAATGGAATTGGGTTTTGTATATGCAACTTGATTTGAATGTCTTTATATGGGGAAAAGGGTGCTTGTCTTACAAGTGGGTCTTACACACACCAAATCCCTCGGTGCTTATTTGAGAGAGTGTGGAGGACACCACCCTGCCGAAGAGGCACAAAAATAAAGCTCTATGTCTGACTTACTGGTTTAGAACTAACTAACTAACTTAGCTAGTTAGGTAGTTAGTCTGTTAGTTTATAGATATTACAGTCCTAGTGTTTGTATGGCACCCCCTGGGTACCGCTCATGGAATTTATCCCATCCAGACGCAGTTTTGTAACCATGGTTTTATCCCTCAGACAGTCAGGGAGGGGTTGTTTCCATGGCGAATGCACCTGCATCTGTTGAGTCTCATGTACCCGTTAGTGTGTGCTGTAGATATTTGTGATTTCTCTCAGTAATGAGGTTTCTATATCCACACACACAGAGATTTTAAACCCAGGTTTGGATTCAAAAACCATGCAAACTGTTTACGGATGTTTTTTTTTTTCTTGACCTTTGACCTGCAAGGTTTTGTACATGTGTAACACACATGCTTAAAGATCAAAAACAGTGGTGAGGAAATAAATGAATGAATATGGCTGGTGTTGAGGTAACATCACCATGTTTTTTACTCTATGGTGGTGCAGTTAGGTGAGTTTACTCCAGCTGTCAGCTGACCTTGGTTCAATACTGATGATGAATGAACTGATTTTTATATGCTGCTTGGATTCAGGAGTCAAGCACAGGCCAAGTGTGAAATGTCAGGTTTCTTTATACCTTCCACCTACAGAGTCAGATTCACTCTAATAGACTGAGCTAAGTGTGGAAGAAATAAGAGTGAGGTCAGATTTGTAAGAGGAAAACAGACCTTAGGCTGTAAAACAGAGGGTAGTTTATTCTTAATACAATCATTAAAAACAGCACACACACACCCACATAATACTGTTTGTGTGTGTGTGTGTGTGTGTGTGTGTGTGTGTGTGTGTGTGTGTGTGTGTGTGTGTGTGTGAGAGAGAGAGAGAGAGAGAGAGAGAGAGAGAGAGAGAGAGAGAGAGAGAGAAAGAGAGTGTTTCAGGGAATGGACCAGACTGGTACAGAGAGCTGATAACATCCAGCTCATAAATCACACACACTCCCTTACAAACACACACATATATGCGCGCAGCTCATGTGAGCTGTGTCTCTCTATGATAGTGTCTCTTGAGGTGAATGAACCCATCACCTGTCGAAGGTGAGCCCTGCACAGACACCTGGGTCTGACATATGTTTACCTGTTGTTTAAAAAAATCCATCAGTCTGACTACACTGGACTAAATTGTTACTTCAAGACCCCTTTTGTTAGCTATAAACCATTCATGGAGGTACAGTGCATCCGGAAAGTATTCATACCACTTCACTTTTTCCACATTTTGTTATGTTACAGCCTTATTCCAAAATGGATTAAATTCCCTTTTTCCCTCAGAAATTCTACACAAAATACCCCATAATGACAAAGCGAAAAACTTTTCTTTAGAACATTTTGCAAATTTATTAAAAATAAGACACTCAAATGTTGCATATACATAAGTATTCACACCCTTTGCTATAAAACTCAAAACTGAGCTCAGGTGCATCCTGTTTCCACTGATCAGCCTTGAAATGTTCCTCCAACTTGATTGCAGTCCACCTGTGGCAAATTCAGCTGATTGGACATGATTTGGAAAGCCACACCTGTCTATATAAGATCCCACAGCTGACAGAGCACGTCAGAGCACAAACCAAGCCATGAAGTCGAAAGAATTGTCTGTAGACCTCCGAAACAGGGTTGTATTGGCGCACAGATCTGGGTAAGGTTACAGAGAAATATCTGCTGCATTGAAGTTCCCAAAAAGCACAGTGGTCTCCATCATTAAGAAATGGGAGACGTTTGGAACCACCAGGACTCTTCCTAGAGCTGGCCGCCCAGCCAAAATGAGCAAGCGGGGGAGAAGGGCCTTGGTCAGGGAGGTGACCAAGAACCCAATGGTCACTCTGACAGAGCTCCAGCGTTCCTCTGAGGAGATGGGAGAACCCTACAGAAGGACCACCATCTCTGCAGCACTCCACCAGTCAGGCATTTATGGTAGAGTGGCCAGACAGACAGAAGCCACTCCTCAGTAAAAAACACATGACAGCCCACTTGGACTTTGCTAGAAGACACCTGAAGGACTCACAGACCAGGAGAAACAAAATTCTCTGGTCTGATGAAACAAAGATCGAACTCTTTGGCCTGAATGCCAAGCGTCATGTCTGGAGGACACCAGGCACCGCTCACCACCTCGCCAATACCATCCCTACAGTGAAGCATGGTGGTGGCAGCATCATGCTGTGGGGATGTTTTTCAGCGGCAGGAACTGGGAGACTTGTCAGGATCGAAGGAAAAATGAATGCAGCTAAGTACATCGAAATCCTTGATGAAAACCTTCTCCAGAGCGCTCGAGACCTTCGACTGGGGTGACGCTTCATCTTCCAGCATGACAATGACCCTAAGCACACGGCCAAGAAGACAAAGGAGTGGCTTCAGGACAAGTCTCTGAATGTCCTTGAGTGGCCCAGCCAGAGCCCAGACTTGAACCCGATTGAACATCTTTGGAAAGACCTGAAAGTAGCTGTGCACCGACACTGCCCATCCAACCTCACTGAGCTTGAGAGGATGTGCAAGGAAGAATGGGAAAAACTCCCCAAATCCAGGTGTGCCAAGCTTGATGCATCATCCACAGGAACACTGGAGGCTGTAATCACTGCCAAAGGTGCTTTGACCAAGTATTGAGTAAAGGGTGTGAATACTTGTGTATATGCAACATTTGAGTGTCTTATTTTTAATAAATTTGCAAAATGTTCTAAAAAAAAGTTTTTCACTTTGTCATTACGGGGTATTTTGTGTGGAACTTTTGAGGGAAAAAGGGAATTTAATCCATTTTGGAATAAGGCTGTAACATAACAAAATGTGGAAAAAGTGAAGTGGTATGAATACTTTCTGGATGCACTGTACTTAGTGACAGTGTTTAGGGATTCAGATCTGAATCTATATTTGAGAAGAAAGTCTTGAAATTCCTTGTATTGTTTCAAAAATATTCATGGTGACTGCAATCTGGTGATTTTTCTATTGGCTGATCTTGTGCACAATGAGGTGTGTGGAATACACTTTCATCAGTGACTGCTGTAAAACCTCCATCATCTGACACATCAAACTGGGAAAAGTCAATCAGAGTGAGAGAGGGTACAGCAGACTGATGAGTGTAATTCCACTGATTTAGTCTTTGGATTGTTCTGTTAGTCTGGGTTATTTAATGAATCTTCTCCTGGAACCTTGGCTTGTTGTTTGATTTAGCATCAGTTATTTACTTTAATTATTTGTTAGCTTGAGGTCAATGTGAATCGGTAGTAGTTATGTTCCCGACCGCACCAATCCCCCGCCCAGAGCTGGGCAGTGCAGCTGTCACTTTCTCAGAAACTGTTCCTTATGGAAGTGGATTAAAGTTTTTCTCAATTAGCCAAAATGAAATCCAATTGCTCTCCCAATACTGACACTATGGGAATCAGTTTCCATTTAAAATACATGTGAACACATAAGTTTGACAATAACTGGATTTTATATTTCATGTAAACACTTTAGTGACTGAAACTCTTCTAGGGGCTGTGCCCCCCTCTGAGTCAGGACCAAGCCTGTGCCTCACCTCAACCCTCCCCTCTCAGTGAGGGAAAAATGGGCCATGGCACTAACAAGGTCTGTGCAGAGCCAGCTGTGAAGTGGAATGGTTTTAGGACCATCCAGTTGCAGAGGGGGTTGTTCCTGAAGGACAAGCTTTAGATTAGTCTGCTGGTCTATGTCCCACCTCACCTGTAGTCAAGAAGTGTGGGCGGAGTCTGACAGTATGAGGCAGTGAAAACAGACAGCTGAAAGATGTTTTCACTGCAGGGTTCATCCTCAGAGACGAAGAGACAAGCTCAGGTTCTTAGATAACTTAAGAGATTTAGGATCTGCTCAGGAGGTCTCCAACACAAGGTCTACCGAAGGAGTTTTGGCCTCACAGGTCCAGCATGGCTTCTAGTCTTAATGGTGTCTGCGGGTCGATTTGATTCAGTGCAGGTCTTTTTCTGAAGAAAAAAAACAGGAAGTAAGTTTTTAAAGAGTTTAGTCTTTGTCCCACAGATCAGCTGACTTTGACCCCCCCCCCCCACAAACACACACACACACACACACACACAAAGAACCTTCCCTCCCTCTCTTTCTCTCTCTCTCAGTCAGTTTCCCACACAGAGCTGCAGGAAAAGTGTTTTACACATTAGTGTGAGAGGAGCCAACACAAATACATGGAGTCAAAGGACTGAAGGAAAACAGCATCTGGTTACATTCTGCTGCTCTTACCAGACCTGACTAATCCATCGCAGAGATGAGAGCAGGACCACACTCTGCTGCTCCTACCAGACCTGACTAATCCATCGCAGTGCGGAGAGCAGGCCCACACTCTGGCTGTGTCTCAATTCAGAGACTGCATACAGCTGAATTGGAATTGGGACGGTCTACCCTTCCTGGCTGAGTCGCCAAATGTCCCCGCCCTCAGGTTGCATCACAACTGACTTGAAGAAAAGCTGCGGAGCGCAGCAGTTATTTTTTAATTGTGCGACCTTGCACAGACGCAAAACAATAGATACATACCAGCACAGATCATTTCCACAAAATTCATCCAATGATTGCATGTTTTGTATGGAGTATGAGGGCCATAATGAGAATTTTTTTAAAGACTTCGAGATCAAAGTCGTGAATTTACAAGAATAAAGTCATTAATTTACGAGAACAAAGTCGTAAGGTTACCTGTTATTTCAAAGGAGAGTTGTTAAAATTAGGACCATGAAGCATTTGAAGGAACTGTGCTTCAGTATAGGTTTCACAAACATGGAGATACTTCATCCTTTGGCACATCAGCATTACATTGTCATAAATATAAGAACTTTAAAAAGATTATTGTTGTGAGGCAGGTTCGTGGTGAGGACCCAGATGCAGACACAGAGACTGAGATCAACTTAAAGAGACTTTTAATGTCCAAAAAAGGGGAGATAGTGCAAACAGAGGAAGTCCGAAGGGCTGGTTGGCTGGCTGTCATGTGGGCTGGAGACACTGCAGGAAAAAACCAGAGGAGACAGGAGTTAATGAACATGAAAATAGTCACTGGGAGCAAAGTTCTGAAGATTATACCACGAGGAAGGCCAGGAGACACGTCTGTACCGCTAGGAAGGGTAGACAATACTCAGGCCCTGAGGCTGAGGGCTGCAGGCTTCTTAAAGTGCCTTGATTGGAGATGTGGAGCAGGTGTGTAGTCTCACTCAGCCTCAGCGCCGGGGGAGGGGAGGAAGCTCTGGAAAAGAGTGAAGCCAGACCAGACAAACAAGGAAACACAGGAAGTCCAGCCAAAATAAAACAAGATGGAGGCGTCTCACCACAATTATATGAGAAATATGTCTTTTCCATGGAAAAAAAAACAGGTGGACTTGGAGGAAATCGCTGCTTTTGTGGAGGCAGAAATGGATATACTAAGGATGTATCTGTCAGTGCAGCCGTAAGTAGCCGTGAATGGCATTGAGCTTTAGTTTATGATATGAATCCATATGTTATAATAAGGCGTTGGTGTCTCTGCAGGTGTAGGCTACCGCTGGTGTCAGAGACGTGGTGCTTGTCAGAGCTCGACTCCCACGGATCACAAATGTTGATCATCATCAGTTTGATTGTTTCTTAAAAAACCACAAAAACTCTCTGAATGACCCGCTGATACATCCACAGATAACCCTGCAGTTGACCAGCCTCAGACATTTCCCCCTCCACAAAAGCAGCTTTAAGACCTTATTTACTTTATGACTTTATTCTCCTAAGTTTACAACTTAAATCAGTAAGTCTTAAAAAAAAATTCTCAATGTGGATGTGGTCCCTGATACTCTGATGTAGTTTTGTCAGCTTTCCTATTTCTAATGTTTTTTCTGAAGAGTATCATGTTTGGTTCGCAGATTTTAGTGAGTTAAGAGATCATGCGCTTATGGAGCCTGAGCTGACTGCCTGCTGTTTTTGAATTTCTGTGATTTTCTTTGAAGACGCGCTGTGCCTCCAAGTGAGTCCGGCCTCTCACCTGAAATGCGCAGCTGTGCAGCGGCACGCAAAGAATTCTGGGATACCAAGGCCACAAAAGTGTGCATAAATGCACGCTTGAAAAAGGGACAGGGGCAGTGTGGTTTTGAGACCGCATTTGAAGCGCCCTCAGAATCACGAGCCAAATGGGACACCGTTGATGACGTCACGCACACTTGAAAATGTGCCGTTCGACGTTGCGGTCTCTGAAATGAGACTCTTGCTGCGTCCGAATTGCCCGCTCAGATACTACATGCTACTGCTACATACTACTGCTAGATCCTACTCCTACATACTAAACACGTTGGCCCAATTCGGACACACTAGACGAGCGGTGGGGAAAGACGACCCCCGCAGGCAGAGAGTAGGTACTGCGCCCGTGCAGACAGTGGTAACTGAAGCCCCTCATCTGCGGGCCTGGCTGTAGTACTGCAGCTGTGCAGTTTAATGATGGAATAAGTGAGCTTTACCTCCATGATGTCGCCACATATTTGCTCATAAAATGATTAGTTGGGCAAATATGACACCATGATATGACAAAGAGATACAACCGCACATTTTTTAGGACAGTGTGTGAAGTTACATGAAACTTACATCTGTACTGCTGCGGTCCCGCCTGCTGCTGCTGCTGCTGCTCCGACATGGTGCGCGCTGCTGTGGCCAGCCGGCGTTCGCGACACATTTAAAAAGGCAGCAGCTGGTGGCGCTAGCATCACATGCGCTTCTACAACTTTTAAGAGGACGAAGAAGAAGCCCGTGGTGCATTTTGGGTCAGTAGCATGCCCGTAGGATGCACCGAGACCAACCTACAATGTGGGCGTGTCTAGTATCCGAAGTAGTATCTGAAGTAGCATGCTACTCGCTCCGGTGGCCAATTCGGACATGCTAGATACTACTTCGACTACTACTTCGACTACTACTTGGCAATTCGGACGCAGCTACAGCCTCTGCTGCTCCCATTAGACCTGACTTATCCATCACAGAGAGGAGAGCAGGCTCACACTTTGATATAGACATAATATACATGGATGCCTCATAGACTGACGCTGCCCAATTAGCACTGATGTATCATCCTGAACGCCATCTTGAATGGGTCCCCCATTCAAGGCATTTGTTTCTATTGAGGAAGGTATTCCTAACTAAAATAAACATAACTCCCTACATTTTTACTTTGTTTTTTTACAGGGGTTGGTTTTTTAAACACAGCAGAGATGTAGCTATGATACAGGACACTTTCACACATAAAAAATAACCATAATTTGTTTTTAATCTTACTTGTAAAAGGTAATCCTATGTGATCTGGTTTCAATACTGCATGGATTTTTTTTTTTTTTTTTTTTTTTTGTAGGGTGCACAAAATACCAGTATAGCTGCTTTTCTCCATTGACTCCGTTTGGCTCTAGTGCAAGCCAATATGGCAGGATTATACTCCAGCACGTAATGAGGTGTCTATTATGTATATGACACTCTTCTGCTCCAACCAGACCTGACTCATCCATCACAGAGAGGAGAGCAGGCGCACACTCTGCTGTTTGTGTGGTTTGTGCAGTTTTTTTTATTGAAGGCTGAGATGTTGAAAAATTTGATATGGTGTCCAAGAAGGGGGATAGCTGATTATGACAAGTGAAAGTGTCTGCACATCTTTACCAACAGGAGCTCAACACAAGTTTTACTCACTCTGCTGCTCGCTCAGACCAAATACCATAAACACTCATAGCAAACAGCAGGCACCCAGCAGATTACTGCTTCCTCTATTAGTTAGGATCATCTAAATCTTCATTTTTCATCCTTAAACCTATAACCAAATGTGACAGTGCTCTGGCACCACATTTCAGACCAGAAAATCGGCTCATGTCCAGATGATCTGTTTTGTTTTGGACTAGTTGACCTGGACTGTGGTGGGTTACCTCTTTCGGTTACGGACACTTTCCATCAAAGAGAATGATATTTTTCATATAACAAATAAGAAAGAAATATATAATATATATATAAGAAATATAAAATCCAGTTATTGTCACTCTGCTCCGTGAGCTTCCTGCCTTTCCACCTGAGTGTGTGGAAAACTAAAGCTTGAGTCTATCAGAGCACACCTCCCCTTTGCTCAGTGTGCATATATGAGACACCAAGGCAGGGAGAGCAGCAGCAAAGATGCACGGAAATTACAAACCTCAATGACCACTATATGCTTACATGAAAGTGCCAGTAGGGGGAGGACGAGATGCAGCTTAAACGGAAGCCAGTTACAAAAATATGGCATGTGGCAAGGCTGATTAATTTTGTACTGATGGTATAGGTAAAATGGCTGTATAGGAGGTCAGAGACAATCAGAAAGTAAATGCTCTGTATCACAGGAGACCGGGACATGAACCCTTAAAAAGTTCAGGATGTGAAGTGGTTATAAAATCACCCGCTTTGGTATTCTACCATCTGAACCGTGCTACTGAAGCCATGCAGGAGTCAGCCAGAGTGTTATACAATACAGGCTAAGACATTAGGAAGATACACACACTGCTGCAAGACGAATTAGAGGTAGTGTTGTCATGCAGTGCGAAAAGGCAATGACTGTTTTTTTTTTTAGTTTTATCGAATTATCATTACGACAGCAACCAAAACAAACAATCACCAACATGAAATGAAGATGACATTGCCAGCATCATCATCATTATCGCTATCACCACCGAACTACCAAATGCTGAGTGGTTCACAGAGCTAGGTCAGAAAGTGTCTCAGAAGTAGAAAGGGACTGTGTAGCTCAAAAGAAGGGATCACTAAGATGGTGGCTTGTAGAGACATGAACATGGTTTTCCACTGGAGAGGCTGTAGCAGTGGGAGAGACACCTAGCCGCTTATGACATAGAGAGTTGCATGGCTGGAGTATGTGTGGATTTATTGTATGGAGTAAGCTGAATACTTTGCTGATGAGGTTGGTGTTGTGGGTCCTGTTCACGATTAAAGAAGGGACACTTGTCCTCGTAGGCCAAAGAACCATACATCAGAATGCTCTCCGGATGACAGCGTGAGAAATAACACCAAACTCTCAGTCATACATCTGAACATCTTAAGTCACGTCAAAGAATGGTGTGGTGGTGGTTTGCAGAGAAACAGGAAGACTAAGCAGGTTCACACTCTTTCAAACCTTTGTTGGACAGAAGAAGGCTATCAGCCGAGCCGTCAGCTAGTAAGGATGTTGTTAAAATCAGCTTCAGAACTCTGGGCACAGTTTGACTTTGTGACCTGCCTGAACAAACACTGTGCAACTAGCTCATGTCCCTCCTTATATTGTGATTCACACCAAAACTTTTACTGTTATGTGTCTTTTATTAACTTTTAATTGTGTTTAAACTGGTATGTTCACTGTTCATAGTGTTCCTAAAACAAGAAATGCCCTGACCCGGATTCGAACCCGGGACCTTCTTGCTGTGAGGCGACAGTGCTATCAACTACACCACTGTGCCGCCCATTGGTTATCTTTCAGCATTGACAATTCCAACGACACCCTTATTTTTGTGTGTTCTGGATCACAGTATCCAGAATTTTGTCTGGATCAGGATCAACCTTTGACACCTCATAAAACTCATTGAGATCCTTTTGTGTAATTTTTTACTAAAGATTCTGGACATTTTTATAGAGTTGAATGCAAAAATTCCAAAATGTGCCCTATCTCACAATGATAAAGAATCCTTCAAAAAATTCCTGGATCCAGAAGGCGATCCGGATCACCACCAAAATGTAATGGGATCCTCCTGGGGCTGAGACGCACCTCTGGTGAAAATTTCAGGTCAATCTGTCTGTCACTTTCTCCGTAAAGTTGCTAACAGACAAACAAACTAATAAACAAACAAACAAACAAACAAACAAACCAACGCTACCGAAAACATAACCTCCTTGGCGGAGGTAATAATCCTATTCCACTTCTCTGTCCTGTCTTCAGATTTTAGGACACAAAGACCTGACATCTCCAACTCAGAGGTACATAGACAGCAAAGTGGTACGAACTCAGACGGAGGGAGAATGGCTGTCATTTGATGTGACAGAGGCAGTGAGCGAATGGCTGAACCACAGAGGTAAAAGACCCATCTTCATCACTTCTCCATAAGTCATGTCTGTGCAACTGCTCAATAATCTCAACCTTTGTGTGCCCACAGACAGAAACAGTGGATTTAAGCTCAGCCTGCACTGTCCCTGCTGCACGTTTGTACCGTCCAACAATTACATCATTCCTAATAAGAGCGAGGAGCTGGAGGCACGCTTTGCAGGTGATTTCACCAAACATGGTGACGATGTTTTATTGTATGTCTGCAGGACATGACAGAGGAGTGATGTGGCTCTGAGTATCAGCTGTCAGACAGTTGTGATGTACCTGTATAAACCTCGGACTGTCGTTCAGTCATACAGTGTCTCTCCTTATGGTCCTACCCTGAATCACCTGGCAGCGAGCAGACAAGTAATAAAAAGAGTTCTGTCAGTCCAAAGAGGGATCTTGACAGATTGCAGTTGGAACCAGAAGGGTTGGGTTTGTTTGCTGAGATGGAGAACAGGTCTGAGGTTTAGCTGACAGAAACAGTAAGCTGCATGAGCATATTGTCCAGCACAGGAGTCTTTACCTGTTGGGATAGGTAGAAGGTGGGGTGCTAGTCTGTCAGGATGGACCTTTGTAGACAGCTATTGCTCAGCTGGTTCAGGACTGAAACCTGAGCCTAGCATTGAATGAAGGTCAGTGATCTTTGTTTCAGGTATTGATGACAGCTTCATCCATGGCAGTGATCTGAAGGTTTATAAGAGACGGCGGCATAGCTCTCAGGCTCCTCACCTGCTTCTCATGCTACTGCCTTCATACCGGCTGGAGTCCCAGATGCAACATAAGTCCCACAGATCTAGAAGGGCCCTGGATGCCGCCTACTGCTCCAGGTACCTCTCCACCTGGTTTTAAAGCCTGTTAACCTGTTTGGAGAGATCATGGTCATCTCAGTGAAAACAGTGTGTCTCTCTGTGTCTCAGTCCTGATGTCCTCATGTCTCTGCAGGAACGTTCAGGACAACTGCTGCTTACGCTCGCTCTACATCGACTTCAAGAAGGACCTGGGCTGGAGGTGGATCCACGAGCCAAAGGGCTACGAGGCCAACTTCTGTGCTGGGGCATGTCCATACCTGTGGAGTGCAGATACCCAGCACTCCAAGGTACGGTATGAGAATGGGGTCAAAGGTCACACACTCTGTGGGCCAGTGAGATCAGGATCTTCACTGGTTTATCTCTGTTACTCATGGTAGACTTTGGTTTCTGTGTTCCAGGTCTTAGGTCTATACAACACCATCAACCCTGAGGCCTCAGCGTCCCCGTGCTGCGTGTCCCAGGACCTGGAGCCCCTCACCATTCTCTACTACATCGGAAAGACACCCAAGATAGAGCAGCTGTCCAACATGAAGGTCAAGTCCTGCAAGTGCAGCTAGGACCTGGATCCACTCTGGGGACTCTGTCCTCCCCTCACCACAACACAGACAGACAGACAGACAGAAAGACAGAGGGACAGAAACACTGACTTACAGGTCACTCAGCAGAGTCTTCACTCCTTTAGTTACACTGTTTGTGACAGCTTCAAAACAGCAAACTGGACCTTACCTGAGCTTCTGATGATGAACTCTGGCTGCTCAGGGCTTGACTTTTAAACTTTCAGGACAAGTTTACTCCCTGGTCTTCATGCCCAGTGGACTGACTGTCCTGGAGGACAGCCTACCACCTGCTCCTGCAGACATCTGGATGTTGGAGAAACATCAAATACTGAACAGATCTTCAGACCTGAACATGACCTGGCAGCTCCACACTTCCAGGCTCTATAAATCTTGAAGTGAAACTGTCTAGGATCCGGCTGCTGAGACATCTTATAAAACTGTTTAAATGATGAAGTAAACATATTGACTGCACGTGCAAAGTGGATGTCCACTTCCTTTTTGAAGTCTGAACGTCAGTGTGTGGGCCAATGGCAGTTTGGATTTTGGAGAAGGTGGTAACCGTAATAGCTCTGACAGGTCATTCCCAGGTATCCCTGGTCCAGCCCCTCCCCCGCTTTCTGGTCTGTGTGACTCTAGATGGGACCATATTTCACCAAAGGACCGTAATGCTGTATCAATGAAGACTGGAAACAAGCGACTGAGACGTTAAAATAATTTGCAAGTGCTACAGGGAAGGAGGACCAGTTCCTAACAGACTGTGACACAGTTGGCCTGTTTTTATAACCAGAGGAGTCGCCCCCTGCTGGACATGAAAGGTACCTCTGCATTATTTCACTGGTATAAACATGAGGACATGTCCACATCTTTGGTACCGTCTATGCTGGATGCAGAATGTGATGAAGCTAAGCCAATATAATGCCTTCAGTTGTAATACTGCTGATGGTCTCTAGACTTCAGTTTGAAATACCTTGGTGGTATCAAAATACTTTTTGGATCTGATCAAAAAACTCTGTCTGTACACACATATGTGACATCATCATCATCAGCTGAATCAAAGGTAAACAAACCTGAGGACAAAATACTGCGGTATGTTACAGGTCCTTCAGAAATTAGAAATTGTGTTTGGCTGTAAAATGTCTGCCTTATTTCACACCTGGCTGACCTCAAAGATCCAGCAGACCCTGCACACCTGAACTCACCTCATACTGGTGGAACACACCTGATGTAAATAATCTTTAATGGTGGATTCAAAGACACAATAATATATGAGTTATTTTAACCCTGCTGCACACACACACACACACACACACACACACACACACACACACACACACACACACACACACACACACACACACACACACACACACAAACATACACACAATAGTTTAAAAACATCTATGACTAGTCATAGATGACTACGACTATAGACCCAAACAGATGAATGAAAATAGGTAGGAGACACACACACACACACACACACACACACACACACACACACACACACACACACACCTCACAGACACAAAGGAAAAACAAACACTGGAACAGATAAGTGTATATATGTGAATTAACCACACACACTCAGTGTTGACACCTCGTACCACAGAGATAAACAAATAACCTTTATTGATCTGAACAAAAGATAGATAGATAGATAGATAGATTGATAGATACTTAATTGATCAGTATACTTACAGTAGAAAACAATGTACATGACATCTGATACATTAAAGAAAAACAAGACCTGCCGTGCCACATTTATACAAGCTTCACTTGTGCATAAGTAAGACAAAATTTAAACGAAGAATGTACAGTAATAATTACCATGTTAAAAAATAATAATAAATTATGAATTCTGAACAATAAGAAATGGAGCAGAAATGTTAGAGATCAGGGTGTCCCTCTTTTACTTTTGGGGGGGGGGGGTTCCTGAGTTCCTGAGTCTGTTGGTGGAGCAGGGCAGGGACACACTCCTTTTCCTGCTGAGTCTGCTGTGCAGAGGGTGCATGGACAGCATTTTTTTTCAGGGTCCTTAGGGCCAGCCGCCTTCCCAGTCTGTCCAGTCATACTATGTCCCTCTTCTTGCTGCTTCCTCACCAGCAACATAGAAGAGGACACTAGCCACCACAGACTGGTAAACCATCTGAAGCAGGATCCCAGCTTTCTCATACTTGCTGACCACTTCAGTTTTTCATCCAGCTGCTGTCCCAGATATAAGTCCTGACCACCCTCGCATCAGCTCCCTCAATAGACACCAGCTCAAGATGTTGTTTGGTCTTCCTGTCCACCACCACCATCTGCTGACCACAGTGCCAGTGTTAAAGAGACAAAACCTTTTGTTTGTTTTTCTGTTAGAAATTAGATCAGTTCAACCAACACAAAAAAATATCCCAAATACTTGTATAAAACTCATCTCTTTATTAATGTTTATAAAGGTGGTACATTTTTTTAAAGTTTCATTCGATATCAACATCATAGCAGCCTATACCTGACTGCATCAGCCATAATTCAGTGTGTCAAACATCATCAGCTAAACAGAGGAAGTCAAACAGCACAAACTGTGTGAATGCTTTTATTGATATTTATTTTTATAGACAGCAGATGACGTGGCTAGAGTGCAGTGTTTGTTCAAATTATTATCATTATGAGCCTCAGTGTGTTAGTCAGGGTTTACGTTGGTGCTGCAGCCCGCCCAGCATAACTTCAACCCCCCATCTCAACAGTGGGGGTAGGGGAGGGGTTTACCCGGACAGGTTAACTGTCTGACACCTGTCAGTTGTGACTGTAATATGTAGGAGAGGATATCAGATAACAGAGACTAAGGAACACAGTGTTTAAGATGCAGAACTAACCCCTTATTAAAAAGAGCATACCCTCTGTTCAATAAATTCATCAGCCAATCAGCAGCCAGATGTCATTACCTTGGTCCAACACCGTGGTATTTCCTGTTGTTGTTTTGTTTTTAATAACCATATTAGTGTGTTAGTTACTCCCCACAGCAGATGATGACAATGAGTATGATAAAGATGATGAGGTTGAGGATGACGATAATAATGATGACGATGATGATCATGATGAGGATGATGAAGATAATGAGGTTTTGTTGATGATGATGATGGTGATGACTGTGATCATGATGAAGATGATGAAGATAACGAAATTGATGATGAAGGTGATGATGATACTTAGGATGATGAAGGCCCCATGCCGTATGTAACAGTTGTGTATCTTCTGGTAAATAAATTATTGAAATTTGTTGTTTCTCTGTTTGTTCATCTGAGAAGAATTTTGACCCGATCTCTGCAGCTTCTTAATCCTCCTCTAAACACCTCAACCCTTCCTCCTCACCCTCCTCTGCCCCCTCTTCCTCTTCTTCAGACTGAAATAGTTCAAACGCAGAGACTGTGTCAGGTTTCTTCTCTGCTCCTGTAGTCAGTTTTATGCAAACTGATCTCCAGTTGTGTTGGATTCAGACTAAAGAGGAGAGCAGCTGCTGATGCTAATGTTAGAGTGTGTGTGGTCTACAGAGAACAAAGACACTGTGAACAATCCCTCTCATAAACACAGATAATGTTTCAACAGCACTGTTAATGCTCTGTGTGTCCATCAGACAGTTTACACCAACACTGATCAAAAAGTTCCTGCTAATCTCAGCTCAGGACCAAAAGTTTTTGGTAACATCAGTTAAAAAAGAAGTTTCCTGCAGGAGTTGCACATTGCAAATATTAGATGCTAACCTCTCTACATAACAAAAAGGGTCTGCAGAAGTCAGATCCGAATACAGAGATCCTGCAGAAATCAGCCAGAAACAAAAATTACTGAAGAAGTTAGATGAGAACAAACAGTTCCTGTTAACATCAGCTCAAAACGTTCCTGCCCCTGTCAGCTTAGGTCAAGGTCCTGCTGAAGTCAGCTCAGATCAAAACGTTCCTGCCCAATAAGCCCAGAACATACAGAAGCTCATATTTTTTGTTTGATAAGATTTTAAGTTCAAAGATCAGGAGAGAGCAGCATGGAGGAGAGATCAGGGCGTGATCACACAATGATGCTCCCATCACGAGCAACTACACCTGAGGAACCATAGATCATTGTACAACAGGATTTTATAAATTTTATTTATTTTGATGTATTTTGATGGTGATGATGTAAGACCGTCCATCATCACCATCAATTAAATTTCTGCTCTAATCCCAGAGGTAGAGCAGTACAGCGCGAGTCAAGTGTAGCTGAAGCTTGTTGCTCATTCAACCACTGGAGACAACAGTGGAGAATGGTCTAGCTAAGTACATAGTGTTGTCTAAAGAGCAGGGCCTTTAGCTGTCTCTTGAAGGTAGAGAGGAACTCTACAGATTAAATGATGATGTATTATTGGTGTGAAGGGCAGGTAAAATTGTGCCAAGGCAAAACAACACAGCACATCACAACAAACAGTACATTCAACCACAATTAACATAACAAGCATCACATTTAACCTGACAACAGACTCACACAAGCTCGGACAGGTAACCTCAGTAGGAGTAACACAACTTTGAAAAAACCACAACCTCTAGGGTTGTCCTAGTCCCGATGTTGAAGCTAAACCAGTCAAAAATGTAAAAAACTAAACTTTTTAGGACAATATTACTTAACAAGCTAAGGTGGACGAACAAGGTTAACCATGAAGATAAATTAACAACATGTCAGAGCAGAAATAAAAGTGTTTGTATGTTAATTTGGAAGTATCAGCAGGTGGAGGAAGTTGGGATAAACCAGAGATCAGAATAAAACAGAAAACTGATTTTAGCAGACAGACAACATGAGGGGGATTAATCTCCATCTCCACACAGAGCACAGAGTCTGACAGTGTGTGTGTGTGTGTGTGTGTGTGTGTGTGTGTGTGTGTGTGTGTGTGTGTGTGTGTGTGTGTGTGTGTGTGTGTGTGTGTGTGTGTGCGCTTGGATACTTACAATCCATGAATTCCTCTCTCAGTAATTTGACTGAACTTGATACTGTCCTGGTCTGGATCTTTGTGTCTCCTATGGAGGCAGTAGTGTTGGCTGACATCTGAAATGATACAGGAGCTCTTTATTACCCCCTGTCTCTGTGTTTGACACACTGAATAAAGGTGTGTGCGTATGTGTGTGTATGTGCGTATGTATGTGAGTGAGTACATTTAAACTGCTTGCCTCAGTCAGGTTCAGTTCAATGTTTGGTTTTTTACTCATTAATCACGACTTTCTCTGTTTTATGAGTGTTCTTTACACAATTCAGGGAAACTCTTTATATCGAAAAAAGAGATGCATAATGCTGTTTGATGTATCTCCAATCATTTTATCAGACTGTCTGTCTCTCTCTTTTTGTCCACTCTCCCTCCCCAACCCCCTCTAGTAATATGAGTCTGTTCAGGTCCAGGGTTTTGTTGGGGGAGGGTTTTGGATGGAGGTCTAGAGGGAAAGTCTGCGATTTCTTCACTTGGAAATGTTCTAAATCCAGCTCCCTCTGAATTTTTCTTTTTATGGTTTCAGCATCAAAGAGTTTGGGACAAACTGATCTGTGAGATTTATTCCAGAATAAAGATAAAAGTACAATGTCTCATAAACTCATCAAACGTGTTTTTGTGCATGTCTAATTATAAATGTGTGTATCAATCTATCACATGATTTGTTACCTGATCCATCTCTCAGCCCTACATCGCCTCACTGTGGGTTTATCATCCCTGTGAGGAAAGGCTTAAAGCTTGGATGGCTCTGACAGGCTGAAACATCTATCAGTTAAAAAAATCATAGATTAGAGCCACAAACCTGTAAGTACTTTGTCCTTATCTCCAAGCCCGCCCCCCTTTAGCTGAAAACTAAAACAGCTGGTGAAGGGAATTTCTGGAGTCTTTGAGGACAGAATCACTTCAGATTTGAAAACATCTTCTTCACTTGCTTTGTAGAAAAAAATCATACAACTTTAATAATCAATGTACATTTAGGTTAATTTTGACAATTATCGGTAAATGAGACTCCTCTTAGGCTGTCTTGGTCAAACTTTAGCTAAAGGAGCCCTAAACCAGAATCACTGTAGTCTGTATTCACCTGTGTTACCTGAATGGATCTCTGAATTTATGAACTAAAACATTGTTTTTTCACTTCCATTGATCCCTCTAATCATCATCTCTGCTCATCTATCCACCCACTGTTTGAATTTCGATATGAATATTCACAGACACTCCAGATTTGGTTTGATAGAAGAGTTAAACTTGACCCTGAAAGACGTCTGGAGAGACCTCCACAGAGATCTCCATACAGAAACATTCACATCTCTGAGACCTCAACTCGAGCATCCACAGAGACCCCCCCCCATAAACCCAACACGGTGTTTTAGAGAGACAAGTGAGAGGAAAATAATGGTGGTGTGATCTGTGAAATATCAGAGTTCATGTGTGAAAGCGTGTTTGTTTCCCTTCCCTCCCACCCCCACATGTCTGTATAGAGCAATGTGACCCCCCTCCCCCTTCAGGAATGGACCCCTGTCTGAATGGAGTGCTGTGTCTCTGACCTTGATTTGGAGCCAGGAAACCATCAGTCCACCTGTCCAACTGTCCACCTGTCCCTGTCCTTTAGAGACTGAACCCTCTGACCTAAGGGAGGGGGTGTTTGTTTATCTATCACAGCCTGAATCATGTTTATGATTATTATTGTCATTTAGAGATTATTATTGTTATTTCTGATTGTGTTTCTTCTTTTAGGACTGACCTTAATCTGTTCCTGCTGACAAACTTAGTACCTAACTAACGACCTTGAGAATAAACACTGTGTTCAGGTGTTAATTCAGCCTTCTTCATTGGATGATTAAATAAAAACACAAACTGTCTGGTCAGTGAAGAGTCTCTGCTTTCATAAAGTGACCTCTCGAGGTAACCTGCTCATGATTCACACATGAAGCCTCTTCTTCATTACTAGTCTCCTCCCTGTCTGCACGCTCACCTGTACTCAGGTTTCACTGAATAAATCTGCTCCTCTATGTTCAGCTGCTCCCACCGCAGATAAACTTCAGCTCACCTGCCCATCAGCTGCCTCAGGGGGACTCACCTGAGTCTACCTGGCTCCATCTGAGCTCCCTCTCACTCAGGTGTGCTCCTCCTCTACCTCTCAGGGATGAGGACGTGAGCAGAGCAGACAGCAGAGAGCTGCAGGGCTGAGCTGCTTTCACTCTTTATCAGCCTTAAACCATCATCACATAGGAGACACTGACCACACCTGACACCTGAGGAAGGGTGGGGGAGAGGGGGTGTTTGCGGGAGCAGGGCAGGTGTAGATGAGAGGATGATGAGAGGATGATGATGAAGGTGTGGAAGAGGGTCATTGAGTCCGACATGAGCTCAGACCTGCTCAGGAATCTTGAAGCTGTCAGAAAAATAATTACAGGTGTGTGAGTTTGTGGGTGTTAGTGAGTGTGTGTTACCTGTAGACCTCATGCTGAGGCCTGATCTTGGGTTAATCTAAATCAGGTGTGGGATAAACTCTGAGTGTTTAAAACTGAGACGTCTTTTTATCAGGTTAAATAAAGAGTGACCAGTGATCAGCATAAATTCTAACTCACATTCAAACGCACACAAGCAACAACATTAAAGCCCCCCCCCCCAAAAAAACAGACTTTCCCTCAAAAAACATCATCAGGTGAGTGAGCCTCAGGTCCCACCTAAATAATGCTTTAACACCTGTGACCAATATCATCATAAAAAGGTCAGAGTAAGGAGACTTACACACACATACACACACTCTCTCTCTCTCTCTCAGAGAATGAGATCGCTCTATGTCTGTTTTTTCTATCTAAAGTTGTATTTCCTTATCCTACATGAAAAGAGCTTTACCTGACAACAGACTGATAAAACCACATAAACTCCACACTCACACATTTGTGTGTGCAAAAGAAAGAAAGAAAGAGAGAGAGAGAGCGAGAGAGAGAGAGAAAGAAAGAGAGAGAGAGAGAGAGAGAGAGAGAGGGGTGATGTTCACTTAAGTGTCATTTATGGGTTTACAAAGCGTCCTGTGTATGTGCCGAGAGGCTCCCACATCTAAAACATATAAACACAGATTACATCACACAAACACACACACACACACACACACACACACACACACACACACACACACACACACACACACACACATCGGAATATGCAGCGGTGTGACACACAGAGAAGATCTGTTCATTCATGGGACATCAGAAAGACCTTCTGTACACACACAGACAAATGTTAAGGCCTATTCCAAGTAAAACTCTGATAAGTATTTTAAAATTAACATTATATGATAAAACTGAAGGTGTTTTCTACCATTGGTCCTGAAAGGTAAGATCGCATTTATTTATTTATTTATTTTTAAAAAGCGCAACTTCTGGTAATTAAAAAAAAAAAAAAAAAAAAGTAGATTCTCGCGAGGTTTGGTCGTGATCCGGAACAGTCTCGCGTGACTTCCATCAGACTGTCATGGCTGCGCTCAGGAAGCTTCAACTGTGTGCAGTTTCTCCAACGACTAAACATTCCGCCTCCGTCATCTTCCTGCATGGATCAGGTGTGTGTGTGTGTGTGTGTGTGTGTGTGTGTGTGTGTGTGTGTGTGTGTGTGTGTGTGTGTGTGTGTGTGTGTGTGTGTGTGTGTGTGTTGCAGGCTGCGGATGAATGTGTGACAAGTATTGTTGTGTAAATGTTGCTGCCGTGGATCAGAGAGAGGAAAAGTCATGAAAATGCGCCTGTGAGCGCATAAGTTTTAGACTTACCAAAGATAAACTGTCACACCAGCTGTTTTATTTTATTAAATATACAAACAGAACAGCTGATAGATAGACTTAAACAATGATGAAAATTACAGTAGTAACTGAAACTCCGACTATATGTAAAATACTCTGACATTAATTTACTTGGTAGTAGAAAAAAATGAGTTTCACCTAGCCTTTTACAATTAGCAATGACTTTAATTATAATGCACCTTTAAACCAACACGCAGACAGTCTGCTCTGTTTCATAAACAGACAAAGAGTGACAGCAAAAAGGGTAAAAATACATGAATCAAATGAGAGAATAGATGGTCACAGTTACTTGGAAATGATTAAATCAGACTTGAGATTAAACTCTTGTGTATCAACTGAATCTAACATATCAGACAGGTGTGCCTGTTTGATTTGTTTGACATGTTAGCTGTTGTCCTCATGACAAATGACTTTAAAAAAAAAACAAATGTGTGCTGATCAAGCCAACCAACAGACAATCCAGTTTAACCAGTTTGTTTGATGATCTGGTTTTCAGGAGATACTGGTTCTGGACTGAGGTCATGGGTCAGAGAAGTTCTGGTTCCTGATCTGGTTTTTAGTCACATCCAAGTGATTTACCCTACAGCCCCTCCCAGGTACAGGTGTATTTATTCCTGATTATTCGTGTCATAATCTGATGCTTTTAATTACAGCCCTATGCTGTGAAAACTGTAAAAATCAGAAGACAATGGTTTCAAAATCACTTATGTTTATATTTATTAAAAAAATTAAGGGAAAGGACAACAAATCTTATATAAAAGTCATAAAAAATAGTGTTATTTGATAAAAAGCTTCTGATCATTTTAATTAAATGGAGGTAGGGTGGCACAATTTTGGCTGAAAATAAAATCCTGATTTTTTCTCTCTGAAAACTCAAATTTTGATTTTGATTTTTTATTCAATGACAACTTCACCAAACTTCCCTCTAACAATAAGTTTTTCTATCATCTCTAAATACGAAACCACCAAAAATGATGTAGTGCATATCCCAAGCCAGTAAGTAGCGCTGTAAAGCTGCCGAGGATCTGCGCCAAGGACAGAGGAAGAGTACGGAGCATGCGTATATAGGTTGTTTTGACCGAACACGTGCAGGCGCCATAAAAGAGTTATACTGTGTGTGACAAAACCGCTTCAAGAGAGATGCAGATAGACATCCACACAGAGATGAAATGGTAGTCGTTTACAGATTTATGCTCTCTCTGACCCATTTACAAAAAGTACCGTTTACAGTCACCCGAAACAAAGTTTCTGTGTGGATGAAATGCTGATATGACAAAAACTTTTGTGTTCGATTTGATGATTTTAATATTTTTAGCCTCTTCATAATCAAATAATTCACTTACAATTTTAATTAGTTTAATCGTGCAGCCCTAAACAGAGGTGATGTAGCCTATTTGTAAAAAGTGGTAAAAGGAACAACCAAACAGGTAAAATGTTATAGAGGAACAACCAAACAGGCAAACAGTTGTCAAAAAAACAACCAAACAGGCAAACAGTTTTAGAAAAAAAAAAAAATACCAAACAGGTAAGAAGTTGTGCAATGTTCATAACCACTGGACATCTCAAACTATCGAGGGGAGTTTTCTACAGGTTAGTAACTTGACTGGGTATAAAAATGACATTCAGAGAGGCTGAGTCTCTCGGAGGGAAAGATGGGAGGAGATTCACTACTCTCTGAGAGACTGTGTGAGCTAATAGTTCAACAGTTTCAGAAAAAAGTTTCTGCGTGTCAAATGTTAAAGAATGAGTAGATTTAATTATTTATAGTACATAGGATCATTAAAAGATTGAAATGGGACAAGGACCAAAACTATGACTGGATGGACCTGATCTTCAGGCCCTCAGGCTGCACTGCATTGAAAACAAACAGGAATCTGTCGTGGAAATCGCTGCATGGGCTCAAATTTACTTTAAAAAACTATCATCTGTGAACACAGTACATCACTGCATCCAGAAATGAGGTTAAAACTGAACCACGCAAAGAGGAAACTAGATCCAAACGTGATCCAAAACACCAGAGACCTCTCTGGGCCTGAGCCCATTTAAGGTGGACCGCGGGAATGAAAAAATCTGTCCCATGGGCTGATGAATCAAAGTGTGACATTCTTTTCAGGACACACAATGAGAACATGAACCTTGAGCTACTTTTTAGAAACATGTTGCTGACATCAAACTTAAAATGAGCAGAGATTTTTCTTACAACAACATTTTCAGTGCCAACACTTGATGTGCTGTCTATTCACCGTAAATTAGATTTAAACGAATATAGGCTTTAATGATTTACAAACCATCAGATTCTGTTAATCAACTGCTGTTGCTTTGATTCTAATGCCTTTATTACAGGGTTGTATTTTAGAGTTTACTTTATGTGTCAAATAAATATTCATGTATTTATGTTTGATTGATGTAATTGATGTAGGAATTGCATATTTAAATACAGTATTTTGACTTGTGAAGTCAATAAAAGTTAGGAAGCACATTTTACCTGAACAGGTTTGAATTGACCCTGTGTCATGTGTGACCTCTGACCTTCTTTAGGCCATACACTCCCATGAGAGGGGCTCTGTCTAACGTTTGGTTCGACCGACGCAAGATCTCGCCTGACTGTCCTGAGCACCTTGAGTCCATTGATCACATGTGTGAGACGTTAGGGTCCCTGATTCAAGACCAAGTCCAAGCTGGAATCCCCAAACACCGGATCGTCATTGGTATTGTTTTATATCACTATTAGATGAAAACAGAATTTTCCAACTCTCATCACCTGACAAAACCTGATTACACCTGGAAACCCCTGATAACACCTAATTACACTTTATTTCACCTGACAATACCTGACAAGGCCTTCAAAACATGATTACACCTAAGTTAATGATAACATCTGATGACACTTAATTACAGTCGACAATTCTTGATTACACCTGATTATACCTATTTACAGTAGAGAAACTGATTACACTTGATAAAACTTGAATAGACTTGATCACATCAGATTATACTTGAAAACACCTGGACACACTTAAATACACTTAATTTCAACTGATAACACTTTGATTACACCAAATTACACTTAAATTACACTGAAATATACTCGATTATACCAGATAATACCTGATTACATGTGATTACGCCTTATCACCCTGATTATACCCGAATACACCTGATTACACTGGAATAAACCTGAGTACGCTCAAATAAACCTGATTACACTTGAATACACCTAAAAACACCTTATAATACTTAAAAACACTTGATTATGCCTGATAACACCTGATTACACCCAAATCCCAGATACACATGATTACACTCAAATTAACGTAATTATGCTTGATTACACCTGACAATACCTGACTTTACCTTCAACACCTTATTAGGCCTGGAAACACCCGATTTCACATGAATGTACCTGATTTTAACAAAGATATCAGCAGGGTGTTGCTCTTTCTGCAGTAAAAAGAGGGAATGAATCAGTCTGTACTACTTTACTACTTTTCTGATCTACAACTATACAGTGAGCTGCTGTGTGTGTGTGTGTGTGTGTGTTTGTGTGTGTCTGTTCATGCTAACCTTTAATAAAAGTTTTATTAGTTTCTCTCTCAGGATTTAACTGTCAGCTTTATGACTTTTAATGCATTATCTCTACACACACTCTCTCTCTGTCTGTCCCTGCTCCCCCTCTCCGCCCCCTCTCTCTCCGTCTGTTTCATGTTTTGCCAGCAGACAGTAAAATGGTTTTCAGGAGTTTCTCTAAAAGCTTTTCGTCACAAACGTTTTACTAATAAAGATCAAATAAAAACTGAACTCGCTTACATTAAGACTGTAAACAAACATTTAAATATTTTGAATATCCAAAAACAATGAATAATGCAAACAGTGTCAACATTCAAATCTGAGATTTTTTTTAAAGGGACAATATGTATTAATGAACATTAATGTCAACATTATGTCAATGTCAAGTTTATTTGTATAGCACATTTAAACAGCCAGTGGCCTACCAAAGTGCTTTACAATAACGAAGCAGTAGCAAAAAAAGCAGGTCATACACAGCAAACAGCAACAACAAAAGACATGTAACATATAAATGTAAATGTAAACAAAAATAAATATAAATATAACCAATACAAGTATCATACTCCGTCAAAAGCTAAGGTGAACAAGTGCATTTATATGTAAATCCATGACTTACATGTGGCTAATCTGGTCAAGTAATACACTTTTTTTAAACATCAGATCTTATAAACTTTACAAACTGTTAAAACATTAACCTACTTCAGTATTCGAGACATGAACACAAAATAAATATTTGATACTTCATAAACATAAAAACAAAAACATTATCAGAGTAACATTTATACCAATTACAATCAGACTTTATTTAAAAAGCACTTTTCATTCAAAAAGAAATGCAGCACAAAGTGCTTTACATGTTAAAAACAACCCCCTCCCCCATATCATCCCCCCACCCCCTGCCCCCCCGATATATAAACAAATATATAAGATATTTAAATAAAATGAAATAAGATAAAACTATAGATAAAGATATACACTCATAAATCATCAACCAATAAAGATTTAATTAATTGTCTACAACCGTAATGAAACACTCATTTGCCCCACAATGAATCGTTTTAAAGATCTCAAACATTGTTACCATAGTTTTGGTCTTAGCCTGTTAAGACATCTTGACATTTTTTTAAAATACTTGATTTTAAAACTTAATGAAATCAAACAAAACATTACACCTGAGCATGAGAAACTGCTGAGAGAGAGAGAGAGGAAGGAGTTAAAGTGTACAGAGACTGTGTGTGTGTGTGTGTGTGTGTGTGTGTGTGTGTGTGTGTGTGTGTGTGTGTGTGTGTGTGTGTGTGTGTGTGTGTGTGTGTGTCTGGAGAAAGTGAGTACAAAAACACATGCTCCTGGGAAAGTGCTGAAATATTATCTCACTAAATCATAACATTTGGTCATTAACTATAAATACTCTGTGCAGTCAGTCTGCAGCACCGTGTACCCACAATGCACCTCAGCAGCACCACAAGTTTCCATGGAAGGGTTTAAAGGTTTTAGGAGGGCGGCTGGTGTTTCAGTCACAGCAAGGAAACTCTGTGACGCCTGCAGGTCAGCGAGATGAATGCTGCAGCTCATGCTGACAACATGGAAAGTCAAAAAATTATATTATCATCATCATTATTATTGTATTTATCATTATTATTTTTTAACACAGGAAAAAAAATAAATAAATCTTCTTTAAAATCCTTCAAATCTTCATGTTATTTTTCCTACTTACACAGAAGACCTACCAAAGAATATTCCCCATTTAAATACATCTTTAGATTAAAAAACAAACAAAAAAGAGGTTAGGTTGTTAAAATTCACTACTCACAACCTACCTGAGCTACAGTTTAGTTTAACTCTGGGTAAGTTAAACCTTGAGTGAGTCAAACTCAGTGTAAGAATATGTATATATTTTGGCAGCATGGACCTGTAGATTTTCAAGAGATGAAGCAGCAAAACAAACTAACCAATAAAAGAATAATGTATTTGGTCATCTGGTTCTAGCAAACGTAAACTACATGTAAGGCCTCAGGTGATATGATCAAGTGTACATGAAGGGAATATAGGGAGAGATAGAGACAAAGGAGCGAGAGGAGGAGATAATAAAGAAGACAGAGGAGGAGATAATGAAGGAGAAAGGGAAGGGGATAATAATGGAGGCAACGGAGATAATAGAGGAGTCAGAGGAGGAGATAATTAAGACGAGATGATATAGGAGTCGGAGAAGATAATATAGAAGAAAGGATGAGACAATGAAGGAACAAAGGAGGAGATAACAGGAGGAGATAGTAGCAGATTTAGGCTACAGGGAAGGAGATAATGGAGAAAACAGGAGGAGATAATGGAGGAAACAGAGTAGGAGATAGTGGGGAAAAGAGGAGGAGATAACAGAAGGAGAAACAGCAGGAGGAGATAATGGAAAAAACAGAAGAGGTGACAGGAAAGAAGTTTATGGAGAAAACAGAGGAGACGATAATAGAGAGAAAACAGAAGGAGATAATGGAGGAAACAGAAGAGAAGATAATGGAGGAAACAGAAGAGGTGATAAGAAAGAAGATAATGGAGGAAACAGAGGAGGAGGTAATGGGGGAACAGAGGAGAAGATGAAGGAGGAAACCGAGAAGGAAATAATGGAGGAAACAGAGAAGGAGATAATGGAGGAAACAGAGGGCGTGACAGGGAAGGAGATAATGGAGAAAAAAGGAGGAGATAATGGAGGAAACAGAAAAGGAGTAAATGAGGGGAACGGAGAAGGAGGTAATGGCGGAGACAGAGAAGGAGATAACAGAGGAAACAAAAGAGGTGACAGGAAATTAGTTAAAGGAGAGAACAGGAGGAGATAATGGAGGGAACAGAGGAGGTGACAAAAAGAGGAGGAGAGAATGGAGGAAACAAAGAATGTGACAGGGAAGGAGATCATGGAGAGAACAGAGGAGGAGTTAATAGAGGAGAGAGAGGGGGTGACATGAAAGAAGATCACTGAGAAAACAGGAGATAATGGAGGAAACAGGGGGAGATAATGGGGGAACAGAGGAGGAGATACTGGAGGAGACAGAGGAGGTGACAAAGGAGGAAACAGGAGGTAACAGGGAAGGAGATAATGGAAGAAACTGAAGAGGAGATTTTGGAGGAAACAGAGAAGGAGATAATGGAGCAAACAGGGGTGGTGACAGAGGAGGAGATAGTAGAGGAGACAGAGGATGACATAATGGAGGAGACAGAGGAGGTGACAGGGAAGGAGATAACAGAGGAGAGAGAAGAGAACAGAGGAGGAGATAAAATAATAAACTGCTGGTGTCTTTGTGCAGGACTGATGTTAAAAACTTGTTAAATCTAGGAATGATAAAGCTGCTCTGGGGACCGCTCCCAGCTGAGTCTGATGTTTTATTGTTGTTAAGGTTTTGTCAAACTTTAAACTTATGCTCATGCAGAAGTACAGAAATACCTGAGCCTGTGGTCTAAGCTGTCTGTTCGACAGACAGGTTTGAAGTAGGCTGAAAGGGACAGTCAGACCTCTTCAGAAACCAAGACCAGACAACAAATCCAACACAACACTACAACTCTTCCTCTGTTCTTCTTCTTTAGCAGATTACATTTATATGTTTCACTTCTTTTGTTTGTTTTTATCTCTTTTTCCCTCTCGTCTTTTGATTTCCTTACTTCTTTCCCTCCCTCTCTCCTACCCTGCCTCCTGTTCTCCCCCTTGTCTATTTTTCCTCTTCCCTGGCAGTCCCCCCCCCCCCCCCCTTTCTCTGACAGGATGATGGGTATGTGCACACAGTGTGCCCAGATGTACCCAGATGTGTGAGATTAAGCCCCAGATTTATTCCAGCTTTTAGAAACAGCTGATGATGTGGAACGGAGACTCTCTGCACTCCAGAGCTTTCCACCTCAGACTCGGCAAGCAGTTGAAATTCAGAGTTAACATTTTTATTGTGTTCCTGTTTGACCCCTTAACAATCATCTGCTCCTGTCCCTGTGTTGTGCAGGTGGGTTTTCAATGGGTGGGGCCATGGCTCTACACCTGGTGTGTCGGCACCATCCTGATGTGGGCGGGGTTTTTGCTCTGTCAAGTTTCCTCAACAGAGACTCTGTAGCATTTCAGGTAAATAGGCTGATTTCTGACCAATTAGCAGCAGGTAGAAATGAAAAAACAGACGTTACTCTGTGTTTGTCTCAGTATTGATCACCTCATTAAAGCTGATATTGATTCTGGAGGTCAAAGGTCAGGAAATGTCTTTAATATACAAATTCTTACATACATTTTTAAACTAAACAAAGAAATTATCGATATTTCATAGACCTGCATAACAAACAGATCAGTCATAGAGCCAAATCCATCCAGCCAGCATATCATTGATCAGTATTGATCAAATTTAGTCTCTTTGATCAGTATTGATCAGCCTCTGTATTGTTTAGTATTGGTCAGATGTGTGATGTCTGTGGGTCTTGAAGGCTGTGGAGGAGCGTCAGCAGGCAGGCCTCCCCCTCCCCCGTCTGTTCCAGTGTCATGGCGACAGTGATGAACTCGTTCTTCATCGCTGGGGGGCAGAGACGTCTGAGCGGCTGATGAAGAGTGGCTTGTCTTCCTCCTTTCATACATTCTCAGGTCTAAACCACCAACTGAATCGGCCAGAACTCGAGCTCCTGAGAGAGTGGATCCTCACCCAACTCCCCCCAGAAACCTCCACCCCCTCATCATGACCCTCTGAACCCCCCCACCACCAACCCACCCTTTTTATTTCTTGCTCTGTCAGTGGTATGAGTCTTTGTATAAACCTCTTTTTTAAGTGTGTTTTTTAGTGTCTGTCATTTTCTTTGTGTCACTCTCTAAGGACATCACACCTAATTTACTTCATGAAGTTGAGGGAGGGGGTTGGGAGATTACCTTTTCTGTCACCTGTATGAACTCACCTGGTCGAGAGCCCAAACACTGTCAGACCTAGATGGTCAGAGTTACACGTTTCTAGCTATCTTAATGTCAACAACAGGAAAACAAAAAAATATAAGTTTTTCCCCAGAAAATAAAAAATATACACAAATATTTGACTGATCTACAAAGACATTAAAAAAAATCTCTCTGTGTTTAAGGTTTTTAAAAAACACCTTTCAAGGTGAGAATTTTTGTTGAACACAAGGTCACTAGCCAGTCAGAGGGGGCTCAGAGGGTCTAATCACTCTCAGAAACCTGTGTAAAGACACCACTGTTCAACCACCAGCAGAACCCCTACATTTCCAACCCAATTGGACCCCTACAGAGCCCCTGATCCATCTTAACATAAGACCCCCAACAGAGCCCCTGATCAACCCACTAGGACCAGACCCCCTACAGAAGCCTGGTCCAACCGACTAGAACATTCCCCCATAATGTGCCCCCTTCCCCGAAACTATCAGAAAAACTTCTGTTCAAACAGGAGTGATGAGCTTGTGGTTCATAAATCATAATTACAGAACACCAGTCAGACAGCATGAAACCCATTGGGACCGAAATGTCCTTGAAGCTAAGAGGGAAAACTAAAAGATTAACTTAAGGAGGAAGTGACAATAACGACCAGCTGCCTGAATGTTTATGTGAGAATCAGAGAAAAAGTGAGAGGTGTGAAAATATTTGATTTGAGCTGTTATCATTTCAACATTGATAACAGTGTTATTCTTCAGTCTAATTAAATCAAACTGTACTGAATCAAAAAGCTGAAGATCCTTGTTTTTTGATAAAACATCTTTAAACTGAATCATCAAGGTTTGATACTGAGCAGCACATTTTAAGGAGAGATTTTAACCTGATAGACAGTTTAATTTAGATATGTAAAGTTTAATATATTCAGACTTCCATCAGACCAAGAACTTCATTATACCCATACCCCAACACATCTTGGCGCACATTGGACCCAGATCTCCATTATACCCAGACCCTCATTGAACCGAGACCTCCTTTATGCCCAGACCTCCATTATAACCATACTCCAACACATCTTGGCCTACATCAGACTCAGGCCTCCATTATTCATAGACCTCCAATATACTCAGACTTTCATCAGACCCAGATCTCCATAACACAGAGACCTTAATACCAATCACACCTTAATTATTCCCAGACCCTCATTAAAACCAGACCTCCATTATTCTTTGACACTCGTTATACCAAGACCTACACGACAACCAGACCTTTATTATACCCAGAGCTCCAATATGCTCAGATCTCCATCAGACTCAGACTTCCATCATACCCAGATCTCCATTGTGCCTAGACCTCCAATATACCCAGACCCTCATTATATCCAGACCTCGATTACAGCCAGACTTCCATTATACCCAGACCTGTACTTTGACCTCCATCATAACCAGACCTCTGCTATCCTCAGACCTCCATTACAACCAGACCTCCATTATACTAAGACTTGCATTTTCCCATACCTTCTCTATACCCAGACCTCCACTGTACCTAGACCTCCATTTCAACAAGCCAGCCATTAAACTTAGACCTCCGTCGCATACTGGCGTTTGTCCAGCAAGTATCATGTCCATCTTCTGTGGGGTGGATATATGACCTTTCATATCATGACACTCTGTGTAAAATATGAATTAGATATCTGATCTCTTGAACTATTCAGAGGTAAGTCTTTGCACTGTGAGTTTGCTGTCAGTTTTATTTCCTGTGATTTGAAAAACAGCTGCTGAGTTGGTTGAGGAAGGAGGCCATTGACTCAGACACGTTGACTCGGGTCTTGCTGGGTCTTGCGGGGGCGGCCATGTTTTCTTTGCTCTTTTGGGGGTTTGGTTGTGGGGGGAACGGAGCTGACAGAAACTCGTCTGTATGAGCTGCTTAGATCAGGCCAGCCAGAGGAAACGTGAAGCAGAGAGCGGAGCCTGAACGCAGAATAAACATGAACCCCTCCAATCACAACAGGCCTCCCCTCCCCCACTCATCCTGCAGAGGGATCACATTCAGATTCAGACCTATTTCCATTTCAAAGACAGACCAGGCCATGAAGGATTCAGAGCTCGTCTTCTCCCTCTTTCAGAGGCATAAGGTCTGAAAGTGGAACCTGATCACAGCAGGAAATCTCATTTCATGACTTTCATTGTTCAGTCTGTCTTCTCCTCCATGACTCTGATTGAATTCAGACCTTTTAAAGTACTCCTCTGAAACTTAGACCTCAGCCCGGAGTACAGTCCATCTGAGAAAGTGGGCTGTGGTCCAACACTCATATTATTCTAAGTTCCTTTCTGCAGAGACACAGTGGCTGCTCTGTGCTGAGAGATGATCCTCAGTTTACTCGGTTTCTCTGAAGCTGCTTTCACACTCACACCAAACTCCTGAAACTCCTCAGTGAGCTGCTTCTGTGATCCGAGCAGATGATTTTTTTCTCTGACTTTGGCTGGAGTTATTCCTCCCAGCCCCCGAGAATCATTTCAGGGTGAAGCTGAGGTGAGATCGCAGCAAGCTCTCACATCTTCAGGAAATTTACTGTGAGCTAATTGGAAGGACCGAGATGTTTATTTCATGTGACTAGTGTTCTATCGAGGTAGAAAATGGTGCTGTAATGTGAAATGATAGCACAGACAGTCAGTTTCTGTTCAGTCTTCAGGTCACAAACAGGTGATTGAGCATGTGTTGGTATTCTGAAATAAAACTTTTATTTGGATTTCAGAGGAAGTGTATCTCTACTTTATGTTTACAACCTTGGAGGACCCTGACCTGGCCTCTTTTTGATAAGGACTCCACATAAACAAATGATTGCCTGCAGTGTTTTGTAAAGTCTGTTGGAGCTCAGCTGCAGACTGTCAGATGGCACGGAGGACAGAGTCTGTGAGGTTAGTCTGAGTTATCATTCATTATATTTGTCACATTAACTCACAGTCACTTCGAAAGACAGGGATCAGAAAAAGAGGGTAAATAGTGAATCATCAATCACAGGTGATAAACTAGATTCTCCTGAAGCTGGAAACAAAGACTAAATTCTAAAATGTGTTCAAATGTACACAAACACTTCAGAACACATCCTGTGAAAAGGCAGCAGAGAGAAAACAGACACTTCTCTGACTTGCTGTGCATAAGGACGAATATACTGGTGATAGTGCCATCTTGTGGAGGCTTACTGAACATATGCAATACGGTTCAAACTGCATTTGGGTGACGTTCAGTCCTGCAAAAGTTTTCTTTACTTTTATAAACTATTTTAAAAAATGGATATTGAGGAATAAACATGATCTGCACCGCACTGATCCTGAGATCTCTAAGACCTTTTGATGTGAAAACCCAAAACTTTGATAAAGGTGGAGTGTTGTGTGAAAAGTGAAATAAACCAGAATTCAATGATTTCAAATCCTTTCTCACCTACATTCACCTACAAAATATTTAATGTTCAAACTGATAAACTTGATTGTGTTTCTGTAAATATTCACTTATTTAACACAATGCTATAACATGTACCCTAAGAGCTGGTTCAGGGTCATGTCTCTCTCTGTTTCATCACCTTTCCTTTAACAACACTCTGTAAGTTTTTATGAACTGAGGACACTTACTGTTGAAACTTTAGAGGTGAGAGGTGAAGTCTTTCTAAATGATGGACCACTTAAGCTGATACAACATTTGGGGTCTCTGTTGTGGTATTTTGAGCTTCATGACGCTCCACACATTTTTAAAGAGAGACAGGTGTGGACCCCAGGCTTCAATCTAGTACCTGGACTCTTTCACTCTGAAGCCCCACTGTTGTAACTCATGCAGAATGTGTCTTTGCATTATCTTGATGAAATCAGCAGGGACGTCCCTGAAAAAGACAGGGCTCTGATGGCAGCAGATGTTGCTCATAAACTTGCAGCATTAATGGAGCCTTGACAGAATAGACAGTTAGCCATGGGCACACACCCCCAGACCATCAAAGATCATACCCGCCAACATTTAGTTTTAGGGCTACCTTGTATGGTGGATATGAGCTAATTATGAGAGCATTTGTAATTTAATTGCTCATCCAAATAACTATAATTTTAGTTTTTTTTTAACAACAACAAATGGTAATAAAAAAAAAATAGCTACGATATGCCTTGAACATATTTAGTCCACTAATATTAGTGTTAAAGTCCTCATATGTTTTACATGCTCTACCGTGTCTGGAAACTTTGGACAAATACAGTGATCCGATTTATGAATGAACGTGGACCATCAAACTACTGGAGATTCCTAGGAGAAATGACAATACGGGAGGTGGACGGGAGATAGGTCTGAGAGTATCGGGAAAAACGGGAGTGCTGGGAGTATGTCAAAGATACTGGCTTTGACCTTTGACCTGAGAACAGTCTGGATGGTCCTTTTCCTCTTTAGCCTGGAGCACACCACGTCCATGATTTCAAAAAAACAACTGAAATGTTGACACTTATGATCACAGCAGACTTTTCCACTTCAGGTCAGTCCATCTCAGATGAACTCAGGTCCAGAGAGACTGGCGGTGTTTCTGGCTGTTGTTGATATCTGTCTTTGTCTTCACATGGTAGAGTTTGAACTGGCAGATGTAGAGATGGACTGTGTTAACCAACAATGGTTTTCTCAAGTCCTCCTGAGCCCACATGGTAAAATCCTTTACACAATAATGTGGGTTTTTACTGCAGTGCTGCCTGAGGGTTCATAGGTCATCACTGGAGACTATCAACATAAACATTATATCTCACATTTGTTTCCCTTTCATTGAAGTGTTCATTTAGCAACAAACACTGATTAAATATAGTTTACAGCTGAAACCAACCTGTGGTGTCATGCCCCTGCTGTCCAATGACAACAATCAAGCGCCATCAACTCCTCCCTCTAGCTCCCCCTATCGGTCTTTTCCGCAATTACCCACTTTAGGCTGCAAAGAACCTAAAAGCAATGTAACCTTTCATAAAGAACATAGTCTCTGTAAATTGGATGTTGCGCCCACCTCCGCCACTAACTCATCAATTCCGGTTAGGGTTACAAATAGGTGTTTTCATAGTCGCCCCAAACTGAGTAACCATGGAGGTGACGTTACACATAATTTGCTACGGCCTACCAGTGATTTGCTAGAACCTACCAGTGTAAGTGTTTTTCTAAAGTAAACAGCATTTTAAATCTCCATGGTAACCTGTGACGATGTAAAAACTTTAAATCATCACAAGTCGATAAAGATTGGTCATTTCTGAAGATTCAATCATAAGATCGACACGAAAAACTTCTGTGGCTCACAAACTTTCACCTTTTGACAGCTCCATTGTAAATAAAACCTCCCCAGACGACTAAAGACTCCAACTCCGACAAACACCTGAACAGAGAGGACAACATCGACGACATGGAGACCGTAAGATTTCATGACAATATTATCATACAAACTTATAGTTATCGTCGAGACTTTGAGAATAGTTCGTTTAAAAGCGATGCATTTAATGATGAAGCTAAAGTCCTGCCCACCACTGGCCAAGCTATTTTCATAAATGGATGTTTCACCCTCTGCATGCACACCACTACTTTTCGTTTACACTAACCCGTGTATATATGCTGTCAAAATGTAGGTGGCAGCGTAACAAGAAGCTCTAGCCTATGTTAGCCAATCAGAATCCCACACAGCAGCTACAACAACGATGTCTCTTCCTTCTTCCCTGTGCACAATCTGCCGTCTGCTAACCAAATTTTCCTCCATTTTCTCCATTTATGTGCAAATGTGCAAAATTTCCACTCTCAACAGATTTCTTAGAAAGCACTGTTTTTAGGGGCAAATTCTCTGTTTGCATCTACACAAAGGATGGTTAATGTCTCCGTCTTCAAAAATAACCGGGTACGAAAAAACGGGGCCTGAGTCTCTCAGGGATGCTCATTTTATTCTCATTATGACCCTCACCTGTTTCCAATGAACCTGTACCAATGAATCATTTTTACCTGTGGATAATCCAAACAGGTGTTTTTGGAGCAGTCCTCAGTTTTCCCAGACTTATGTTGGCCCTGAACCAACTTTTTAGGAATGTGTTACATCAAATTCAAAATCAGTGAATATTTAAAAAAATATATACATATCTCAGTTTGAACATTAAAAATCTTTTTAGTGTATTTAAAAAAAAACAATGTATTCATGTTTTTTTACAACCGCCCAACTTCATTAAATTAGGGTTTGTGGATGATGTGTGAATTATTACACCCACATTTAGGGAGGAGATTCGCTCCCTGTTCTTCAGTTAAAGGCCATTGTGTAACCTAAAGGAGGGAAAATTAAGATAAACCATGAAATCAATTTGGTATCTTAAGCTGGGATTTCTGTTTAAGGGATGTCAACTTCTAGAAAAGAAACACTAGCAGTCAAGAAATTCCAGAACTCAGAGGCAGCTTTGGAATAAAGAAGAACTGGGTACCTCAACACCAAGTTCTTCTTTGGTCTTGAGGTACATGTGAAAGTCTGCATAGAGTTTGACACAAAACACTTGAAGAGCTCCCAAACTGTAAGAAATAAGATTCTTTTCTCTGATGAGACCAAGACTGAACTTTTTGGGTAGAGAAAACCAGGCACCTCTCATCACCTGTCCAATACATTTACCCACAATGAGGTATGCATCATGTTGGGGGCGTGTGTTTTCGATAAAAAAAGGGCTGCCATGTGTACGTCAATGATTTTAGCAAATGGCTACAAATTAACTAAGAGTACAAAAATTTAAGGAGCTATGAATACTTTATGTACCCAGTGTACCCAACTCTGCTGCTCATCCCACAAATGTGTTCCTTACAAATGTGGCACCATTTAAAAGAGAAATAAGCAGGATTTCCAACAGTATTCGATTTATAACCAAGACATACAATAAAAACAGTAATCTAGAAACAACAATTTTCTTACTTTTTGTGCTAAGTTTTAATGGATTCAGTTTTAGTGATTGTGATATTTTTCCAAAGGTGAAAATGAAGTCTCTCTTAGGCAGGCAGCTCAAGCAACCCCTTCTGCTCCACATTACAGGTGTCCTGGCTGGGACCTCATTTTGTGCTATACTTCCTAGCTTGAAGAATCGTCCCAGTCAGGCGCTGGCGGCATGTAATGTAGGAGGTGGTCACAAGACCAGAGAGGGCACCATATGAAACATGGTCCATTTACCATTAAGACTACACTTCACACACATGCCTGTTTTTAGGTAAACACTGTTCAATATTCTAGCCATGAAAAGGTCCTTGGTGTCCTCACTAATGTGTTTTCACTCCAGCAGACAATTCCAGAGCGACATTTGTAAAGGATGTTGATCTACAGATGCACTGCTCCAAATACATAGCCTCCGTCTCAGACGCCCAAGCCAACACATAAACCACTGAGGTGCTGCACCTGATTAACCTTACCGACGTTCTGTAAAAACCCTGTCTGATAAATCAAAGTCCAAGTCAAATATGCCAGTAGAACAGCCAGTTGATTTATTATCACAAAAATAAAGCTTCACAGTGTCCATTAACAACATTTTCCATGAACTGGCACCCACATGTAACTCCAGCAGCACCAAAAACTGATTTAACCTTCTGGGCAGAACACCTGCCCGACAACAGAGGTTTCTATCTGTTACAGAAAACGATTACCCAGTGTGACCTCAAACACCACACAGCATGTCTTCTGTAAACACACTTATTTCTAACCTGCTTCTTCATTAACTAGTATCTATATTTACACTTAAGAATATAGAATGACTGTCAGTAGGGTTATGGTAAGTTTTTCACAAGGTGGTACAGTCTTCTTCTTTTCATTACTCAGTATAGTTGTACAGTATATGTCAGCATATGCTAAACACTCATATCATCATGAACACCTTAACACCATTATGTTGCAGGTTTCTAACTTAACAGTGCTTTTGGTGGCTGCTTTGCTGCTTTGAACCAAATCAAAGTTCAGGGTACTTCTGAGATGAAATGACACTGTTTGAACAAGGTGAAAAAGACATTTGAACTGCCTGTTGTAAAGAGCTGACTAGAGACATACATGCATTTGGATTTGGATCCTACAGGTCACAAAACTGTTCTCCTGTCAAAAGGTTTGTATAGCAAACATGGGCACACAGCAACAAACCCTTGAAACAAACCCAATCTCAGAATAATCTAATCTGAAGACCTCTTAAACCAATCTCTCATTTCACACAGGTATTTCAGATCTTCCATCAGTCATTACAACAAAAAACAACCATACATATTGCTTTGCTTGGCTTAGACAGTTAGCCAGAATCAAGGCTTTCTTTCTCCGTTCATGCACTTATTTCTTCCAGACTGGATGCACTTTAATCTGGCGTCAGCAAACACAACATACAAAGACAACAGTTAATTCAAAATGCTGCAGCCGGGCTTTGAACACATAGTAAGAGACCGTATAACAGCAGTCCTCGCCGGCCTTCACTGGCTCCCTGTGAGTTTTCGGTTTTAAGATGCTTGTTTTGAAAGCCTTTAACGGCTCCAGCCTAATCTGTGAGCTGCTGACTCTGTATGAGCCTGAGGTCCTACCAGGATCCTTCTCACGGTTATTATTACCTCCCTCTGCAGTTGATAGTTATTATGAACAGCCGGATTGATTTTTATCCCTCTGAGGTCAGTCAGTATTTGTCTAAAATCCGTTGAGATTGATAACTCTTAATACTTTTTCAAAAGCTGTAAATTTGTTGTTTTTTCTTCCTGTAAAACCACTTTGGTGCAAACTCTTGGATTAGTTTGTGCTTAGTGTGACTTTGAATTTTTTTTAAGCAAATGGGGCCTATCTTACAGGTGCAAGAGGAATTTCTCTACCTGTTACTGCACAGACAAGGGGGCACACAGCACAGCCCCCTTATTCACAAGGAAGAAGCCGTGCATATGCACATACAGTGAAATCTGGATATCTATGGAACAGAGGGCTTTTTTTCTTTGTCTTGTTTTAGTATGGGGCTAATGCTTGGATATGCAAGAGGATCACATGCAGCTGCTATCTCCAGCCTCACACAGGCCAAAAACTCCAGCTACAGATAAGACCAGGACCAACATCATGTACTCTCACTTTGATAAATTAAAAAAACAAACATTTACAGTCTACCTTTTTAATAGTTTGCACACAGAACAGTCCAGTCTGATCGATGTGTCTGATGTTGACTTAAGTAATCAGTAAATCTGTGCTGTTGTGCATCAATATAAGCACCACTCTTGATTAAGAAAAACACTTGTGCTTCAGTGTTTTTAATGGAGGTTGAGGTTTTTCCACGAGATGAGACAAATACCCATAATATGAGAGCAAGTTGGCCGATAGCTGATATATAATGCTGATATCTTTTTTTAAAAGATTTTTTGTGTAATTTTTTGTTTGATTTTTTTCCCTTTTTTTTGCTTGTTTTTGTTTTTTGTAAGAAAAAAAAGTGCTCAGCTCGAGTGAACAAATTAGACAGAAATTTGGCTTGGTAAAATGTTGGCCAAGGCGACTTTTGGATTTCTATCCTGCCATGATAAATGATCAAAGAGGAGAAAAGTTACAACGTTTGGTGTCCAAACAAGATGTATGTAAATTTTCAAATCACGAGGTAAACGTATGTTATCATAATCCGAGGAAATAGATGTAAACTGTTCAAAACTGTTTGTTGGGAGAACTCATGATATCTCAATGAGCCTTAATAACTAATGATGTCATTACAATAGGCTCTCCTTATGAGTTAATCTGTGCTCCCAGCACAGTTGAGACAGCAGTTAAAACCAAGTGTTTCAAAGGCTGAAATAATGATATTTTAGTACACCAGAGTGAGAAACAGGAGGCTTATTTTGATCTGAAAATCATGAAGCTCATGTTAAGCTATTAGAAAGAATCAAAGAGAAAGAATAGAGTCTGAAAAAATGCATAATACCCCCTCTTTAACTCCATTATTGCAAACACGTTAAAATATCAAATCCATCCAGTAAACACAACTGGTATTTCTATCAGGAGCAACACCAGACTACATTATTCTGTACATTATAACAGAGTTTACAGTCAGCATTAGCCTGTGACTGTTTTTAGTTGGATTTGCTGTCATTGGGGATTAAAAATGGATTTTTCAAGAGATCTCTGTGATATCAGCCTCGTGAGGGCCAATAGCTATGAAAGGCCAATAACCGTACATATAGGCCGACTGATCTCTAGTGATCTTTTGACAGTAATACATGCATCAACATATTTCAACAATGGCCTGTATGTGTTTGTGTTTACAGGAGGACAGTGGGACAGTGTTGTGTCTGTTTGCAGGCAGACCAAGTCCCTGAAAGGAATAAGTGCTGACACTGTGATTGAAAAAAAAAGGAATATTCACAAAGTCTGATCAAATAACTTCCAGTTAAGAAAAACCTTTAGTAAGTGAGGAGAGGGTGTGTGGGCTGACCGTTCCTGCGCTGAACATCCCAGATTTTAATCCAGGGACTTATTAAACTTCCTTCGCACCCTACTTAGACTGAACACCGTTAACTAGCAAAAGATAGTATTAGACGCTGATTAGACAGTGATACAGTACAATATGATGGTGGCAGACAGAGATCCTTGCTGTAATTTTGTGGCATGGGAATAAGAAAAGAAATATTAATTAGGCGCTGTATGGTTTAAGGTATCTGATTGATAATTACCGGACAAAGAAAACTGCAAATAAACAAACAAAGGTCAGCTTTAGAGCAATCATCAAACAGTCACTATAAAACCCAAATTTAATACCGATATAAAATATATTTATCATATTCCCTTTTTTACTCCATGTTATAAATGAGGAAGTTAAAAATATATTTATACTTTTGTGCTTTTACTTTTGATTGTGAGTTGGGTTATATAGAGTTATATATCGGCCAATAGAGTGAAGGGCAATCATTGAACTTTAAGACAATGATTAGGTCATTACATCCACTCCTGTCTGATTTCTTGAAAAGATCAGAAGACCTTTGACCTAAGTTTTGGTGCAGAATAGCAGGTATTGTGCACAAAAGATTAAATTCCTGCAAATCTGGCACTTGTACTGTGGAAAAATGCTATTTGTATTCTATATATACTGTATATCTTTACAGTAACCCCATATGACACGCAGGGAATGCTATAAATGTCTGTGTACAGGACAGACCAAGACTTCACATCAGCATGAATCACTCACCTATCTGCTCGCTCTCTCTCTCTCTTTCTCCTGCACACACTTGGACATTTGGGCATGTGCAATAAGCCTGGGAGAAGTGGCTGTCTGTAAACAGAGCACCCTATATATCAGCTGACATACATAGGTCTATAAAATTTTGCATGCGTGTTACGTACAGTAAGAAGAACAGCAGGCATTGTTGATGTATGATTGTTCGTCCAAGAAGGTGTGCTGTCTTGTAACTCCACGGCTATCTGTCAAGTAAATTTGACCCTCTCAGCTGCTCTGTGACTGTATTGAGCTTATGCTCATGCGAACTTGGGCGAAGGTACTTTATAACCCAAGCAGTGATGGTGTGAGCTAACGCTAACATGCACAAGCACAACAGCTTTGCCGGTGATTACCAGCTGAACAGAACATCATGGTTGCTCCAGAGTGTTGAGGTCCGAGGAGCTTTTGACAGATGCTCAGTTGTCTCCAGGTGTTTTGTTTCATTCAGACAACACATGTAAGGGCTTAATTAGAGACATGACTTCAATGTTTGTCATTAGACTGAAGAGCAGTGACAGCTGTTAGCCAATTCATAAACACACTGAGTACTTGGAGGAGAGCTGTGTTTGTTCAACACCTATTCTGGATGTCATTTTTACCAGCATAAGACATTGATTTCACAACTTTGTAAACTGATACAATAAAATATTCTATTTATCGCATGACTACTCCATATAGTAATGATGAAGGTAATGATGATACCAATCAGACAGACATCAGAAACATTAAAAGATAAAATAAAAGGCAGACTTTGGACTGACTCAGAAAGACACTAATATTAGAGTTCAGAGTAGTAACTCTGATGTTGCTCCTCAGGAGGAAAAAAAAACAACTTTAGTTTCTACTTTGAGTCTGTAAGTGGAAGTAGTACACAAAAGCTGTTCCTGTCTGTGTGCTGTTAAACCCTGTCAGTCTGTTTACTGGTGGTCTTATTCACTCATGTTGAAAGGACACATCAGTGAAATTTTAGTCTGTTTTGGTAACCAGCTAAAATTTCATCACAGTATTTTTAAGAAACCTCAACTCAAGATTTTAAAGTCTACCATCATGTTCAGCTCCTTCAGACTGAACCTGGAGGGGCTGAACCATAGACTGTATATAGAATGGACATTATCTGCCTCCTTACTGGATGAAGCGAGAACAGCACCCTCTAGTGCAGTATAGGTCATAAATCTCGCCTCCTCCAGCAATCCCTATGGAGCTGTGGACAAACTTTAGAAATCATTTACACAGAATATAAATTTTTCTCTCCCTTGGTTGTGATGTTGACACGCAGTTATTGTAAGGCTGGTTTGTGCTCCTTCGGGGATTAATAAAGTTCTTCTTAAGTATTCTTTTTTCTGTGCAGCTCCTTTTTAAAGGATATCGGGGGGGTTAGTGTTTTCTATGATAAGCACTTGATACAGCCTATGGGCGTACTAAGATTGCGTAGCAAGAGCAATTTGGCTTTGAATTCATATAATGACAGGAGGCGGAGTCACGTCGTCCATAGTATATACAGTCTAAGGTCTAAACTCGATGGTTTGGGCCCAGCAACTTCAACTGAAACACCAACCTCTGAGTTTTCAGCCATCCTGCAGTGCTCTGTTGGACTGAACTGTACTTGTATAGTGTATAGATTGTACCCATTGATGATGGCTTCAGGCAGCCAAAGATTAGAAGTTCAGATCTCCTTGATTGTTTTTTCAGATGGGTGATACTCCTCCCTTCCTTGAGGGGAGGATAAATAGAAAGACTGGGTCTTGCGGTTCAAGCGAGCCCTCTTGGTGGCAAGTGATAGGCTGTGCTTGCTGGAGGCGATGATGTCAGAGATGAACTTCTTGCAGTCCACGCAGATCTCCATGGTAGCCCAGTCTTCAGTCAGCTCTAGGGGGAGCTCCAGTTCTTCATGTGACTTTAAGGAGCCATGCTTTGACAACCTGTGTGGGACAGAAACAGACCTTTAATGCAGATTCAAATAGATTACTTTATTGTGTCATCTTTATTCAAATGTAACCCTTTTTATTTTTATGATATCAGTACATGTAATGACTATAAGTATATTTAGTGCAGATGCCACAGTTAAGCACACGTTCAGCCAATTTGTTTCGTTAACTGGCCAGTAATTCCTGAGTTGTTTTTCCTGTATGATTGTGTCATGGTCTTATTCTTAATTTTGGAAATAAAGAAACAGAAACAGGGGGACAGCTTTGGCTCAAGCAGGACTCAAAAACTACTGATTTTAGCCTCTGAAACCAGCAGGACATAACAGTCCTGTTTGTGTGTGCATGCCCGAGTGTGTGATTGTATCTGTCCTGGTAAAACTCCTGCTGTGTGTTTCCACTGTGAAATCTTTTTATTGGAACAGCAATACAGCAGAGTTAAATGTCTAAATTCAAAGTGCACTGACTGCAGTTATCTCAACAGCTTCGACATTTAATGTGGTCTTTCAGTGATAGAAAATGCAGTGTCTCTGGTTTTTGTTGTCTGTGGTGTTTTGGTGTTCACTTCATAATATTGATACAACATAAAGTGCACTCAGACAGAATAAATGTGTTCAGAGCTCTCACTTGGACATGGTCTTCTGAATGCTCTGGCGTTGTTTGCTGCAAGCTTTTTTGTCCAAGTTTGCTGCAGCTGCTGCTCCTGAGGCTCTTTCAGGCGCTTTGGATGCTTTCAGTGGTGCCTTCACGTTAGAGTGTGGCAAAGCTCCTCCCACTGGTCCTCCGGCCACAGAGAGCCCCTGTCCGACTGCAGCCATAGAACTTAACCTCTCCCTGGGGAGAGTGTTGGTTGAGCCAATAGAGTAGATGGGTAAACTTGAATAAGGTTTGGGAGGCAGACGCATCTGTTAGGAATGAAAACAGTGTATTTTGCTTAAGATAAGCTGTGTGGCATGTGAAGGGTTAATAGTGTAATGATTTACTTGAGGTTGGGATGTTAAGAATTTAACTCTTGATTTCCATATACTACCAGGGAAAAAAAAAAAACACTAACTTGTACCTTCTTACCTCTTACTACCCCTATACTACATAAAGGAGATCAGGCTGCCTCTGACTCAGATATTTCTCAGCTAGAACATGTCCTTTTCTATTTCTAGTATTTTAAGCTCATTTACTGTAATGAGATTGCTTTGAAAATGTCTTGAATGTGACTTTCTTTCTGTCATTTCACCTAATAGAAACCATATTTTAGAGGAACGTGAGTCAGTTGTTTAACTTGCCTTTTTGCAGCACTGTGAACACACTGGCCTGGAGAGTAGAATAAAAAAACAGAAAGCAGAGTGAATGAGAAAACACAAAACACACTTTCTTCTGATTTTGATTTAAAATGAATAAATTCAGGTCAGTTTATTTACTTTTTGCAAAACTGACAGATGTAGGACCAGGTAAAAAAGGAAAATCTTTTGGTTCGACAACAGAAGCAAAGCTGCCAAAAGAAAAAAAAAACAGGTCATTATGAAAATAAAGTATTACAGACATCAGCATGTTTGAGAAAATTATACTGGTGGAGCTGCTGTGAGTGAGCTGTCTGAACGCCACCCCATCGTGCTCTTTCCTACAACAAAGACCACAACACTTACCTTTCCTTTTTTCATAGCGTTGTAGATTTCTTTGTACTGCTGGAATTTCTCCAGCTCTGCCTTAACTAGAACTTGTCTTATGTGCATCACCTCGTCCACTGTCAGTGACAGACATTCGACAGGGAAACAAAACTCCTCCTGTAGAGAAACAAGTAAACAAGAGCACACAGACAGTGACACAAACAGCAGCAGAACAAGCACGCAAGGTTCAGTGACTATGATTTAATATAAAGACAGGCACAGTGACCCTCTACAGTTTACAAGGTAACTGTATATCTCAGTTTATTCAACAGTTCAAATATGAGCCACTGTAGTAGAGTGACTAATAAATTGTATGTCTCAGTATCTGCATGATCAAATCTGCCTCTCAAAATAACAATACCAATAACTGTGTTCAAAAGAGTTTTTCCTAGTGTACAACTGATAGACCCTTAATGACCTTGGATTTGAATTTCTCCACAAAGTTCAAACTAGCACCCATGGTGAAGAACTGAGAAGGACTTTTCAGAGGCTTAGGAGTTTCTCCAGCAAAAAGGTAGAGAGACATTAAGACTGAAGAAATACCCTTCAAACAATGAATGACAGTGAGTTCATGAAACACTGCACACTGGATTGTGCAATGATCATGAGTGCATTCACATCTCCAAGCCAACTGGAAAAATGCAACAGTTTCTGAATGGAGAGGAGACCTGCTCATAATGGACTGCAAGGGTCACAGATATTGTTATAAAAACATTTCTTTGAAGTCAGATAAAGCAATGCAAATAAGCCATGAAACAAGCTCTCTGATTGGTTATGACCTGGCCTATTACATGCAGATGTATGCATGGAGGTGAAGGTGATGGAAGAATGAGTAAAAATGTAGACCTTAGTTGGTGTTTGGTGTTCCAGGTCGTAATATATTCTTACTAACTTTGGTCATTTCACAGCTTCCTGATAAATGAACTGCCTCACAGACTAAATACAAAGATAATCAGGAAAGAGATCAGGTCATATTTGGCTCAAGTTAAAAAAAAGAAAAAAAGAAAGAAAAAAAAAACATTTGACAGCCCTCCAGCGGACACCAGACCACAGTTTACATTAGTATTCAGCCACTCTCTGGTTCATATTAACATCCAAAGATCACCAATATGCTAGAGAAAGAGAAACATCTGATTATTTCACAGATGACTGTTGGATTAAATCAAAAATGAGCCATCTTATCTTCCAAAAGGTGTAAGTGGAAAATGAAACTTCCTCAAAGACACCCACTAAGTCTATCAAAATGATGAAGAAAAGATTTGACCCCAAAACAACAAGATGTGAGTCCAAGATCACATAAGATATAATAATTGGTTTAAGGCACCAAATACAGAAATCTCTTTTAATTCAAATAAAATATTCATGATAGACTGTCAACTGACAGAGTTGAAATCGTCCCTATATAGCCTCCCAGCCTCAGCTGATTGCTGCCAGCCTCTCCTCTTAGATCATTTTTATCTGCCTCTGCTTATTCAGTCTGTTTGTTAATGTGTTCAGTCATAATTTCCAAAATGCAATAGTCACCAGGACCTCCTTTCATCAGCTGAAGCAGCAAACTCAACTGATGTCTTGTGCTGCAACAAGTGACACTTTGGGCTCTATTTTCGTGCCTCGTCGGTGGCGTGGTGCAGGTGCGGCATAAGTCAGGTCGGCCACGCCGACAAGGTGTGCCCAAGCACACTTTGGTATTTTGGTGAGCAGCACAGCCCAGCGTTAGTATCCCTCCTCCCTAACTCAGCTCCTCCCAGCAGCGTAAGTCATAGAGAGGGAGGAGAGAAGGCATGGAGTGGGTTTAACACAGCCGAGACCTGTTTTCACCAATCATATCAGCTCCTTTCCTCACCTTTAAATCCGTCACCAGCGAGGCATATTACAATATTCGTGAAGTAGTTGAAGAGATCAAGAGATGACTGAAGACAGCAATGCCACATGGTGACAAAAGGCAGCCCCTCAGCAAGTGTTGCTATAAGCGCTGCAGAGGGCGTCCTTCACACTCTCTCAAATGAGCACAGAGGGATTTGGTGTGTGTAAGGTTGTACCCACCAGTAAGACAAAAACCCGTTTTCACAAATAAAGACAATCATATTAAATTGCATATATTTAAACCCTACATGACAAAGGCGGGTTGTGCACACAGATCACAACATAAATTCCCGGAATGGCATTAAAATCGGAACGCGGTGGTCAGTCTTGCCACTGCAGCAGCAGAAGCAAGACTGGGAGAGGACATGGAGACATGTCCAGGTCAAGCTGCGCGAGCGGAGAAAAAGGGGGGAGACCAATTAAATATCTTGTAATGCGGTTTCAGCTGTGTTGATTTGGTCAGGTTGAGTGTCCAAACCCATGCCAAACACGCTTATTTATTGCACTGAAATGTGCCTGAAACTGTGGAAATTGCCTGTGAGGCATCGGTGAAATATGCACACTACGCTGCCGGTCTACCAAAAAACCACTAGACCAGCTGCACTCCACCTGTGCTGAAAGATGACCAGGTTTGAAACGGCGAGCTTTCAGCGCACTTTCCACCCAGCGGCGAGCACGAAAATGTCACTGCGGCAGCTGATTCTATCGACACTTCCGCCCAGCTTGGCCACCTCAGTACGCCTCAGTCTACAAAATACCAAACTGGCTGTGCGCTGGCTGGACTCCACCAAACAAAAATACCACTGCGTGAGGTGCACCACCGTCCGCTGCACCGCCGGCGGGCACGAAAATAGAGCCCTTTATCTCCTGAACATGTTCACTGGGGTGAGTAATTAAGGGCCTGAAAAACATGGTGCTATTTCCAACCCTGTGCCATCTGCTGACGCCACAGGCTGTGAGCTGTAATTTGGACCCACCCCCTGCCCCGAAATGTTACCAGCTGCTGTGATCATTGTTGTATTCCTTTACTGCACACTTGATCCCGTCATGGCTTAACGCCATTTCTTTCTGTTCTCTATTACTACTTGTGTAAGCTTTCAGTCATTTTAGTTAGCCTATTCATGTTATTACTTCAGGTATTAATCATTTATTGATGTTACAAAGTAGACCCATTCACCTGTTGTGTCCTCATTTTTGTGTTTAAAATATTCATATAAACCCAAATGTTTTGTCTGTGTAACTTTGTCTAAAGTTGAGAGAGGATGTACTGACTTAAGTGATGACATTGATCCAATTGATAAACATTAAAATATCTGATGCCTCCTTTATGGAGGTGGTGCCCAACTTTTTAAAGGAGGTATGAAATATTAATATCATAATTTATTAACTTCTGAAACACATTTATGTGACACTGTTGGCATTAAGAGTTACCAAACAAAATGTCTGCATGCCTGAAATTATGATTAAGTATCTCTGATGTCCTTTGTACTAATTCTTTATACTCCAGTACCAGCGTCTGTGGGCTGGATCAAATCCTTGTAAATGTGGCTTTTTTTTTCATAGAGTACACAGTGAGCAACAATATCAAACTAACCAGGGATTTGGAGTTTTGTTTGGACGGTGGCTGAAAGTGTCGAACATTGGTGGGAGTTTCCTTCTCAATAGAGTGTCGTCTTTGTTGGGTCTGACGCCTCTCTGGCTGGGGTGTAGAGGAAATGGGCAGGAACATAGGGGGAGCTAGGAACAAGGAAAAAAGACAAGTAAAGGACAGGAAACAAGTTGGCTTCATTAAAAGGATTTTACCCATCAGTTGATTCTGATCTTAAACTGCAGCCAAGAGTAACATCTCAAGAGACAGTGGCTGCTGAGGCTGTCTGTTTAAAAAGTCAATTATCACAAGCTGTGAACACTTGAGGCCGGAGGTGGAATTAGCTGTAAAAAAAACAGATGAACAAACTCTTACTCTTTTTCCCCAGCACAGACTCTGGAGATGTGTCATCCACCATGGATGTGGCCATACTGGAGCTGCTGGCTGAATGCCACCCAGCGATGTCATCCTAAAAGGAATACAAAATTGATCAATACATGTGACAGTAACCAGGATAAGATGATACTGTATTGATCTCCAGATGAGAAGATGTAACGCAGACATAGTGAGTAGAAACACAATATGAGTAAGAGTAGAAAATAGAATCCAAAAGAGGAGTAAATCAAAAAATAATACAAACTAGGTAAAAAGAAAGAAAAAAAGAAGTGATATATACAACAGCTCTTATTACAAACTGTTACAAAGAGGAAGTGAGTCCTAACAGATCCACATATTCATACTAACATCAGAATCTGAGCTGTCCAGCTCTGTAAAGCTGGGAGCTTTAAGAAGCCTCTTTCTCTGAGGTACAGACTGAGAACCTGATGGTTCAACCCTTGGAGATGTTGATCCATTAATCAAAGACAGAGAGCTGGACACCCGCCTTCCCAAGAATGGATGAAACTCATCTGAAAAAAAGAAAAACACACACAAGAGGGTCATCAGGGAGTAGAAACCAAAGGACAAATGTGAGTTAGCCATGAAACTTTTGTACAAATCAAGTGTGGCGACATGACTCCCTTTTAGTTCATTACGTTGACGTGTTACATATCAGAACAGCTAGCCTAATGCAAGGCTAATGTATGGTTACTGTCACTTACGTAGTGTACAATCTCACAGCTGTCACAGTCTGCTACAGCCTTTCTCCATGGACTCAGTAATTTTCCACTGTCCTGCTCACACCACACCCACTCCCTGATTACCACACCCACTCTTAGTCACTGATAACACACCTGCCTTCACTCAGTAATCACACACCTGCCCTCACTCACTAATCAGCTCCCCTGCCTTCTGCTCAGTATATATTCTCCAAACTCACACTCACTCACTGCCAGATTGTTCTTTGCTACGCGAGACTTTCCAGTGTTTGTTTGTTTGTTTGTCTGTCTTCCCCATGCCGACCCTGCCTGTCTACGGCCTGCCTGCTTCGCCTGCCTCCTGGTAAATTACCTCAGCCTTTTGTTCCTGACTATGAGCTCTGCCTGCCCCCCTTTCGATTGGCTGCCTGGTCTGCTTGCCTCCCGTTTTTTGAACTTCTGCCTGCCCTGACCAAGCCACCTGCCCAGCCATTGAACTGTCTCTGTGCCAGATTCTCGATAATAAATCTATTGACTGAACATCGATTCTGTGCCTTGTTTGTACTGCATTTGGGTCCATACAATACCCGTTACAACAGCAATATCATGAAAATATCTTAAGCTAACAGGATGCAGCTAAAAATTTAATCTTTGTCATGAAAATGCTGGAAGGGGCTGGACTGTTGAAAACCTCTCGGGGGCACTAGTGAGCTAATTTTCATACCCATGTCCAAAACCATAAAAATATCAAATTCTCCGCCAGATCTGATCTGATGATCTGAAGTTTCAAGAGTTTTTGTACACATTAGGCCATCAGAGGTCCAGGCCATACTAGAAAAATACTACTCTTAGGAATTACAATTAGGTCCACGTATCACTTCTTTTTAGTATTTCCCAAACACCAACATGCATCACACCCTATGGTGTGATGCATAACTTTTCCCCTAAAATTTAAACCATCATTTAAAAAGTGCATTTTCTATTTCCTCTCACTATTGAGTTTTCTCACCAAGCCTTCTCCTGTGGACCCTATGGTGTGCGATGGTGCGAAGGTCTGTTCAAAGCTGCTTGCAGCTTTTGTTACCCTTGTCTTTCTTTGGTCTCTCTTTTTTCCCCTCTTTTGGTTTTGTTTGTTTCTTTAGATGGTTGTTTTTGTCTTTTTTACTGTTTGTTTAAAGCACTGCAGGCCTCAGTTGGCTCAGTTAAGGTCAGAGTTGATGATTCAAAAATGAGAAACAGACTAAGCCAAAATGGCATCCATGGGAGAGCTACAAAACCAAAACCCTCTAGACCAAAAAGACCTCAAAGACCTGTCTCACATCTGCCAAAAAACATCCTGATGACCCCAAAGACTTCTGGGACAATATTCTGAGGACTGACCGGACAAAAGTGGAACTTTCGGGAGCATCTGCATCCCATTACATCTGGAGTCAAACTAACACAGCATTTCAGAAAAACACCATCAGACCCACAGTCAAACATGGTGGTGGCAGTGTGATGGTCTGGGGCTTCTTTGCTGCTTCAGGACCTGGACCACTCGCCATAACTTTTGAAACCACGAATCCTGTTCTATACCAGAAAATCCTGAAGGAGAAGGTTCGGCCATCATGCTGGAAAGCCCTCCAGTATGGCTGAATGAAAACAACTCAGCAAAAAAGAGTGGGTCAAAACTCCTCCACAGCCAAGAGAAAGACCTGCTTTCAGCATCACAAATGCCTGATCCCAGTTGGTGCTGCCAAGAGTGAAAGAACCAGCAATCAGATTTAGGGGGTAATTACTTTTTCACATAGGGCCAGGTTGCATTGGATAACTTTTCCCCTAAAATTTAAACCATCAACCATCAGTGCATTTTCTATTTCCTCTCACTATTGAGTTTTCTCACCAAGCCTTCTCCTGTGAATCTCAGGTGAGACCGGCCGAAGTTTCCTCTCTGCTTTGATTTCTTCCAGAATACGCTCATGCAGAGTCGGAGGAGCCTGACTCTGAGGCTTCAATTTACGAGCTGACACCTAAAGCAAAGTAATGATGGTTAGTCAGAGAGTATCATCAGATACACAGAAGAAAGGCATCATCCCACTGCTATCAAACAAGACATGTAGAGCATGACAGAAATCCTGTAAATTACAAAAATTTGAATACCACCAGTACTGCTCTTCTGTGATACACATGACCAGTGAGGTTTTATAAAGGGGTGTTGTATTGGTGACATTACAAGGCATCTTCTTGGTGATACAGATTTTCACGAAGAATGCTTCAGTAACACTTCATATAGTGAAAAGCCAGTGGACAGTGGGGTTAAGCTCACAATGAACCAGTAGAAATGAGACAGTTTGGCATACACATTTCCTTCTATTGTCTTTCAGAACAACTCAAGGAAAAGGAGGTTTGGTTTTTACTAGAACCAAGGGTTCCTCCCAAGTCCATTAAAGTTACACTTACAGGGTTGAGAGGTGGTCTGGATCGGATAAAGTCCAGAATTACTTCATGAGCGCTCTTCTTTAACCTTGGTGGAATGTCTCCATTTACCTGAAAACAGAAACAGGATAAAAATAATATATATGAGGTTAACACAGGCAGAAAGGTAGAGACAAAATAGCCATTTTCTTAATATGTGAGGTGTAAAATTGTGGTTTGTCAGAGTGCTGATTGTAAGGGTCAGCTTAATGCTGCTATCAGCTTTAGTTATCTTTTCATGTCTACAATGTTTTTTTTTTGCAATAATCATGTATGGTTTTCAGGTGTGTATTTTATGTACAGTTTACCAACTATTTTGTAGTTTAAAGCACCCCCCCCTTTGCTCAATTAACATGCTGCTGTGCTAAAAGCTCTATTGAACCCTTCCTCTGAGGATTCAACAATAACTCTGTGAGAGGTGTGGATTCTTCTGAAGAGGTCATGTGACTCTCACCATGACTTGACGCAGTTTGTAGCGCTTGGCCCTTATGTCGTCCATGAGCATCTCATAGGGTGTTAACTGGTACTCGATGGGCAGAGGATTGTACTGGCGCTCCTGGACCTTTTTCAGCTTGACTCCCTCACGCAGGTCTCTCATGACCTGAACCCAGAATCGAGCCTAAGGGGAAAAAAGAAAGTAAAAAATACTGTGATTACACACAGAGAAAGGGTTTATTAAAGTTGTACAGCATATCGCAGTGTGGTGTTGTAGATCTCCTTATTCATTATTTAAACAGATGCATTACTGAGAATGCTGATCCCGCTAAGTCCCCACCTCAGTGTATCAAACAGGTTTCAGCACCATGTGGTACTAGGAGATGGAGTTATTGAGTTAGAACAAACATTTTATTTGGAATGATTTCTTTGCAGCTTTGCCCTCTTGTTCTAGATGATAAAATATGATAGCTGCAGCAGAAAATTCAGAAACCGACCATAGACAGGCCCCAGCACTAAAATCGTACAAGGACCTCATAGAACTTCCTTTGAGATTTTATTTAGGGCTTGAACATGCTTACAGGCTGTGTCTTTATTCAGGGTCTGCACACTAAGCAGTGTGGATTTACAGTGCATGTGACGTCATCACGTCCTATATCGCCTGCGATTCTGAGTGCACATAAAACCATGCTGCCCCCACCCTGCCCTGGCCCCTTTTTCAAGCAGTCATTCATTCACACTTTGCGGCTTTGAAATCCCAGAATTCTTTGCGTGCCGCAGATTCACTTGGAGGCGCAGCGCCTCTTTGAAGAAAATAAAGAAAATCCAAGAACACAACAGTCAGCTCAGGCTCTAATAACAACAACAACAACAACAACAACAACAATAATAATAATGATAATAATAATAATAATAATGCATCAGATTTTATGACGCTTTCCGTCAGTAATCTCAAAGCAGTAAACTACCTTAGCAGTCACAGCTGTTAGTGCCTACGGCCTCTCTGACCACCACCACACAACACTCACAATAATACACCAGTGGAGGACACACATACTTGGAGCAAGGACGGATAAGTGTCTTGCCCAAGGACACAACAGACAGACTCAGGATAAGGGGGAATCAAACCGCAAACCACCTTCCGGTTATTGAATGACCACTCTACCTCCTGAGCTACTGCTGCCTCTTTACTCACTCAAATCTGCGCCTGGTGACCGAACAGTATACCATTTAGAAAAGAACTATGTAATACACAGGTATAGCCTACACCGTACACCCATGAGTAAAGTACACAAATTTCTGTATACCCACTCAAAAATGTGCAAAGAAACATTACAACCAAAGTTCTGACCAAAACTTTCCAGCTACACGCCGTAGCGATTTGAATTTATAATAAATGTCTGAAGATTAATAATCTCAAATTATGACATTTATGCACTCGTTGAAAGGGGCACCACCCATCCTTAATGGTGGGAAAATAAAGGAAAACAAGTTTAATTCAGAAATCAAACATTAAGTCAATCTTAACTTACTCAATCTCATATCTTACACCGAAATTCTCATTTCAGGGACTCCACTTCTGGAAGAACACTAACAGACAGGAGATTAGAAGAATAATGATCTGTTTATTACAGGATAAATTATGGTACAACATACATGCAATAAATGATGATAAAATAATGAGGATAAATAATAATGAGGATAAATAATAATAGGTAAATAATAATAAAAAAATCTGAATCAGGCTAGGAACACTAAGTTAATGATAGTGGGTGAATATGCTCTAACATATGAGTGAATATGCTCTAACATATTAGAGCATTAGAGGGGGCTGGCGGCTGGAACTGGTCAACTGCAGGATTATCGGTGGATGTATCAGCGGGCCATCCAGAGGGCTTTTGGGGTTTCTGAAGAAACATCCAATCTCCACAAAAGCAGTGATTTCCTACAAGTCTGCCTGTTTTTTTCTGTGGAGAAGATGCATTTCTTGTATATTCTTCTAAAACGCCTGCTTATGACAATGTAATGCTGATGTGCCAAAGGATGAAGTATCTCCTTGTTTGTGAAACCTATACTGAAGCACAGTTCCTTCAAATGCTTCATGGTCCTAATTTTAACAACTCTCCTCTGAAATTACAGATAACTTTATGACTTTATTCTTATAAATTAATGACTTTATTCTCGTAAATTCATGACTTTGATATCAAAGACTTAAAAAAAATCATTCTCAATGTGGCCCTCATACTCTGTACAAAACACATGCCAACATTGGATGAATTTTGTGGAAATGATCTGTAAGTCCTTTCCTCTTTTTGGTTGTCACTTGTTTGTTGTATAGTAACTCCTGTGTGCTTGTATGTATGCATTGTTTTGTGTCTGTGCCTTTTGTTTTGTATGTGTATTGTATGTATGCAAGGTCGCACAATTAAAAACAACCTTTTCTTCAAGTCAGTCGTGATGTGAGCCTGAGGGCAGGGACATTTGGTGACTCAACCAGGAAGTCCTCCGAAGGGTAGACCGTCCTAATTCACAACAGTCGAATCACCTCACCCAGGGTACTCAGGGTGCAATCAAAGGCCAGTGCACGAAGGAGTTTACTTAGCTGTGTGCAGACCTTGAATTGAGACACAGCCACAGAGTCCTGAAAACTGTATGTCCACTAGGGCTGCTTGATTATGGTAAGAAACAAAATCCTGATTATTTGTAAATGCTATTGAAATCACGATTGCTTGTGGTTAATCTGATTATTATTGTTGTTTGTGTTGTCTAAACTTGGATATCTTTTTGAGTTGGTCATTGTTAGAGATTTAGATCATCAGTGAGGTGGATGGTCCAAGGTCAAGTGTCAATTAACTTACCCAGTCAGCATTCTGTAGCTCAATAAGGTCTTGACTGCAGTCCACTGATGACTCCTCCTCCATCTTACGAAGGTTCTGATGAAAGAGAAACAGAGACCTTGATTATTAAGGCCAAGTTAGACATTAACGAGTCCATGACAGCCAATAAAGTTTAGTGTTTCACTTGAAGTGCCATGAAGGACAAACCTGCTCTTTCTGTCTTGTATGCACTAACCTACAGGCCCTTCAGTCTAATGTAACACTATTCAGTGACCAGTGGGAGCCTTTAGTATCATCAGTATTATTTTAATTTGCAGCTGTAAAGTGAAGCACCTTCACTGTTTTTTTTTTTTACCCAAATGTCCCTCATCATATCTACTGATTAACAAAGTGGCACAAGAAACACCAGGACATGGATGCTCTTAGTGGTAGCAGACAAACAAAAAGGACACACAGCTGAACTTCAACTTCTGTTCAAGGAAGAAAGTTCACTCCTGTCCCTGCTGGAGAAGGAGGATCAAAGATCTTCAGGAATATAACATGTCCCACAGCACCTAATCCCCCATAACATAATAAGGATAAAGTGAAGAAGGTATTTCCATCCTGCTAACATGCCATGTGATGTAGCAAAACATATTACATTTATTTACTGTAGATTTAAATGAGGCATCAACAGCTGGCCTTGAGGCTTTTTAGTGATCAAGTTACTTTGGGGACAGCTTCAGCCCTAAACATATTATTTCTTTAATCCAGACACAGGCCAAAATTCAGTCTAAATATTTTGTAAATATCTAATATATTTTTCAAAGAACCAGTGACTCATCATTTGATCTTTCAAGAAATCTGACCAAAATCAACTACCGTTTTCTGGCAATGTCTACGTCTAAAACCAGTTTCTTCACAAATTAATGCTGTTAACATCCTGTTGAGGATACCTCCACCCACTGTTGACTTTAGCCAGATCAGCAAATTGCTTTTGCTCCCAAGCTTTAATCCTGATCATCGCAGTTTAATGATCTTTCAGGAGCTTGACTGAAACTGAAACTGAGATGTGATTCATTGCCCAGCATTCTTTGACCCTAAGTGTGTTGAGTGCCTGTTGTTGTTGTTACCTCCGCCAAGAAGGTTATGTTTTCGGTAGCGTTGGTTTGTTTGTTTGTCTGTTAGCAACTCTACGGAGAAAGTTACAGACGGATTGACCTGAAATTTTCACCAGAGGTGTGTCTCAGCCCCAGGAGGATCCCCCACATTTTGGTGGTGATCCGGATCGCCTTCTGGATCCAGGAATTTTTTGAAGTATTCTCTATCATTGTGAGATAGGGCAAATTTTAGAATTTTTGCATTTAACTCTATAAAAATGGCCAGAATCTTTAGTAAAAAAAAATCACTAAAGGATCTCAATGAGTTTTATGAGGTGTCAAAGGTTGATCCTGATCCAGACAAAATTCCGGATACTGTGATCCAGAACACACAAAAATAAGGGTGTCGCTGGAATTTTCAATGCTGAAAGATAACCACTGGGCGGCACAGTGGAGTAGATGGGTGGCACAGTGTCGTAGTGGTTAGCACTGTCGCCTCACAGCAAGAAGGTCCTGGATTCAAATACAGGTCAGGGCATTTCTTGTTTTAGGAACATTATGAACAGTGAACATACCAGTTTAAACACAAATAAAAGTTAATAAAAGACACGTAACAAAAAAGTTTTGGTGTGAATCACAATATAAGGGGGGACATGAGCTGCTCGGCAGAGGTCTGCGCTCTCTGAGTGCTTTCCTAGTTGTTTTTGTATTCACATGATCAGTCTTTTTTCAAAACCTACCATTGTCTTGGCAGATGGCTGTTCACTGTCTGGTTCTGTTTATAGTTTCTGACTATTTAAATGATTTTCTCCATGCCACTGTTAAATGTGTCAAAGTGCTTTGGTAGATTATGATGAGATTGAACCTTACTCTGATGATGAGTCTCGACAAATAGTGAAATGATGATACAAGTGATTAACAAAGATTTATGTTTTAACTCTTATCAAAGTCATTGATAAGGATTAGGCAACAGTTCAGACAAGAAACACTCAGTGCAGCCTCTGTGTGTCTTTATTATAATATAATTTCATGATATAATCCAGCTATCCCTCTCAAAAGCAATGGCCCTTCACTTATTGAATATGAGTTTTACCCTCTGATGGTTCCTAAATTGAAAACTTTCATTCACAGAAGCATAAAACAGTTATCACAGACATTAAAATGTTGTCTTTTTCAAGGTTTAAATGGGAAATACCTGTATTTAAACTTCAACATGATCACAATCACAGAATTTTGTTAAAAAATTAAAATATCGCTTGCCTCTTTGGCACTCGTGATTTTTTTGAGGAAGGTATGTAGCTCCATGGTTTCCGTGTACAAAGCCCGACAAACAGCCTGGTAGTGAGTGGTGGCATCTGATGGACTGGGTAGATGAACTCTGCACAGCTACAAAGAAGAGAGTGAGGAGGAGAGAAAAAAAGACATCCTCTAATCACAGTAAATACAATACGTAAGTGTGTGTGTTTTTAAACCTCGTGGCTATAATCATCTTTGTTGTTTGGATATCATGATCATTAAAAACGAGGACTTTGGGCTCTATTTTCGTGCCTCGCCAGAGACATGGTGCACGTGCGGCATAAGTCAGGTCCGCCGCGCCGACAAGGCATTCCCAAGCACAATTTGGTATTGTGGTAAGCGGCGCAGCCCGGCGTAAGTATCCCCCCTCCCTAACTCCGCTCCTCCCAGTGGCGTGCGATGTAGCGAGGGAGGAGAGAGGGCATGGAGTGGGTTTAACACAGCCGAGACCTGTATTGACCAATAACATCAGCTCCTCTCCTCTCCTCGCCTTCAAATCCGCCACCGGTGAGGCGTATGACATTTACGATTTGGTGTGCGTAATGTTGGCCCCACTGGTAAGACAAACACCCTTTTCCACAAATACAGACACTCACATAAAGTTGCATATATTCAAACCTCACGTGACAAAGGTGGGTTGTGCGCACAGCTCACAACATAAACTCCAAAAATGGCATTAAAACCGGAACCATCTGTGCGTAAATGACGCATCGCGCTCCGTGGCCTGGCTCTTTCTTTCATATATGTTGGCATATAGAATAAATTTGGCTCTCAAAACTGAATATTATAATATCCGTATGTAGGCTTAAAGTAAATAACTCATTTGATCACTGAAACAAATCACCTGTTCAGCCGCCGCAGCAGCATCTGCAGCAGGACGGGGAGAGGACATGGAGACATGTCCGGGTCGAGCTGCGCGAGAAATAAGAGGAAAAGGAAGAAAGAAAAGGAGGGAGACGAATTACATATCTTTTTAACTTCATCATGTGTGTCTATTTACTAGATATTTAATTTAATTTCACGCGGCTTCAGCTGTGATGATTCGGTCAGGTTGTGTGTCCAAACGCGTGCCAAACTCGCTCATCAGATCAGATATAGATCAGAATATATCTATAGATCTTAATGTATGTGCTGACTCAGATTATTAGTTGTTGATGATTATTTATTGCACTGAAATGTACCTGACACTGTGGGAACCTGCGGGTGAGGCATCGGTGACGTATGCACATACGCAGCCGGTCTACCAAAAAACCTCTAGACCAGCTGCGCTCCGCCTGCGCTGAAAGCTGACCAGGTTTGAATGGGCGAGCTTTCAGCGCACTTTACACGCCGGTGGCGTGAACGAAAATGTCACTGCGCCCGCTGATTCTGTCGACACCTCCTCCTGCCACGCCACCACGCCCAGCTTGGCGGATCTTGGTGCGCCTCAGTGGCCGACCCCGCGCAGTTGTATTTTCATCTGGCGGAGCCCGGCGTACAGCCAGTTTGGTATTTTCGTGGACTGAGGCGCACAGAGGCAAATCGAGATCGGCCAAACTGAAAGCTCGCCCATTCAAACCTGTTCAGCTTTCAGCGCAGGCGGAGCGCAGCGTCTCCATGTCCTCTCTCCGTCCTGCTGCAGCGGCGGCTGAACAGATGATTCGTTTCAGTGCTCAGATGCGTTATCTACTTTAAGCCGACATACGGATATTATAATATTCAGTTTTGTGAGTCAAATTTATTTTATATGCCAACATCTATGAAAGAAAGAGCCAGGCCATGGAGCGTGATGCGTCCTATACGCACAGATGGTTCCGATCTTATTGCCATTTTTGGAGTTTATGTTGTGATCTGTACGCAAAACCCACCTTTGTCACGTGAGGTTTGAATATGTGCAACTTTATTTGAATGTCTTTATTTGTGGAAAAGGGTGTTTGTCTTACCAGTGGGTCCAAACTTACACACACCAAATCCATCTGTGCTCAGAGAGTGAGAGAGTGTGGAGGACGCCCAATGCAGCGCTTACAGCGACACTTGTTGAGGGGCTGCCTTCTGTCGCCATCTTGTGGCATTACTGTCATTAGCCATCTCTTGATCTCTTTGACTACTTCACAAAAATGGTATACGCCTCGCCTGTGGCGGATTTAAAGGCAAGGAGAGGAGCTGGTGTGATTGGTTAATACAGGTCTCGGCTGTGTTAAACCCACTCCACGCCCTCTCTCCTCCCTCGCTACGACTTACGCCACTGGGAAGAGCTGAGTTAGGGAGGGGGGATACTTACGCGGGCTGCGCTGTTCACCAAAATGCCAAATTGTGCTTGGGAACGCCTTGTCGGCACAGCAGACCTGACTTATGCCGTGCCTGCAGCATGTCTCCGGTGAGGCACAAAAATAGAGCCCTTAATGTTCAAACTGATAAACTTTTTTTTTTTTGGTTTGTTTTTTTCACTTATTTTGAATTTAATGATGTAACACATTCCTAAAAAAATTGGTTCAGGGTCAACATCCCCAAAGGCTCAATCCTTTACAAGCAAGGATGAGGCCGTGTTCACTACTTCTAAGTAGCGAACCCAACTGTGTGAGCAAATAATCCAACAGTTTAAGAATGTTTCTCAGTGTAAAACTGCAGGAATATAGTGATTTGATCATCTACAGTCCACAAAGTCATAAAAAGATTCAATTGAATATAGGTGAAATATAAGTTTTACACAATGTCCAAACTTCATTGGAGTATAGGTTTGTACACAACTGCCCTGTTGATCGTAATCGATGCAAACTTAAAAAGGTGTCACGATATGTTGTTGTATGTATTTTTTCCTGGTTTTGTATTTTTTCTAGTGTTTCTGTTCTCTATTGTTCCCTTGTATTCCTGTCTTGTGAGTTTTCAGCTTGAGTTTTCTTTGTTCCATTTTTCTTTAATATATCCTGAAGACCTGCCTTGGGTCCCTTTCCCTTTTGTTTTATGTATCAATCGTGACTTATCGCCTAAAAAACCTGATTCAACTTCTCTGTTGGGATTATAATAACTTTGACTGTCAGCATTAATCTTAACTCTCCCAATTGTCCCACCAGTAAAGCTCAGTGAAGTAATAATCAAAATAAAGGTATCTTTTGGAGAGATGCTTAACCAAAGTTCAAACAGGTGGAGAAATGACTTTCTTCGTTCAAAATTCAAAAAATGAAATTAAGTCTACAGAAACCACAGATAATTATGTCCCAGCAGAGCTTCAGTTTTATCTGCAGGTGCAAAAACTCAGCTTGGAAATCCCACTCAGCGTGTTGTCTCAGTTATTGTTGTGTGTTGTGCCATGTAACTCAGACTCTGTGAGATCTAATTCTTCCAGTCTTTCTGTGCATCACATCCTGGTCAGCCCACTTGAACTCTCTGTATTCACTAGTTAAGTCCTGAAATCAGTACCTTGAGGATGTCTCTGTAACAGTGAATACTGGAGAGGTTGTCAGGGTCATCTTTTGCTTCATCCTCTTCCTCTGTGGCATCATAGCCTTCATCAGGGCAGGCATCTCTCTCAGCTTCTGCAATGTTGGTCATAAGGTCGATGAGCTGCTCCAGAGGAGGGCTGAGCTCTCTCTCCTCATTTTCTTTTAGCCCATAATCCAGAGCTTTGTAGACCATTATGCCCAGAGACTCTATCACCTGCAGGAGCATATGAGACAACCAAACAATTATTTCACACATGCATAGCTCAAAAATATATACATGCTTTTAGATGTGTATTAAAGTGTAATATAAAGAGCAATATATTGTATACTGAAGGTCCAAAAGTTCTCAGGAGAAATTTCTGCAGCTTCTTCTTGTTAGGGCAGTTTGTGTTTCCCCCCTCCAGCTTTAATTTTAACATGAACAAGGCAGTACCAGCTAAGTGACATCTCTCTCCAATAAGGTTGCATTATTTTGACCCATTAGCTCTAGTCTGTTGCAGTAATTACTTTAAACTCAAAACAAGACTGAAGACAATCATGAGGTGTTATTATGTAGTCTACACAGCTTTACCTCTAACTGATATCGGCAGATGAAGCATAAAGGTCTCTAAGACCTTCCTGTAGACTTTAGGCTGCATTGACTCTGGACTAAAAGACAATAGACCAACAGCAGCAGATAACATGGTTTCCCAAATCATCACAGACTGTGGAAACTTCACACTGGACTTCAAGCATCTTGGGTTCTGGGCCTCTTTGACCATTCTTCAGCTCACTCCCTGCGAAGCTCCTCTAAGTTCTTGAAACTTCTTTGTTTTGCAATCCTCTCCAGGCTGCTCTCATCCCTGTTTCTTGGTCTCATTTTCCTCCTTCACTTTTCCCATCAGCCAACTTTCCATGAATCTTCTTCATACAGACTCTGGGACCAGCACTTCAAGGAGTCCAAAGACCCCAATGCTAACTGACTTTCTATACATTACTGAAAGGTTTGTTACTCGTGTTGAACATTTTTGACCCAGAACAGAGTTTTAGCTGCTCTTACATATAAACACCTGTGTAAAGAGATAAATAAAGTGTCATTAGATCACTGTTGATGATACTTGTCATTATTGAACATTAGTGTCAGTCTGCTTGTGCTCTCCACAATGATTGTTTTTGCTGCACACACCAAAGCCTGGTCTGAACACTTTTGACCACAGTATTTGTTTTTATTCAAAAGAACTTGAATTTATAGATAAAACATGCCTAAGCTTTGATTTTCTCTAAATAATTGTTTTAAAATTATTAGTTTTTCTTTATTCATCATCAGTAACAGTACAGTGTGATACTGTGCATATCTATACATCAGTGGCGATTGCTCTAAGACTGCAAGGGAAGCTCAGCTTCCCTTAAAATGTCACCCCCCCAAAAAAAGAAAAAGTGGTGAAATACGTACTGCTGTGTGTACATTTCATTACCTAAATACGGGCTAGAAAGCCTTCATCTTTTGTTCAGAATCAGCTTCTTATCACACTGTGATAAGACGCTGATAATCACAGGTAACCTGCATAACTTCGTTCTCAATCATCCTCGCAGCGCCTCAGTGCTTCACACAGCCGGACGCTCAGAGTCTGCTGATTTCAATGTGGAAGCTCAAAGTGGGTTGTTCCAGCAGTGAAACTAGACGCTCATTGGATAAATGCTGGGCTTTGTCCCGCCCACCGGACGCTCAGCGTCTCTGGAGTTCTATGACGAGAGGGCGGTCCCAACTTTCTCGAGGACGCTGAGCTTCTGCATCCATGATTGGATGAGCTGTCTGAGGTGAAATCCTTTTTTGATTGACAGCTAAACAAGCGAATCAGCGATCTTGAAGAATAAAACATCTACCAGAGCATTTTCCAAGTTATTCATTCCGTTGTTCTTAACTGCTCCAGAGACTTTACCGATCCTCAGCGACTTTTGTCTTTGTTAAACGACTGCCGTTGTGTTTGGCGACTCTGTTCTGTTACATACTAATAAACAAACACAATTATGATGTAGGCCAGAAAAATGAGCTTCCCCTCCTTCAAAAGACCAGCAGCCGCCACTGATATACATTAGACATTATAGGTCCTTGAATACAATGCACTGACTCACCTCTGTTGCTGTACAAGGGCTGTGTTCACCTGATGGAAAAAAAGAAAAGGTGTTGTTATGAGGGGTAGATATAACTCTTTGAATAAAGCAGTTTACATAAACGTATGGCCCCACATGTAAACTGCTCAATAACTGACAGTATGTACTATTGAGAGGATAATACTCTTAGCAACAAATGTGCATTATCTAAGTATTCACTTGTAACAACAGACCATTAATATCTTCCATGCATTTGTTTTTAAATATGCAACATTTAAAACTCTACAATAAATATCAACTGAGATATAAGTAAAAAGTTTTATTCTAATTTTACCACTCAAAGTTTACCGAACCTCACAAAGTCTCACATCTTCAGCTGCACCCTCAATATTGGTAATGTACTCTTTAATAGCAATAATTATCCAAAGAAACAGAAGAAACAATTTAGTGATACGTGTGGGTTAGTATTTTCATAAATTACAGGGTATTTTAATTAAAGCGATATCTGATTGTTACCTTTTGAGGATGTATAGTTGTTAAAGTCCCCCCCCCCCCCCCCACACACACACACACACACACATTTAATATTTTAATATTCCTCCATACAATAAACAGGCAGTATGACAGTAACGAGTTGTCTGAAGCCTAGTTTGTAACTACTGACCCATGGAGGGCTACCAGTCACAAGTTTGACCTCTTTACAGAGGTATGATTATGACCATGTGCGTCTGGCCATGGCCCCTGGTCATGACTCACAAATGAAACACAATAACAAAAAAGGATGACATGTAACCTTCAAGATTGGTGACCTTGTGGTCCTGAAATCTCACCCAAGATCAAATGCAGTTGCTGAATTTGATGCTAAGATAGTGCCAGTTTTTAAGGGCCCCTATGGTGTTGTTAAAGTTATGTCTGATCTAGAACATAAGCTGGTAGAAAAAGGAGGATGTTGGTGTATCATGTGACCAACACCCTGTCTAGACATGAGACTTTGATGGTCAGCCTCCACACACCACTCTGCACCACAGAGAGGACGTGGTTCCAGCAATCCCTGATCCTCAGGAGCCAGTCACTGTGTAGTAGCCTGCAGCTTGTGATGCATTTTATAGCTGATGTTTTTCAGTTCAGAAGTGTGACCAGAAGATATGCATTTGTTGCCCAAGGAAGACTGATAACAGGGTGTGTACTTTCACCCTGTTATCAATCAATACAGTGCGGATTTTCAGTGTGCGTGTTGTCATCACACAGCGATAAGGGTGCCCCGTTTCACTTGACTTTGCATTCATACACACGTTGTGGCCTTGTAATCCCCAAATTTTGCGTGCCACTGCACAGCTGCATATTTCAGGTAATATATCAGACTTGCTTGGAGCGCCTCTTCAAAGAAAATCCAAAAACACTTGTGGCTCTATTTTCATGCCCGCCGGCAGCGCTGCAGATGGTGGCGGACCCCACGCAGTAGTATTTTCGTTCAATGGAGCCAGTATTTTCGTAGACTCAGGCACACTGGGGTCCACCAAGCTGGGCATGGTCGCGCGGTAGGGGGAGGTGTTGACAGAATCAGCTGGGTCAGTGACATTTTCATGCCCGCTGTCGGCGTGGAAAGTGCATTGAAAGCTTGCCGATTCAAACCTGGTCAGCTTTCAGCACAGGCAAAGCACAGCTGGTCTAGTGGTATTTTGTAGACTAGAAGCATAGTGCACATACATCACCGATGCCTCACCAGCAAGTGTCCACAGTTTCAGGCACATTTTAGTGCAATAAATAATGAACAACAACTAATATTCAGTGCAACTATCTGAGTCAGCAAATACATTTAGATCTATAGATATATTCTGATCTATATCTTATCTATCTTCTTATCTATATTCTTTACACACAGGTGGTTCCGATTTTAATGCTATTATTAGCATTTGTTCATAAGGTGATCTGTGTGCAAAACCCACCTTTGTTGCATGGGGTTTATACATGCAACTTGATGTGAGTGTCTTTATTTGTGGCAAAGGGTGTTTGTCTTACCAGTGGGGTCTAACCTTACACACACCAAATCCCTCTGTGCTTATTTGGAGGATGCCCTGCAGTGCTTACCACGACACTTGTTGAGGGGCTGCCTCCTGTCGCCATCGAGTGGCGTTGCTGTCCTCAGTCATCTCTGACTACTAAATGAAATTTGCAATACGCCTTGCCGGTGGCACATTTCAAGGTGAGGAGAGGAACTGATGTGATTGGTAAAAACAGGTCTCCGCTGTGTTAAATCCACTCCACGCCTTATCCCCTCCCTCTTTGCTACTTACGTCGCTGGGAGGAGCTGAGTTAGGAAAGGGGGTACTTACGCCGGGCTGCACTGCTCACCAAAATACCAAAGTGTGCTTGGGCACGCCTAACTGGCATGGCGGACCTGACTTATGTCGGGCCTACGCCACACCGCCGACAGAGGCACAGGCTCCATGAGCACATGCTCTCCTAACTCACTAAAATCTGCACCTGGGGCCTAATTTATCAACCGTGTGAAGAAAAGGTTCTAAATTCAGGCGTAGGAATGAAATTTAGAATGTACGTAAGTACAGAAAAAATCTGTATTTATCAAACATGTGGACACCGGTTACGCACATTAGTAAGTAATCGGTGATGATAAATCCCATCTGTTCTTTACAACCATGCTCATGCAAAGTTTGGGTCATTTGCATTCAGAAATGCCTCCAATTGACCATTTTCGGTATCAACCATTCCTTTTATTAGCCAGAATGGTTTTTTTTTTCCCCTTGCCAAAATCATGGAAGTGCACACTCACAGGGCTCTATTTTCATGCCCGCCGGCGACACGGCAGACGGCACGCAGTGGTATTTTCGTCTAGCGGAGCCCAGTGCACAGCCAGTTCAGTATTTTCATAGTCTGAGGCACGCTGACGTCCACCAAGCTGGGAGTGGTGGCGCGGTAGGGGGAGGTGTCGACAGAATCAGCTGGCGCAGTTACATTTTCATGCTCGCCGTTGGCGTCAAAAGTGCGCTGAAAGCTCGCCGATTCAAACCTGGTCAGCTTTCAGCGCAGGTGGAGCGCAGCTGGTCTAGTGGTATTTTGGTAGACTGGCATCGTATTGCGCATACGTCACCGATGCCTCACAGGCAGGTTACCACAGTGTCAGGCACATTTCAGTGCAATAAATAATCATCAACAACCACTATTCAGTGCAACTATCTGAATTAGCACATACATTTATATCTATAGATGTATTCTGATCTATATCTTATCTGATGAGCGTGTTTGGCATGCGTTTGGACACTCCACCTGACCGAATTAACACAGCTGAAACCGCATTAAATTAAATATCCAGTAAACAGTCACACATGATGAAGTTAACAAGATATTTAACTAGTCTCCTCACTTATCCTCCTTCTTCCTCACGCAGCTCGATAGGTGTTGTGCCATAGAATGCACCCCTGGCACAGATTGCATCCCCTGCATCCCATCCACTCATTAGCTTCTTAAAGTGATATATATTAAAAAGAAAAACAGTATTGGATCATGACAACATGTCAAATAGAGCAGCAAACTTTCGTTCTGTTTTTAGGTATTTAAAAAATGCACATACAGAGGTGTACTTGGGTATATAAACTGTACAGTAAGCTGTTAAGGTAGAGAACATTATTATTTTTTCGGGGCAGCAAATATTCCGAATCAGAGGGCTATTGTTTTCGGCATATCTGAATAGCCTGAATGAAACCATTAAAGGCACCCGCTTTTGAATCTATCCAACGCTAAGGATAACTTGGATTATTTCGCCTTGTTGTTTACTTTCAACCGCGCTCCCGTCAGGGGGTGCATTCAACGGCAGGGGTGCATTCTATGGCTCAACACCTGACATGTCTCTTTGTCCCCTCCCCATCCTGCTGCTGCTGCTGTGGAACGGCTGACCAAATGAGTTATTTTTGAGATCAGATTATTTACTTCGAAAATTTGAACAAAAAAAATAAGAATACAAAATAAAATAACCTTTCACTCAAAATTACCTGTTTATCTGATTTTCTCACATCATTAAGATTCTGTAAATATTCAATCCGGAGTTAGGCCCGCATACGAATATTATAATAGCCAGGCCATGGAGCACGATATGTCATTTACACACAGGTGGTTCTGATTTTAATGCCATTATTGGAATTTATGTTGTGATCTGTGCGCACAACCCACCTTTGTCATGTGAGGTTTAAATATATGCAACTTAGTGTGAGTGTCTTTATTTGTGGAAAAGGATGTTTGTCTTACCAGTGGGTACAACATTACACACACCAAATCCCTCTGTGTTTATTTGTATAAGAGAGTGTGGAGCGCGTCCTTTGCAGCGTTTACAGCGACACTTTTTGAGGAGCTGCCTTCTGTCACCATCATGTGGCATTACTGTCTGCAGCCATCTCTGGATCTCTTCCACTACTTCACAAAAAAATTGTAATACGCCATGATACTTGGATTTGTAGTTGTAAGACTTCTTTTGAGGTTGTCCTGTCACAATCAAAAACATTAGAAATAAGAAAGCTGCCAAAACTACGATAGAGTATCAGGGCCACATCAAGATTTTTTTAAAGGACTTCTGGATTAAAGTTGGAAACTTAGGAGAATAAAGTCATAAAGTAAATAAAGTCATAAAGCTGCTTTTGTGGAGGGGGAAATGGCTGGAACTGGGCAACTGCAGGGTTATCGGTGGATGTATCAGTGGGCCATTCAGAGAGATTTTGTGGTTTCTGAAGAAAATATTAAACTGATGATCAACATTTGTGATCCAGAGGGAGTCGAGCTCCAACAAGCACCACGTCTCTGACACCAGCGGTAACCTACACCCGCAGAGGCACCAACACCTTATAGCATATGGATTCATACCATAAACTAAAGCCCAATGCCATTGCTATTAACAGCTGGATTGATGGATTTATCCTCTGCATATCCATTTCCCCCTCCACAAAAGCAGCGATTTCCTCCAAGTCTGCCTGTTATTTCTGTGGAAAAGATGCAGATCTCATATACTCTTTTTAAAGACCTTATACTTATGATGATGTCATGCTGATTTAGAATTTAGTATATCCTTGTTTGTGAAACCTATACTTCAGTACAATTCCTTCAAATGCTCCATGGCCCTAATTTTTAACAACTCTCCTCTGAAACAACAGGTAACTTTATGACTCTTTTCTCATGGAAATCATAATTATCACTACTTACTTTCTTCAAACTAAATGACACAAGCTGCAATGCTAATATTACTACCATTAATAAAAGTTCCAAATTATAATTTCATGTTTTACAATTACTAGATGGATACTAAAACATTCAAGAGTACAAGACCAAACATTCCTCTGGCTCTCGTAGCAGAAAATCCTCAAGACTCAGACGCAGATCTGAGTGACAGTGACCACCCAATAGAGTATCCTGATTATCAGCCCACACAAGCAGAGGATGCAACAGTTGTGAATGTGACAGTTCTTTTGAAACCCTGGATGAAGAACCGTCTCCTTCAACAAGCACGTCATCTATACAGCCACCTTGTAAGACGAGCAGAAAAAGGAAACACACCTTAAAAACAGTTTCCTTGAAGCAGACAGAAGACTCCTGACCCTGACCCTTAGCAATCCTTCTTTTTAGGATGAGTTTCTTTAGCCAGTCATAGTAGCCTTTAGAGTGTTGGAGCTGTGTCACTCAAATACCTCAGATACTTTGGTGTTAGATTGCTGGAGCCGGGGGCCTCTGACAACCATCCTTGACCGAAGAACCCTGTACACATTATTTACATCATGTAAGTCCCCAAAATATGTTCTGCCATGGTATTTCCTTCTTTGGACCCTCCACATGTTCACCTAAGGCTTCTTAAAATATGTTGTCCTTTGTTCTTACCGTACACAGATTTTTCTTAGGGTCAACTAAATATCAACAGTATGTTTAGAGTTGTGGACCACTATATATATACTTGAATGGTCTTAGACCAATCTTTGTTACACTTGTGGCATGTTGAAGCTGTAACCCAGATCTGCAACCAGTAAAGCTTGTCAAACTGACCATTCGTGTGGACCTTCCATTCTTTCAAGTGTGAACCTGGGCTAGGCACCCTTACACTTCTCTCTATGGGTGTTTTCAACTTCCCATTGCTGGAGGACTAGTGGCACAATGAGTCCTGTTTCAACAGATGATAATCAACACATCAATGAGAGTCCAGACTGATCTTTGAAAATCCATCCCCTCTTTGAGAGGCTTTGTCACCAGTTTCTTCTGACAGCATCCACTTAGAAGCACAGTGTTGATAAGGTCATGGTAGCATGTTGGGCACCAGGGCTGGCACTCTGCGCCAGCAAGCAAAATAAGTGGGGCTTTACACTGTTCTGCTGAGCAAGCTCATCTGGCATCATCATCCACAAGAATATCCATCAAGGGGCATTCTTTATGTTGCCCTTAGTGAACAGGAACAGCTACCTCTAGGAGCCAAAGTGGTGACAACACTATGCAAAACCATAAAACACCCTCAGCTGTGTGTTGTCCTTTGCTACAGCTTCTTTAAAAGTCTTGGCCTGGTTCAGAGCTTGCACAGCTCCTTGGGTATCAAGTGCATCGGTCCACTAGTTCGACCAAACCCCACTGGTGTAGCTCCCTTAATTGCAGACAAAGACCTGATGAAGAGGGGCCATGGTGCCTATGATTACAGGTCTGCTGAAGGGGAGATTGCAGTGAAATGGTTTTACAACTAATGTGTAAACCTTCTGAGCAATATCTGTGGGATCACGCCTCTTTCATCTGTCAAACAGCAGAGTAAAGAGTCCATCGAAAAGACTGAAATCCCATGCTTATCACTCATCCCTGAGCACATAGGAGGAACTGATCTTTTCGACATGCTGGTCCACCTGTTAAAGACCCCAAGCAGAGGAGATGGTTCAGATGCATCCTTGACCTGTGCATCACTTATTTCTGGCTGGTCTACAAGAAAGACTGTGGCCCACTTAAGCAGAAACCAATGTCTCTCAAAAGGTTCTGCCTGGCTGCCGCCCTCAGTTTGAACCAAGTCAACAAGCCAGCATCCAAAGTTGGCCAATTATCATTGAGCTCTCTCCCCCACTGTTGAGGAAAGGCTACAAACCTAGACCCTCACTATCCAAACCACAACCAAATGTGCACTACAACAACTTCAGACACTGGCCTCTTCACAATGACAAGCAGGGACGATGCAACCTCTGTCCAAAGTGTACGTCAAGGTGGAGACGACAGAAATGCAATGTTTTCCTGTGTTTGACCTCAAACCAGGAATGCTTTGTGGCATATCACCAAAAGTAAAGTCGGTCTAATGCTCAAAAAGCACTTGTGCTGTTACACAGTCATACAGATGAGGTGTGTTGGGGTGAAGAGAATGGAAATAGAAAGTTTATCTTATTTGGCCGTGTCTTTTTCAAAGGTCAAACAGAAACCAGCAAGACTAGTTCAGTCAACCCATTAAAAATAAGGATCTTGAGCCTCAAAAACGTTAGCATGTTGCACCACCACAGCTGAGTTGTGTTGAGATGACATATTCAAGATATACACGTTCCTTTGGTTTTCACTATTTCTTCTCTTAGTTTTTTCAATGGAAAAATGAATGCTTTGCACTGCAGCATTCAATCACAAGTAGGACTGTGCGATTATGTGATCGTGATCGATGATCGTGATAAATTTCAGTTCAATCACGGTGATCAGCTGAGAGCATATTTACTTGATCAAACATGGCGGAAATGTGTGTCACAACAGCCAATCAGAGTCGAGCTTTTCCAGCTCACTTCTGTGAGTTGCTGGAGAAGTAAACAGGGGAAGTAAACAGAATGACTGAACATGGAGCTAAACGCGAAGTTGAGGGCAGCAAGATAGTTGTCAGCCGTGACTTTGAGTCATTCTCCCAAGATGTTATTGTTGAGAAGTTATTCAACGTTGGTTGTGTGGCGGTAGTTCGGGTATCTCCAAAGTGATGTCGAGTAATTAAGGCGATGAGCAAGGTATGTCGGCGAACGGTGCCCTCAAAAACTGGCTACACAACAAATCTGTTTAATCATTTGAAGAAGTACCTTGCCAATGATTATGTGGAAAGCATGAAAATGTGAGTGGAGTCTGTACAGCCTGCCACTGCTGATGGCATGAGTAGCATTAGCAGTTTAGCCACAACTAGCAGTGCAGCCACCAGACCTAGGCAGCAATTAATCGTATCATCTATGTTTACATCATCTAATGTTTACATTTTAAGGCGTCTTTATTATCTCTGAGGGGGCGATTTGTTTATTTTGGGTCCTGCATACCTGCAAAAATACTCAGGACTGTAAACTAGTTCACTGTATTACTTAGAAAAATATAAAAAAAACATTTTAACTCAACAGTACAACAAATGTAGATAAATACTAAGTGTATCTTATTCAATTTGCTTTATTTACTTTGTATGTTAATAAAATGTTGAACTAATCTCTAGTTTCTTTAGTTTTTAGTACAGACGCTTCAAAACAGGCAGTTAAAAAAAATCGTTATGAAAATTGAGATCGGACGATATGATAAAATATATCGTGATCATTTTTTTTGCCAAATCGCCCAGGCCTAATCACAAGTATAATGAATGTGAGAGTTTTGTGTTGTTGCACTTTAGTCAATATGAAAAATTTACAAATACAGTATTTCATTATTTGATGCCATACTTTTCTTTATTGAAAGGAAATCGCTCAATATTTTGTGTCATACTTGCAGAAATAGAGACTGTCCAATTAACTTAATTCTTTTGTGTTCTAAATTTCTTCCTTAATGTGCATTTTACATGACTTTTTCCACTATTTGTGTTATTTGTATGAAATTTCATACATTAACCATGAAGTGGTTACCTTTTGGTAGAGGTCAATATTTGAAATACTAAAGGGTCTGACGAAAAGACTGCGGTTGTCAGCCCCACCAAAAAGCTATAAAAATGCCCCCCAAAAAAATCTACTGCTTTTTGGTGGGTCTGTTAAAGAGGTTAATGAACAGTAAAGTTTCATACGAGACTGAGCAGTCATAAGCCATAGAGTGACATTGTTTAAATTTCTCTAAAACTTAACCCGAATCAAAAATAAGATTATTTAATTCCCCCGGCATCTTAAAAGTACACTGTCTGTGTTAATGAGGCACAAAACTCACAATGAAATACCCAAATATAAACGCAAATTATAGATTAAAAAATTTTGATTATTAATCTCTATCAGATAGTAGAATCATATCAAAGGAGTGTTGCTTTACATAACCCACAGAGGGAAGGATGTGTTATGTTTGTTGAAGCATATTTTCTTGTTCTTGTTCTCCCCCCTGTTCATTTTCTTACACATGTCTGGCCCTACCTTGTGAAACGTTTTTTTATTAATTTTTTTTTTTCAGAAGTCAGTGGACATTTCTCATTTCTTAGGTGTCTTCTGCCTGAAGACCAAAGAACAGACAGTTTTGATTACCCCATGAGGAGTAGTCAGTCTCACCCCTGGAAAATTAGCTAATTTTTACCAAAAATTAAAATGTGTGGGTTTGTGGTTATTGACCAAACCCCCCCCCCCAACTATACCTGCATTGACTGTGTCTTTGCTCCCCCAGGTTCCCTGTTTACCATGTTTGGCGACTCTACATGGACTTTACGTTCTTAAAAATACTACTTCCAAGAGTGTCTGGCAATGTCTCAGGATTTATCAGAGAAGGCAGTAACTTCCTGTTGCTGGTAGGTAGTGCTGTGGTTTTTGAAATTTTTAAAGATGGATGTGTTCAGGCTGGGCTCCCTAATTAGTCCAGGGATTTGATGTTGGGCTGAGCTAGGGCAGTTTAAAATGTAAGGACAAGACATCATGTCAACATGAACTCTGCAAAGCCATGCTGGTTACATTCTCTATCAAAAACTCACAGTTTATGGCACACATAACAGTCAACACCTCCAGGATGTGTTGAGCAGAATAGCGATGCAGATGTGTTAAATGATCTTGGAGATTTAGTTCATAAAAGAACAGCATGACATTTCCTACTGCAACCAGGAGGCACTATAACTGGATTAAAATATTTTCACATAAATGTGCTTAACTCTTCACCCTCATACTGCATGGTGAGTATGGGTCAAATTGGAGTATGCATGACCAAGGAAAAACTACTTCCTGTCTAATGGTGAAACTGCAAATTCTGGGGGCTTGCCACAACCACGCCCTTTTATGTTTGTGCAGGAACTCAATTACTGTAAAGAGGTGATTTTATCAGTTTTTTCAAATGACCCCTCTTCTGTTATTACTACTGTAAGAGATTTTTTTAAGTCTCAAGAAGCTGTGTATGAAAAAATCACTTTGCTCCATCAAAGGTGTTGTATTTTAAAGCCCTGTAGAGGGCGCATTTGAGCCAGGTCGTTCTGCAAACGCTAATAATCCATAAAATGTCACATGTTAACACCAGACTTTATGCAAACTTTCACACTTTTTTGAGAAAGAAAGACAAATAATTAACAAAGTAGGCTAAATTAAGGAATTCCACTTAAGTCTTTGCATCTATTCAGTGATCGGGCCCCAGTGGGGAGGGTGGCCCTTGATGAGCCTAAAACAAAAACTGTCTTAATCATGAAGTAGAAACTCTGATTTTCTTTTTTATAAAACAATGTGAAAGGAGAAATAAAGTTCCTTTCAAAAGGGAGCTGATATTAGGAATAGTTTCAGCCACACCAGGAAGTTATCAATGTCTCAGTATCATAAGTCAATTTCACACACACACACACACACACACACACATATATATAGATAATACCTAGAGGTAAAGACAGTCAGTTCTTACTAAGCCAACAAAGAGTGTTAAACCAGTGAATTACAGTTTCCAGATTCAAATGGTAGGCTATTAAACCTTAAATTAAATTAAACTTTGTACCAGCTTTCAAACTGAGCCTGATAATCTGATAATGCCTATTAACGCTGAGTTTTTGATGTCAAGTGAAATTATTCACCATTACTTCGGCTATTGCTTCAATAAATATGTATTCATTTATCAGTATGTAGGCTATATGTGTATGTGTTGTATGTGTGTGTAAGTGGTACATGTGTATGTGTTTACCTTTACAGTCCTGCTGTTTCACCCTTACAGACCCGTCTATCTGTATCCACACATCCCCCAGCCCAGAAATTCTCCATACAGCCGTGTCTGCTGACGATGCTCCGGCAGCAGCGGAGGTTCTCCTTCTGCCCGTGTTTCCCTTCGCCAGCGTCCTGCAGCATTGGTAACACACCGCCCAAGCCTGCTCCTCATTGATGGGCTGGTTATAGAGCCTTAGTATCTCATCCAAAGAGAGGCTCTCCGCACCTGCGTCCTCTGCTTGGTCCATCATGTTTGGATGCTGCTGCTGATTCTGCTCCCCCGCTGCAGCGACGCTCACTCCTCCGTAGCTCCTGCATCGGTGATCGGTCATCCTTACATTATCTCAGCGCAGGAGGCCCGAGCTAGAAGATGTCCACGCTAATATGTGAGAGGATCCAAAAAGAGGGAGGCATTGATAAATTCCTCCTGGTGCACAGACAGGGAGAGGGGCAGACGCTCGTTGTCCCCCCGTCACGTCCAGATTTCGCTGTGAGCAGTCATATGACGAGGTGCTACATGTTGTATACAGCCTTTATACAGTCTTACATCACAAGCACGCCAGGCTGCACTCCTTCATCACATGACCCCCCCTCCCCCCCAAGGCGCGCGCGCGCGCGCACATGCATGCGGACGCACGCACACACACATACACAAACACACACGCACGTACACATCCAAATACAGAACATTTTTCTTACAAGGCCTACTGTAAAACTGCTTAATCAATAAATAAAATTAAACAAAAGCTCACAGCAAGTCATATGTTTGGAAAAGAGGCATTCCGGATGTTGTTAACCCCTTGTGTTTGGTCAGGTGAGTACGCGTGCACAAGGCTCTCTGTCTTCAGTTTCTAATATGTCTCTCTTGTCTTGACACTCAATACAGAAGTCATAAATTCAAAAACTTTGTGTGTGTGTGTGTGTGTGTGTGTGTGTGTGTGTGGGGGGGGGGGGTCAATTAACAATTATTGAGAGATGGTTATGTGTTGGTTTAGATGTTCACTTCAACAGATCCAGTTTCTTATTACATTCAAACTGACTTTCCACTTCTTACCATCCTTCAGCTAGTTCATAGTGTTGTGGACTCCTAGCCTACACATTCATGCCAAAATATTTTTCATTTACGAAGGGAAAATTAAATGTAGGCTAATTAGGCATATTTTCTGTAGTTGGGTGTTGTTCTCTCATAAATCTGTGTGTGTGTGTGTGTGTGTGTGTGTGTGTGTGTGTGTGTGTGTGTGTGTGTGTGTGTGTAGCCAGGTCAGTTGAATGGCAGAGAAAAGAAAAATGAGAGACATTCAGTCATTTTCCAGTGAACAGAAACACCAAGTCAGTAGAAAGAGCCCAATGATATTGAGGTTTGTTAAAAAATATCCATCTATAGGAACGAGATGCTTATGGAAATGTTTAATAACTCCAAGGTCAAATTACAGAGCTGGGCATGGAGAGACAATGCTGCTGTAGTGATAATCAAACCGGTGTTGATGGTGAGCATAGCCTTCCGTTAGGTCACATACACCTACTACCCAATATCACTCTTGGAATTGCTGACTGAGCATAAACAGACCTGTGGATTGAAAGAATATGGACTTATAAGAAATAATGACAAAATTACAGTTATTGTTTAACATCATTATCTAAGACATAGTATTATCAGACAACGCAGCAATAAAAAACAAACATTGCATTTGTTTGTAAACCCCACCCTCCTCCCCCAGAATGACTCCCTGAAATTTCACTGTTTATTGTCCCCACAACAATAAAAAGGGTTTTTGCCTCTGACTACAAACATCAGTCTCTCCTCCGTCTATCTCTCTTTTTTTCCATCTCTCTCTCTAAATCCGGCTCAGTCTCAGCAGATGACTGTCTAACATCAGTCTGGTTCTGCTCGAGGTTTCTGCCCATCCGTTAAAGGAAGTTCTTTCTCTCCACTGTAACTTGATAAATGCTGTAAAGTGTTTCGCCCATGTAGTTGAAGATGGGATGGTAGTGGGTCTGATCTAACAGAATGGGGCTCGGTCTGATCCCATCTTTACACTGGGTCTTGGCAATCAGTCTGGTCTAGACCAGCTTTTGTGTTGAGTGTTTCGAGATAACAGTTGCTGTGAATTGGTACTACACAAATAAAGATTTAATGAGTGATTGATTGAGGTTACAGCAGAGGATTTTTTTGTTGGTGGATTAAGTTTAATTCACTATAAATGAAACTCAGGGGTGGGCCTCGGCTGATACTGTGACCACTAGATGCAAAGCTTGAGCTCCTGCATGACTCCTGTAATATAGCATATAATTAGCACCTCACACATTGTGAATTCTAGTACAAGTGGCAATTGACTAATTAATTTCCCAAATGTCTGGTGTTGTTTTTTTTTTTTTTTTCTGCTGATGCTCCCACAGATAGATGTATTGATGGCTGCACAGTCAGTTTTGTGGGTTTGACTTTTTTATTACCCAGTAATCCATCAATGCCTAAAAAGGTCCTATGTTTTTTAACAGCTTAACTCAGACTCATTTCAGAGTTTTTGCACAATTTTAAGTCAAACCTAAGGCTGATAAGGTCTTTTTAAAACATCAACAAATATAAGAAAAGAGGATACAGACATCAAAACCATTTCTTTGGATTTTTCTTTGGTTAAGAATCTGAATATTACAAGAATTTCCACACCCTGATGCCATTTTTGTACAAGATGAGCACGAAGCATAGACACTCAGCCTGGCTCAGCCACACTAAGTTCAATTCTGAGAGCTCTGCAAACTTCTAGTTAATGTCAGGGTCACCGACTAACAGCAAGAGCATGATGTTGAGATTCAGTCGCTTTGTACCTTTGGCATTTGAAATAAACAAACGGGTGGGCTCTGTTAGATAAATAATTAGAACAAAGTAGTCAGGATACTCAGGTACAGGGTACAAGCCTGGCTGCTGTATCAAAGACTGATGATTAAATAAGAGAAGAAAGTATAATCAAATATTAGAAAATGCAGATTTGTAAGCAACTTCATGAGTTCCCATTTTGTGAAGTTCTCATCAGCTTTGACTAACTTCATTTATACACCACTGGTTGCAAGTGTCTTGCCCAAGGACACATCAGTATGTGGGCCTGCAGGACAAGGGATCAAACCTAGATCTCCAATAGGGGGATGACCGACTCTACCACTGCCACCCCATCAGAATCTGTCCATCCTTCAGGCAGAGCTCTGTTCTGCTGTCAGTTTACAGTGCACCAGGCTTCTGCTTTTCTTACTCACTTTTATTCTCCCACTCAGTGATGCTGCTCTTGGCTGACTCCTCTGTAAATGTTTATTAATCTCATACACCCAAGTTGTAATGCTGATCTCCGTAAAGCTTTGATTGGCTGAGTAACATCATGTGGGTTGAACTTAATCAAAGGTATCGGCTCTCTACCATAAAAGCAGCAGATGCTGTACTTGTAAGAAGACTCAGACCTTCAAAATGTGGTCCAGATATTGATGGCTTCTGACCAAGATATCTGAGAGGAACATAACTTAAACTGCTTCTATAGTCTGTTGCAGTAGTATGACAATTTGCTCTCTTGCCTTAAAAGTATCATCTCCAAATTCAGTACCTAAAGCAAATTTACTACAAATATAAGATGATTTATGTCCTTAATTTCCCTGATTCTGAATAAGGACATTTTTACCCTGCATTTATCTACAACAGACCATTTTCAGCAAACAGGAAGGAGGGCAAGACAGATGTATCTTTATTTTATTTCAAAGTTACAGGAGCAGCTGCTGCAGACTATATATATATATATATATATATATATATATATATATATCTGCGTGTGTGTGTGTGTGTATATATATCTGAGAAACCATAATGAAGTTTTGTGGTAGAAAACACACACTTGATTCATGGAAACATGAAAACATATTTGAGTGAAACTTTATCAAACTCTTAATTTTAAAGGATGTAGATAAGAAATTTCTTTTCACTTAATTTTGTCTGTTTTTGTAAGTTTTTAAATAGATTTACATCTTTCGTAAAAACTAAACGCAGAGATTTCTCACAGTAACATGAACTTTTCTGCTGTTAAACATGCAGGACAGGACCACAGTGGTCAGTGGTGGGCAGGACTTTAGCTTCATCATTCAATGCATCCCTTTTAAACTAACTATTCTCAAAGTCTCAACGATAACACAAGTTTGTATGATAATATTGTCATGAAATCTTACGGTCTCCATGTCGTTGATGTTGTCCTCTCTGTTCAGGTGTTTGTCGGAGTTGGAGTCTTTAGTCGTCTGGGGAGGTTTTATTTACGATGGAGCTGTCAAAAGGTGAAAGTTTGTGAGCCACAGAAGTTTTTGTGTCGATCTTCAGATTGAATCTTCAGAAATGACCAATCTTTATCGACTTGTAATGATTTAAGGTTTTTACATCGTCACAGGTTACCATGGAGATTTAAAATGCTGTTTACTTTAGAAAAACACTTACACTGGTAGGTTATATCTAAAAGTTTAATATCAACTTTAATTCACTTTAAACTCAAAGGAATATAAATATCTCTTGAGGTAAAGTTGAGGTTATTTTCTGTCAACTAGTCAAAGAGTTTAAAAAGCATATTAAATCAGAAACCTTTGTTATTTCTTTACAGAACTACCCATTTTTGAAAACTATATCTTAGTATGTTTCATAGGTAATCCAACAAAAACTGGAAACTTTGTGTTTAATTATAATTTCCACTAAATATTTGTACTTATATTTAATTTTTATACCTTTAAATATGTTTTTCACAACATCTGAGGTCAGTAGATTTTCTTGTAAAAAAATATAGGCTACTAAAAATAGCCCATATAATCCTATCATATCAATATTTTAGAGCAGTAGCTACATCTGTAAAGCACTTTGTAACCCTGTTTTGAAAAACTCTATAAGTTGATAATTGTTATTTTCCATAGCCTATTATAACGCACCAAAAAGGCCATAAAGATATCTAATTTAAAAATATCACATTAGCTGTGCGCCAAAATATCTTCTTCACTTCAGTAGAAAGAGGACTATAGAAAGAGGAAAATATTCTCTGTGTTGTCAAAACACTCATCTGCAAACTGTAGTTGGAGAAAAATATTAACAATCCAACCGAAATGGCAAAAGCATTTTGACAAATATGTTGATAATCCTCAAATAGTAGAAAACAGATTTGAAGTCTTTGGACATTGAACTCGAGGAGCTCAGAAACATCTGGAAGTCAACAGTCTGAACAGGTTTTGAACAAAAATGATGATCGAAATGGTGAATGAAGTCGAAAGTTATTAAGGGAGCCAAATAATGTGATTCATAACATGACTTGGGCTCATTTGATCAAAAATGAGTCGTGGTCATGGTGGTCATTAAGAATCCAAACCAAACTGTCAACATCTTAAACTAGTACCAGAGGGTTCTATTGGAGGAGGAGAGGATGAGCTGCAGAGGAGCTGGAGGCTAACTAATGCCGCATTACAAAACAACACAAAAATATTTCTACTTCAGCCAAATTTAGAGGAGAGGTTGGAGCTAGAAAAGAGCTCGCTGTTGCCGCGACCCTCCTGAGCATCAGCCTGGGACAGGACCAGTCAGAGCTGTGCACAAGGACCGAGGTCCATGTGCAGTGTCGGCTGGTCTGAAGACAGAAACAATGCAGATATTTAATTTAAACAAGCTGTAACATTTGACTGTGTGGTCAAGGTCATGAAGGAAGCATCTGTAACATCAGTATCATCAAGAGTAAGTACGTAAGTAAGTAAACTTTATTTATACAGCGCCTTTCACAGACCAAGGTCACAAAGCGCTTTACAGTAAAAGCAAAAAGCAAAAACAATACACAGTTAATAAATACATACAAAGCTAAAATTTAAAAGGCCAAAAACAACACTATAGCAACCATAGCAGCCCCAAGACAGTTAGGGAAAAGCCTGAACAAATAGAAAAGTCTTTAGTTCCCTTTTGAAGGAGTCAACAGACTCCATCGAACGCAGAGCAGGCGGAAGATCGTTCCAGAGCTTGGGAGCAACAGCCTGGAAGGATCGGTCTCCTCTGGTCCGGAAATGAGTATGAGGCACCATCAGAAGATTCTGACCCACAGACCTCAGAACCCGGGCTGGGGTGTAAGGCTGGATCAGGTCATTGATGTAAGATGGAGCCTGACCATGCAAGGCTCTGAAAGTTAAAACCAGAATTTTAAAATTTATCCTAAAAGAAACAGGCAGCCAATGAAGGGCTTTAAGTATCGGGGTTATGTGTGACCTCCTATTGGAGCGGGTCAGAATTCTCGCTGCAGAGTTTTGTACTAACTGCAGGCGAGACAGCTCCTTTTTGTTCATACAGGAAAACAAACTGTTACAATAGTCTAAACGTGAAGACACAGATGCTTGAATGATCAGTTCCAAATCATTATGTGACACCATTTTCCTAAGTTTAGAGATTTTCCTCAGTTGAAAAAAGCAATTTTTGGTCAGCTGTTTACAGTGTTGCATTAATGACATGTCTTTGTCGAAAACAACACCCAGGTTTCTTAGGCTCGGTTTAATAGGCCGGCCTAAGTCGCCTAAGTACTGACTAATCCCTGGAATGGAGTCATCAGGGGCAATAACCAGTGTTTCTGTTTTGTCCACATTTAGCTGCAAGGTGTTATCACTTAGCCATTTTTTAATCTCTGCCAAGCAGTGGACTAAGGAATTTAGCCTATGGAGCTCAGTAGGCTTGAAAGAACAGTACAACTGGATATCATCAGCAAAAATGTGGTAGGAAACATCAGAAAATCTGCGGATGATTTTTCCCAAGGGGATCAGATATAACAGAAAAAGAACAGGTTTGCTGTGACACTAAAACTACGCCCAGAGAGGTATGACAAGAACCAATGTAGAACTGACCCTGACAGTCCTATTTCATCCCTCAATCTTCTCAGCAGGATCTGGTGGTCGACAGTGTCAAAGGCTGAGGACAGATCTAAGACAACTAGAACAGTGCATTTTCCTGAATCAGCAGACATCATGATGTCACTGGACACTTTCAGCAAGGCTGTCTCCGTAGAGTGATGTTTGCGAAAGCCAGACTGACACGTCTCATGGATGTTACATTGATCCAGGAAAAATTACAGCTGTTCAGCGACCACTTTCTCGAGGATCTTTGACAAGAATGGCAGCTTAGAAATAGGCCTGAAATTACTTAGGATAGTCGGGTCTAAGCCTGTCTTTTTAAGTAAAGGCTCCACTATGGCATGCATAACCCTTGTGCTGCCCTTCAGGGTCAAAAAGACCCAGTCGGTATACCCTTGCCCTAGTGGGGTGAATTTAGCCTCCAGTCAGCGTGGACTAAGATAACCCATGACTCCTGATTGTTTTACCCCGCCTGGGTCGAATAGACCCCAGTCAAGTATGGATTTGAGAATCGTAAACTCGCGCCCCTGCCCTCGGCAGGGTCAAATATACCCCACCGTGGTGTACATAGACTTTTTTATTTATTTATTTATTTATTTTTACTCATTTGAACTCATGACTCAAACAGCGCGCATCTCAAACAGCATACACCCCTGGACCTGATTCTCGCTCATCCAGTCAAGTATCCTGTGGTGGTGGTGGCGTTGAGGACCCCCCGTATTTTACAGCATGAGGACTGTAAAAACATAAAGCTCTAGGTTTTACTTCCAAGGCTACACTACATATAGAGACTAAGAAAACTTGGAAACTTGGAGGACTGGAAAAAAAATAAATAATAATTTTTAGGAAAGGATGATGGTATCAACAAAAGTTCCATCACAAGAGTAGAGTAGAATAGAGTGAAAACTGTATTCATCACGGCAGGGAAACTTAGAGAGTGTCAGAGAGCTTGCAAATACAGATAACAACAGCCACACAACCTAATTCATACAGATGAGCACAACCTATCACAAAATAAAGGCAGTACAGTGGCAAGGCAAGGGGATTTTGTTTTTACACACACTTTTGTCTCAGAGAGTTTCACATAGCATTATAATGCCAACATCATCTGCCCTTAGACCCTCACGTCAACTGAGGAAAAATGGAGAAATAAAACAAAAAAAAAATTGGAGAAACCTCAGGGTGAGCAACACAGGAGAGATCCCCTCACCCTGGACGGGGCAGACCTGCAACAGAGGTTCTATACAGACAAAAACAAACAAACAAACAAACAAAAAAAAAAACGTGTTTACAACACATAATGTGCAGAACATGACATTCCATTGTCCATTCCATTCCAACAGGAAAACAGAAAAGTTTTCTCAAAAGTGTTGAACACTGACAAAAAGGACCGTAGAGGAGACACTACAGTACAGTAAGTATTCTATATCCATCTGTCTGTCTGTCTGTCTGTCTGTCTGTCTGTCGTCTGTCTGTCTGTCTGTCTATCTATCTGTCTGTCTGTCTATCTATGTAAAGACATGAATATATTTGCTTTTTGTTTTTGTTCATCTTCTTATTCTGTGTGCTTTTAAAGCAAGGGAATGGCTGTAATAGCTCCAACAAAAAAATGTGAACGGGCAGTCGTGTAGGATATTGTGAATTCCTAGAAAAACAAAATCTGTTCGGATTTTAGATCAACTCAGAAATCCAGTCAAAGAATATAGTTTGCCTCTCTCTCTCAACATGCGGTTACTGGAACTTGTTTCCCTTCACAGTTGCGCTGCATTCCACAGGGCCGCTTCATTCGGTTATTGCCTAGGAGGAAAGAACAGAAAAGTTTTCTCAAAAGTGTTGCAGACCGACAACTGGGACCGTAGAGGACAGACCAGAGTACAGTAAGTATTCTATATCTATCTATCTATCTATCTATGTAAAGACATAAAAATATTTGCTTTTTGTTTTTGTTCATCTTCTTACTCTGTGTGCTTTTAAAGCAAGGGAATGGCTGTAATAGCTCCAACAAAAAAATCTTTTTTGTTTTCCTTCTTACCTTTGGGGCTTTTAAACCAAAGGGGGAATCACTGTGATAGCTCCGTATCCCCTAAGCCACATTTCTCTCTCTCTCTCCTTTGCAGGCCGAGCGAAATGGATCTCTCGTCGAAAATATGGGGATGGTGACACTTCTTGCTCTTTGGCTCAGTTATCCCCCCCTCACTCTCTGCGACCACTGAATTGTGCAGTCGTTTTGGTCCTTCTCTGTTTCGTGAATTGTAAATTTGCTCTG